GACCTTCTAATTCACCAAACCCACATGCAGATACTCAGTACTTAATCACACACCATAAGCTATCACATTAGTATCAATCTCTTCCTCCTCACCTTTCAGAGATCTTGTTTTTTGCTTGTATTTTGGGCCACATGGCAGAAATCAATAAAAGTTTCGACTTATTTGAGGTCCCACTGCATTTGTGGGTGCATCCCAAGTTAAGATACTGCATTTAAATTATTTATACACAAATAAACCGGTGAAAAGGTCCACAAATGACCGAAGTACCGTGCTCATCGTCGAGCACAGCGGCGACGAGCAGCCTGCACGACGCGACAACGACAGCACACGAGCGTGTGGGAAATCCCACGGCAGAACCCGCGCGACAACGAACGCTCGAGCATGTCAGAGAGCGCACATGCAGCCTTGAGTTGAGGCAATCGTCGTCGACGACGTCGAGTACGGCGCTGAGTCGGAGGAAGGTAGGGTGAGTGGCGCTATAGGGGCAAGTTGACGGGGATGCCGGGGAGGAGATGTGGCGAGGGGCAGGCCTCGGAACGCCTCCGATGACGACGACGGAAGACGGGGCCGCGAGAGACTCGAGGCCTCTGAAAGTCGCGACGAAACAAGAGGCGAGTCCGGAGGCGAAGATTCGTGTCCGATCAAGCCTAACTAGGCTGGGGTGCCACACCCTGCCACCCCAGCCTAGTTAGGCTCCTTATCAGTGTCATCCAGGTGCTTGTGACATCAGCGTTATCGACTGATCTATTTCCGATCGCAGTGTTTTCTTTTTGTGCCTAGAGACAAGTCTGGAATGACATCATATCTCCCGAACGTATAGATAACCGCGGCCGGTTCTCCAGTTCCTCGTCTTCTCATCCATCTCATATCCCCCGCTCTTGCATATCGCTCTACCCCTCATCCCCAACTCCCCACATACAATCTTGCAGAATGTCTTCAGGCAAAATGAACGCTTTGTGGTACAACGCTGTGCGTTACCCGTTTCTTTTTCTTCTCGCCAAGCCAAACTGATAGCAATCGTCGGAACAGCCCAGGGATTTCTCCATCAAGGAGGTCCCCATTCCCCAATACAAGGACAACGAAGTCCTCCTCAAAGGTTTGTATTCGTTCTGCTCACTGTCAAGTCTCGCGCTCATTCGGAGTCTGAACAGTTACATGCTGCGGTGTCTGTGGAACTGACGGCCACATTCACGAAGGAGAGTTCATCTCCACCTTCCCAGTAAGCGCGACGCATCTCTTCAGGTGAAATGTAAGCTAAAGCTCGTTGTAGCTTATCCCTGGTCATGAAGCCATTGGCGTGATCGTCGAGTTGGGCAAGGACGTGAAGGGCTTTGCCAAAGGCGACCGCTGTGTCGCCGACGTCGGTATCACCGTACGTCACGTCCGAGTTTCTTCCGTTTTTGAAGATGCACTGACCGCATTTGGTGTACCGTATATATACAGTGCGATGACTGCTTCTACTGCCGACGTGGTCAAACTCTCATGTGCGAGAACTTCAAGGCTCGTGGTGTCAGCTCCGATGGTGGTTTCGCCGACTACATCGTCTAGTAAGCGCTCATTTTCTCCGGCGAACTCAAAACAGATTGTAACCGTGTGTTTCCTAGCCCTCAACACAAGCTCTACAAGATCAAGAACCTCACCGACGAGGAGGCCACTCTTCTCGAGCCCGCGGCATGCGCCATCCACGGCCTCGATAAGCTCAACCCCCCAGTCGGCATCGAAGTTCTCTTGCTCGGTGCCGGCCCTACCGGTCTTATCCTCGCCCAACTGCTCAAGCTCAACGGCGCCGCAAGGGTCGTCCTCGCTGCCAACAAGGGCATCAAGATGGACATCGCAAAGCAGATTAACGCCGCTGACGAGTACATCGAACTCGACAGGCAGAACCCCGAGGCTCAGTGGGAGCAGCTCAAGAAGGACAACCCTTACGGGTTTGATGTCGTCGTTGAGGCCACTGGTGTCGAGAAGCTGGCGAACGAGTCAATCAACTACGTTCGTCGGGGTGGAACCCTCATGATCTACGGTGTTTACAACAACGAGGCTCTCGTCCACTGGCCACCTTCAAAGATCTTCGGTGACGAGATCAAGGTTTGTCGTCCTATCTGAACTACATTGCGGACGTGTGCTCATCGGACTTTACTTTATCTAGATCATTGGCTCGTTCTCGCAGACGTACTGCTTCCCCCGTGCTGTTGCCTACCTCGACAGTGGCAAGATCAACGTCAAGGGCATGGTACGTTTTTCTGTTTCGAGTTCTCACGAGACTTTTAGACTGACCTCACCTTCCTTCGCAGGTCACCGACGTGTTCCAGCTCAAGGACTTCCAGGCAGCCCTCGACAAGATGAACAGCCGTGGCGCGCTCAAGATCGCCATCAAGCCCTGAGCTCGCTCTCCTCCGCTCATAGCCCCCGGCTCCATCCCCCTTCCCTATCTTTCATACCACTATTTAATCTCATGTTCACGATCACTTCCACCCTCGTACTCACATCCTGCATATGTCCATAACGTCCTGCACTCCATTCACGACCTCTATCTTCTTGCCCTTTTCTTCTTCCACATCTTGCACGATTGTCCGTATTTACCAGATGTCACCATTATGTAGTCACGTTGTTGTATTGTGTTGGGTGTGCCGGGAAGGAAGGAAGAAGAAATGCAAATGTATTGAATGTCTACTTCTGCGCGTGAGCTGTGAGGCTGCGAGCTTTGAGTGCGAATGCGATGCCGATGTGTCTGTGGGAAAAAGTGCTGTGGCGTCGAGTCCTCCGAGCACGCACCAATCAAACTTGACTCGAACTCTCTTCCTCGCAGACTGACGGTTTGCGTACTTTGCAATGAGCGGTCTCGACAGTCTATTACGCCGACAACCACCCTCAGCTTGGGAGCGCTTCTGTTCTTCACCATCACTTTTTATCGCCCGAACTCTCTATAGTAACGTCTGTCTCCCACTCTCTGAGCCTGAGGCCACAACTGTCACCAGCACCAACTCTCGAGGAAAACCTTCACTCATACGCATCGTCTGTATCTCCGATACACACAGCACACATTCCAGTCAACCCGCTCTTCCAGATGGTGACATCCTGATCCATGCCGGCGACCTCACACATTCCGGAACTCCAACCGAGCTCTCTGACGCACTCTCCTGGCTGAGTGCCCAACCGCACGCGCACAAGATCGTCATCGCAGGAAACCACGACACGGCACTGGCTGACCCAATACAGCGTACATCTCTTCTACGAGAGCATGCCAGTGATAGTGATAGTCTAGTGTACCTCGAGGACGAAGATGTTACGCTCCTCGTCCGTGGTCGTTCGGTGCGTGTTTATGGTAGTCCACGTACGCCCAGACATGGTTCTTGGGCATTCCAATACCCTCGCGTACGACCCGGCGGCCATTCAACCCAGTCTCAATCTGAATTTGACTTGGATGTTTGGGGAAATATCCCGACGTTGACGGATGTGCTCGTCACGCACGGACCGCCCTTCTCTCATCTCGACCTCAACGGAGCCGGCTGTCATGCACTCCTCGCTGCTCTCTGGCGCATACGACCTCGTCTGCATGTATTTGGACATATACATGGTGCGCGGGGTGTCGAGCATGTAAGATGGAGTAGGGCGCAGAAGGCGTATGAAGACGTGTGCGCTGGTCAGAGCGCATGGGGAGGACTCGTGCGTCTGGTATTCTGGTCGGTTGTAGAGAGGTTTAATTTGTTGTGGAAAACGATGGGAGACAGAGGGAGGGAGGAAGGGACGATCATGGTTAATGCGGCGGTTGGTGGCGTACGAGACGAGCAGAGAAGGGGTGCAATCGTGGTGCAGATTTAGTGGTCCAGTGATTTGCGTTGCGTTGGTACGATATTTTTGTGTGTGTCTCTCATTTTATTCAGTCAAATTATCGTGTGCATTGGTTTGTACAGTAAAGCAATTATTGAACTTGTATTTTAACGCCACAGGGGTTTTGTGGCACCTTGAGTCCCTTCCTGAGTCGCAAACGGGAAACCATCAGGAGACTGGATCGTTGTTGCTTCGTCAACCACAATTAATCTCGCGGAGAATCATAATGTTTGAAACCAAACGACTGAATCTTCGCGGGCGGAGTCATGATCTATATGGCGGACTGCAAACAAGCGGCAAAGCTACTATCAGAGACACGTTGAGGCCGTGCGTGGCCCTGGTCGCGATGTTCTCGTTGTCATTATCCTACTGGGGTCTATCGGTCAGTGTCTTCTGCTCCTACTAAGTGTGCTGGACCGACGTTTGTAACTTATAGACGGAAAATAGACGGTGTCTCATACTGCTAACACGAGATACATGAAGGTCATCGGCTCTGCTAAAGCTATAGGCAATACCGTGAGATACTCGAGATACAGGACCTTACAAGAGAGTACACTCGACGATCGACGCGGAATGGCATCGATAAAGGCATGTGATATTTACGGATTCAACTAGCAACGTCCTCGAAAGCAGCGAAGTTCGGAATGCATCCGACTGTCACAAACTCAGTGTACACCAAGTGTACACAAACCAGTGTTACACAATGCGGAATGCTCGCGAGATACTGTCTTTGTCAAGAGGTTACAAAGTTCGATTTCCAGAGCATTTCAAGCATAAGCAACTGTTTTAGCGCAGCGTGACTCCGAGAATCGATATTCGCCCAAAGCACCGGCAAAAGTTCCCAGGGATCCACATCCAGTCTGAGTATATCTGAGAGAGGAAGAAGGGGCCGTCCAGCGTCTTTCCTTCCTCGTTCGTATAAGTTGTCTCAAAGTTGGAGTACGGTACGAAAAGCTTCGAGAGCAGTTCGAAAGGAAGTCGATGTATAGCCCCAGGCTGGCTTTTTGGTCTATGAATTCGAGAGTGCATGCTGGAAGGGGCACGGTGGTAGCAGTGAGTAAGTACGGAGGAGAAGAGTGGATCGTTCAAACCACACCGGAACCACCATGCCGAACTCGTGGTTCGATCGGAGTTTGGAAGCGCTCTGTGTGGCGCAATCCGACCCACCATGTTGCCCGAGTTTCGCCATGTAATAAACTACCACGTAGTAGCTCATCTGCGGCCGTCAAGACTTTTAGCATCACCACTCACTGCCGACAGTAGGTACCTGTTTCTCTCACTGCTATCATAGCTCAGTGCATTATACTGAACGTTGTCGCCCACAATTCGAAGTTGTGCACTTCCCAACACCCATGGCAGGCGTTTGTTAGGTCGGAGTAGGCGTGGATCGTTAACACTGCCCGAGGCGATAAAATTGTGTACGTGATCTTACTGTCTGCGATGAGCCTGCAGCTGGTGTATTTGAGCTGAATTTTTTGAAAAGTGCTGTGTATGCAAATCCATCCAGGGTATCATGCTCCTTCGTCTGCCACCAGAACTGCAGACAATCGTCTGCAAAGAGGCTTCACCTGGCACACTCGCGTCTTTGGCTCAGACGTCGTCTCATCTTCTACCTCTCGCCCAATCTGTCTTGTACCGACATGTCACCGTCGATGACAGAGCTGCGCGCGAACGGTTCTGGGGACGAAGGTGCAACTGGCGTCGCTCGCCACGTTACGACGATCCCACCACATACACGCTATTCCAGAGCACCCTTCTCTCTGCTCCATTCCACTTCGGGCCTTTCATAGTCTCCCTCCAGATTTCCTCGGTATTTCAAGATCTCACATGGGACGACCTCGGAGTCATATTCCTGGCGATGCCCAATCTTCTCCGACTGAGAATCAATCTCCTTGACCGTGGGCAAGACACGACGGGTGTGAAAGCGTTGTGTAGAGTCACCCCTCGGTTACAAGAGTTCTCATCCGCCAGCACTCTCGTCTGTCCCGACTTCGTAACCTTTCTCAAGAACCATCCCAACTTGACCATCTGGCGTCACGGGACGGAACAAGGGTCGTTAAACAAGAAGTGGGAGCCCCATTCGCCTGTCCCTGAGCATCTCCTCGCTCGATTCGTTCAATACGAGGCTCAGATCAATGTCCCCGAGCTTTCGGCGCCCATTCTACGAGGAATGACCAATCTCACACATCTCGCCCTCGACTTCCATATCGACTCTCCGCTTGCTTCGTACAAAGCTCCATTGAACTTCGACGCACAATTGGCCGAAGTCATCAGCATTTGCGGCCGAAACCTTCGATACTTCGCCCTCGGGAGCCTCTGGGCCGCTAAAGTCCCGGGAGACCATCCGTTCGTTTGGTGCATCCAAAGCCTCGTCTCGCATATGCCGGTTTTGCAGCACCTTCAGTGCGGCGATTGGCCCGAAGAGGAACTCAAACAAGAGGTCGTTGACATCGTCAGACGTACCGTCCCCGCCACCTTGCGAACCTTTCGGCTGTGCTTCACATTCCACGATCGACGAGTCATCATGCTTGACGAAGGAATCGATCATGCTTTCGCCTCAGCTCGACTCGTCACTCGACTTCTACCGACGGTTACGAAGTTCGTCTATCGGGATTATTGCCTAACCTCCTCTATTGGTGGCGAATGGACCCGGGAGTCGTCGAAGGGAGATATGTGGACTCCGGACTGGGGCTATGAGCTTTGAGGGTCTGTATGCGCGATCACACTATGCTGTACGTTTTCACCTGTCTTCAGGCGACTCTGCGAGATGGACAGTATACTATAACGCTAATTTGACCTGCATTTACCTTAGACTTCTATTCATTCGGCCAACATTGTTCATAAGTTAACCCTTCGGGCGAGCCTGTCCGTGCGTACTACATTATAGGTCTCTTTCTGTGTTACGCTATGCATATCGCTTCTCCCACAATTTTATCTTCCTGGTTCGTTCTTGCAACAAATTTTGTTTCCGAGCATAATTCCTATGTATCTGTACCTTCGACTTCCGTGCCGCAATAGCAGCTTACCATCAACCTATTGGGCCAGGGTTTTAGCTTTCTGGGGAGATAGTCCCGAGAGTGCGACTGAAAAATCATCGTACTGAGGGTCTGAAACACCAATTAAACCCTGCCCTCTCTGAGATTGTCCAAAGCGTAACGTAAATGCAAGTTATGATACATCCAGAGTCCGAGACGATGCTAATACAACCACGACAACAAGTACGACGAGAAAACGGATGCGAACCAGTATTGCTAGACATAATATTACTGCTCATTCTCCCACCTTTCCCACACCGCCAATCGCGACTGTACCGCCGAAATCTCCCCAACTTTATCCATGATCTCCTCCCCAACATCATCTCCCGTAACATCTGAACAATGTGGATACCTCGCATTCGAATCCCATCCATCATCGCCCAACCTCGATACCGGCGCCTTCTCCCACCACTCGCTAGGCTTCGCATGCAGCCACCGGAGATCCACAACAGGTGTCCATTCGCCATACCACCAACGCGGTGGATATATGTGGCAGTGAAGGTGCTGGATCGGATGGTCCAACTCCGCGCGGGTTTGAAGGAATCGGCGTAGACTTTCGTCGAACGAAGAAACGGATGGGAAGACGTGTACGGTGGACAGACGAGGACATGGGAGTAATGCCTCCGTCTCGCCGGGCGAGGGTCGAAGACTATCGAGGATGGCCGTGTATCCCCCTCGAGGTAGTGCCAGGAGCTCGAGGGCGGGTAGTGTGAGGAATAGCGTACGCCAGGACTCTTCGGGCCAGCCGCGTCTCCACGATCTTGCGTCCTGAGGTCTCGCTAGGATCGGCCCAAGCCATAATTCGCGGACGGAGGCCATGTGGAGTATTGACGGGAGGGTACGCAATAAGGTGGCGAGGGCTTTGACCTTGCTCAGTCGGAGAGAGTACGTGGACCCTGCGTTGCCGGCCTTGAGCAAGATGTCGCCGTCTTCGTCCTTGCTCTGGTGGATCCGGAGAGTGGTCGGCTTTCGGAGCAATTCGAAGGATTCCCAAGTGTCCGCCTCGGTAGGATGTGGGAATAACGCAAGGTGTTCGAGGTCCAAGGCCGTACCGTCACGGACATGGCACCGGACAATGACACCTGACGGAGTGCGTAGTGCTCTCAAAAGCTCTTGCAGTATTTTGACAGGTGATGTTGTGATCGACAAGTATCGTAACCGCGGAAGGTTGACTGGGTAACATGGTATGTCAGGAAAACGCCGCCACGCCTCCCCTTGTCCGCAGCACTCTATCCGCAAGACCTCCAAAGCTGGGGTAAAGGTCAGAAACCCGAGGAAGTCGAATAAAGATTCTGCACTGATGGTGTGGCGCAATAGGGTGAGTTGCGTCAGCATGGTAGGCGTGGTAATAGAGGTCGGTAATCTGACGAAATATTCGAGGCGAAGATGTTTCAAATGTGGATGTCGAAGGGGTTCGAGGATCGATGTGCGCTGGGCGTCAAGTTCGGGTGGCGTATCGATCTCCCGCCATGGGAATGAAAGGGTTAGGGATTCGAGGGATGTGACTCGATTGACAAGTTCCAAGATGGGAGCATCGACAGTCTGACCGCCTCTCTCGCGACAGGAAGGGGAGGGAAGTACACGGAGGCAGCGTACGCGATGGATGTGTTCTTCGATTAAGGCATTGAACTGGACTAATTTCTGCAGGCTAGGGTTCGTTTCGATGGTGAGATGTAGGGGCTGAGATGCGGAGCGCTCGAGGAAGAGTTGGTTGAGCGACGGATGTAGGCGATAGTCGATGAACGTCCAGAGTTGCGGGATCGAGAGGGTCATTCGATGCAAGTACGAGTTGACGTGTGAATAGGTGAGAGGCGTTCTGCCTATGATGTCCTGATCGCTAGCAGATATCGTAGCTTGAGTGCATATCATTGCCAGAACTGCCCAGGGAAGTTGTTCAATAAGAGCCAAGATACGCCTTGGAGGCGCTGTCGGTGCCCCCGTCAAGTCCATCATATTGACGTCTAGAGGTGATGTTACGATCAGTAACAGTATCGTGATTGTATCTGTGAATGGAAAAAAAAACCTTCGCTGGAACTCATGATGGCTGTTGCTCGTTCATAACTGTCTGACCTTTTCTCCAACGAGGGAACTACCAGAAGCCCGCCATTGTTCACTACTAGGTTTTGACCAAATTAGAGAACTACTACAACAAGCTTGGAGATTCTGAGAGACTCACGGGTCGAAGGAAATCCCTGACTGGGCGAGATACAGGACATGCAGTTGAACAGCAATGATGTGGTGAGGTCAAGGTGAGGTTATGGAGAAGACCCGAGGGTCTCGGGAGCAAGCCGGGGGAAACTCAAAATATTAGCGCTTTAGCGACGCCGGACTTCCGGAATACGACGGAAGTCCGAAGCCGGTGATCGGTGTGGCCCCAGAGTGCCACAATGGTTCGTTCATGCTATCCCAATGCTATCCCAAAGATTCTCAGCAGCTTTGCACCTTGGTCTCTCTCACACATAATGAAATAATACAGCATACCGATATGAAGTACTTACAAAACTACACAAATCACAATTAATGATAGAGAGAAATGCCAGGGTTGACGACGAAAACCGCGGCGTCAGACAGTTGAGCACAAAGGATGCTCTACCTCAATGCTCGTTAGTACACCCCAAGGTCGCCATCGTCTTCTATAGGTCTCAAGAAACGCTCCCTGATATATGTTTGGCGACGTCTTCGCCTGAAGGATCCCGTGCCACGCCATGTTCCTCGTCGGACGCCACTTGGAGTAGTGGTGGCTGAGCACACGTATCGCAAGGAGCTGTGAATCATACTATTATATGGTTTCAGTACCAAGACGGGAAGGAAAGGTCGAGGGTATCAGATGATGCCGTTGTGTACTGAACGGCAAAGATACGCACCGAGGCACAATGAAAACGCTCTTAAACATCCAGCCGAAACAGGTGAACCGAAGAAAGATGATCAAGAGCAGTGCAGTTCCCTGTCACAACTCATCAATGCCCATACAAAGGGACGCCCAATTGAAAGACTAACCAGAGATTGATTGGCAATCGTCCCAATCGAGTGGGCGAGACCGAGAGCGAAGTTGGCAGCGCATTGTAAAGCCCAGACATCCCACCGGTTCATGAAGTTGTGGCAATGTTCTTCGTAGCCTACACTCGGCAAGTTAGTCATTTGTGGCACACAGGACAGGGAGGATGGATGTACCCACCTGTTGTCCATACACAAACACTATCGAACCTCACGGTCTTAAAACCCATCACCGAGCTCGACCTTAACATATTTTCGATTACCGTGCCCGCCGTCTCATTTATGTTTCTTAATTGCTCTTGAGTCTGCATATGGGCATCTTCCAGCGACTGTGTCAATAGTTCTGAAGACCGCGAGACTTCCGTGAGTGTAAGAGCCGTTCGTTGTGCTTGTTCTGTACTCGCATCGAGATGTTCGGAAACCTCAGATGCAGAGGAAGAGAGTTGGTCGATCGTCTAGGGGAACATGATAGTCGGCGTCGAAGTGAGAAAACAGAGAGACTGGGAGAGCAGATGGTGGAATACCTGGGCGAGGAGATCGACATCGCCACCCATTTGGTAGACCTTCAACGCCACCTCATCCTGTATAAGATGCTGTGAGGATTGGGTTCTCTTGGAGAAGGATTCGTACCGACCGTTCTAGAGGTAAGTCCATAAAATACGTCGTGCATTTGGGCTGACCAGACGTTCATCTGAGAAGCCATGGCTGTCTGGATACCAGAAGCTACACTCGCTAAATCCTCCGTATGCTTAGAACATAAAACATCAAGTTGAATCACGTTAATCTCTTGATCGATATTGTCAAAGAGCCACTCACAGTCTTGGTCGCCAAATCAAGCTCTGTCGCCATGCTCATTACTCCGTTGACACGATCTTCTTCCGAGCGCCTTCGGGCGATCTCAAGTACCTGCGGGAAAGGATCAGCGAACAGAGTCGTTGAACCCTTACTACGCCGCAGACCGAGACACTTGGGATCTGACCTCGTCCAAGTCTCTTTGAAATTTGGCTGAAAGTAACGAGGAAAAATCTCCTGCGGTGTCCATCGAGTTCTGCAGGCTCTCGAGCAAAGACCGAGCTTCCTACAGATACAAGCACGTAGAGTCGGAAGTAGAGCGAGAGTTTCAGTAAATAGCGAGTCAAAAGATAGGTCAAATAAACGCACGGTCGAGAGAGACTGCCAAAGGGCGCGATTCTCTTCGTCCAGCTCTTGACGGACATTCATCCATCGAATCAGGGAAACCTTCTCCTTGGTGATGTTTCTGTATAGCTCAGAGACAGCATCTGTGAGGAAAGAAAGCGAAAAGTACGGCACGTCCGTCAGACACAGCCTCCCAGGCTAGGAAATGCAAAAGTTGAGGGATCCCGACCTCTCTCATCACCATTCCGAAGTGCAAAGCACAACTTCGTAGCGTCGCCTCGGCCTGAAGATTAGAAGCCAACAATAGTATACGCATATATCCTGGTCAGAGACATAAACATACTGACTGAGTTGTTGCCAGTTGCTCAGATAAGGGGCAGAGAGCTGTCCGTTCCGAGATATAGCGCTATAGGCGGACATAAATATGAGATGAACACCGTTCTTTAAGTATGTAAAGTCACGCACTTGAGACATCGCTGGTAGTCTTTTGTCCGGGCGTTCGTCGAGAGGGAGTCAGTCTGGGATATTATGGCGTCGCACTCCATCGGGATCTGGTGATGAGGAAATGACTTGATCCCGCATAGAGTCATCTTGACCGCGACTACACAACACAAAAAAAGTACACCAGCTGAGCATCGGCAGACGTGTAGTTGGATATATGCGCGGAATATCCTTACGTTTCGACCGCTGTTCGTCGCTCCATAGGATGTCATCGCAGCGAGGCATTTCCTGGAGCAACGAGGAGCGGAGACAATCCGGTTGTTCCTCAAACGCGTCCATTGTTTCTGCAAATAGTCCTGTCAATCTGCCTGGCGGAACGTCGAATGTATGGCTGGCAGACTCACCAGCATTGGGGAACAAGGAGCGGCGGTCAGCATCGCTGAGTCCTAGGCCTGAAAAAAGTACGCACAGTATCAGTGCTACAAAAATCCAGAGAAAGTTCTAGTCATCCTTACTGTCGAAGCCATAGTTGACCGACACCGAGTCGAGTGCGGACCCAGCGGTCGTAGAATCAGTCGGCGACCACCAGCGAGACACGGAGAACGACAAAGAAGATGGCACCATAGCAATCACGACGATACATGGGAAGAACCTCATCACGAAATACCAGGAAACCAGCCTAAGTACAGTTCACAGTGAGAGATGAGGCCTCCAAGTCCTGGGGGAGATGATGACGGTGAGGACAAAAGAAGGGCGCAAGCACATTGGGATCTTTGAGACGCATTTTGAGGGCAGATCGGAGAAGGGGGCGACAGATCTCGGGATCCAAAAACGGGGAGGTTGGACGACCTCGGAAGAGAGTCGACGGAACGCATACATCGTTCAGCGCTTTCCCGACATAATGGCGCAATTGCCGGACTCTTCTTTGGCACACTCATCGGCCGGGATTACACTTAGATTCTTTAAAAGTCTGAGTTTTCTAGCAAGGTGGTAAGGTATACAAATATCCAAAACCTTTCCGGGGTATGTGGCGCTGGTAAGTTGGGAAGCAAGAGCGATCGACAGCGCAGTGTCAGAATCGGAAAATGGTCGACGGAGTGCTTGTCGGAGTTAGAAATCCGCCTTTGCGGCAGTGGCCGAGTGGCGTGCGGCAAGTGCCTCCTTCCGTGCCACCATCCTTGAAGTTGAACTTGCTTTAGACGACCACCAAATACAAGACGGAGCTCCTTGGAATCACCGCACGCTCGCTGAACGAGCTCATGGACATGTTTTTGCTGTTACCTGACCCGAGACCACTATGCTCAAACTATCCTGCTTGGAAATGCCATAGTCCTCCACATCTTGTGCCTCACCTAACGTCGCAGTGATGTAACGACACTGGGCAACTTTCGAATGTCCTGTGGGCCATGCTGGTACATTCAACTCTTTGGCTATATCTGAACCACCCGTAGACTACGGTTCAGCGTCTTTCGCGTGCCGTCCCATTGCTGATCGGCTGCCCAATGGCGTCGATAATGAACACAATCATCACCTGACTCCTCCCTGCGGATCTGCCCAGAACGCCACTGATCTTAGACCAATATACCAAATCAAAAATCCTCAGAAGAGTTCCATCAATGAAACAGCTACAGAGTAGACGGTAAAGACGAGATGCGAATGGGCGCTACGACTCTCATGCAAATGCGGCTCCAGCATACCGTGCTGTCCTGAGCCGCCTTACAACTGACATGCACAGTCCCACAAAGTGACACCGAAACATATATGAATGACCACAAGGCGTCTACAGGTAAGCCTCTCGATCATATCTTCCTTTATCGATAAACCCTTTAGCTCTAGTCCGTCGCAACCCACCGCCATCATCATAGCTTTCTGATCCCGCCTCCTTGTTTCACCTCTGGGTATCCCATGAAGCCACCATCTGGCATTGCGAACTCGAGGCCATACGACTGGAGCTGGCGCTCCGATGATCGTGAGGGACCTCCCACATATATGACATGCGTTCATGCGCCTCGCGAAGCGGCTTTCTCCCGGATCCCTCTCTCTGCCTAAACTCTTCGTAACACGGTATAGAGCTATGGCAGGAGGGTCAATCGAGAACAATCTACGAGTTGCATCGCTATCGATAGCGTTGTACGAGTGAGCTGTTTTTATGTCGGATATGTTCTCTACTCTATACTCACTGGCGATTTTGTCGTTCGTTCAGTTATATTTATACTCTTCCCGCTGAGTGGAGGGCTTACCGTTCTCCTGCGAGACGGATAAGGTAGCATTTTCTTTGCGCCCTTTGTTCTTTGACACAAAATCCTGATCGCCTGCGCCAACAGCGTCGGACTAGTGCTGTTCGTTCTTATAAGGTGAGCACGCCTAGATATCCCACGACCAATCGTACTGATACGCATTGATATCGTTGTCTTCAGATATGTCAGTATAAGTACCCTTGTGGTCAGCAACGTTGGATTCTTCTCGACTAGCTTCACGGTGGAGTCGTGCAAGCGCTACTATATGGTTACACCCGTAATGAAGGGTAAGAATCGCTCAGGATTGCGACATGGTGATCTCCGCATGCTAACAGCTCCCATACAGTGTTACAGACCATGGTTTCACAAACGATCTTAGGCTTTCGGTGAGAGCATTGCATATTTTCTCAGTCAACAATAACACTAATGACGGCTCTTTCGTCAGGACTTACAATATCTCTCGTCGGAATAAGTGGGTGGGATACGTTGTTGGGGGAGAGTTCGTGGTGGTGTCTGCGGTGTGTACAAAACATCCTCATAGGAACTTCCGGACTTTTTCCCTGATGTGAGCATCCTGATGTCTTAGTTCGAGTGGTATAGCAACTGTTATAACCGAATAGGTGAGCAGTCATCCAGCCAGCTAGGAGGTCAAGGGCTTACATGGCTGCGCTTTTCTGCCAGCGGTTTCCAATAATGTCAGTCCCAACTTTTCCTGTCACCGAAAGGCCTGCGTTCTAACATCCGGACTCTCTTCGAACTTACAGGGAAAGTCTGTAACGTCATCCCCGCGTGATATGTTGGATTGAAAAGGAAAAGACCTGACCCGGCTTTCCTTATTCTTAGCTGTACTCTGGGCACCCAGGATCCAGATAGCCAACTGGCTGTATGGTTGTTTTATCTGATGTCTATGTTATTCGACATCTCGACCATGACAATCTCCTCTGTCTACTTGCTCAGATATCGACCACATTCACCTGCGTGAGTCATACCCTATTGATCACCATGCGTTTCTGTCACTAACAGACTCCCGATGTTAGGATGTCTCGTGTGATCAAAGTGTATGTCTTGTCCAATACGAGAGCAGTGGAACCTGCGAACGATGATTATGTTGCATAGACTGTTGTACGATGGCTTGGTCTACTTTGTGGCCCTAACGGGTGAGCCATTCCATGTCGTGACTTCTCTTTCGTTGTCAATGACTCATAAAATGGTTCCCTCTAGCCGTCAACATCCTCAATCTGATTCTATATCGAGCGTCCAATATCTCCATTCAAGTGAGTCTCCCTGGACAGCATCTACACATGAGTATCGGATGCTGACTGCTCGTTTACCTTTTCCTAGACAGCAGCGTGAGCATCGTGTTGAATGAGCATTACGCGTTCGAGATACTGATAACAGACGGAACGGGACTAAGTGCCTCTCTAGGCTACGCTGTAATATGGATCTTTTCCCAACGTATCCTGATCCACCTTCAAGGTATATCGGCCCTCCCTGTTGCATGTCGTATACATTGTACCCACTGACCCAAAAATTCATCACACTATACATAGAAGTCAACTGTGGCAATGGCGATAAAACCCAAACCGTAATAAGGCAAACACAGCACCTACACACCTCCAGAGACATAAACGATGCGATCCGTACACAAATCTTAGCCAAACAGCTAGACAACGAGTTTTCAACGGACATACGCGTCGAACATGGGCTTGAAATTCCATGCGACAGCATTTGCACGTTTGGTACAGGGACGGGGACCGTGACGCCAAGGAGAGAGCCAAGTACTACTATGGATGTTCAGGTCCACATCGACAAGTCAGTTATCGTAGAGCAGGAGCGCCATCCTTATATCGACGTGGAGCAGCTGCCATACAGGATACATGACGCAGGTGTAGATCGTCATGAACGGAGACACGGGAATGCTCGGACAGATTGGACGGTTCAGGCTCAGAGAAGGTTGTATACTTTACCGGAGGGCAGGGTGAGATCGTGATCATTGGGATAGAGTGCGGTGCAGCATAACGGGCGTAATTTGGGAACATATGTGGCCCTACTTCTCGATAGATTATCATAGTTTTAGGAAAGGTCACTGAGATCTGTAGACCATAGTAATATCCGTACAGAGTGAGCTACCGGTAAAACGCAGAGCGCAGTGAAGCTTCGCCCAAGACGGTCCCCGTACATACCCAGACCAAGAACTTTGTCACAAATAATCATCCTCCCTGACTAATCTAACGTCCAATGGTACCTGCGGCGTCTGACCGTCTCCAGAGGGGGGACGTACGACAGGGACTTGCACAGCATTCGTCTTCCAGTATATCTCTTTGATATGACCGGTCTCGTCAGGAGTAGATGGAAGCGAAAAGTGTACGACAGTGAGAAGAGTCGCCATCACTTGTTCTATGTAAGGAAGCCAATGAGTTTGAGGGGGAAATTGTGACTGAACGAAGGTGGGGGGGAAGAGGCATGTCACTCACTCATCTCCATTTCGGCAAATTTGAATCCGCTAGATATCGGACAGCGTGGTCCGTCAGAGTGAGTCTGGGTGGGATTACGAAAGGTGATTCAACGTACATGCATGCTCGGCCACCACCAAGGAAGGTCATCCTGAACGAAAGTGTTAGCGAATTTCCTGAACAGACAACAAAGAGAAAACACACATCGACCCATACACCCCAGGATATTTTACATCAGCTCGCGTCCCCGAAGCGTCTCCTGAGTTTAGAATTCTTTCATTGCTATTCACCATTGATGACTGCATCCCGACACGCTCTCCTGACGCAGCAAGCCATCGCTCCGGCTTCCAGACAGATGCGTCCTCTCCCCAGACCTTAGGGTTGTGATTAGCCGCCAATATGGAAACGATAACAGTTGTATTCTTGGGAACAGGGATAGCATTGATCTTGGTCCCGGACGATGAACGAATAGGATATTGCAAAGGTAAAGTTGTCGCCTTCCGTGCACTTGAAGAAAAACGAAGAGTAATAAACACGCAGTTAATGTGAGTTAGGCTGAAGACATACGTCCGGCTCAACACATTCGTCGGTGGGTGTACTCTCAAGGTCTCCCGGATGACTGCATCGAGAAATGGTAGACCCATGAGAACATCGTAAGGCAGTTCGGCGTCCTTCCAGTCGAGTCAACGGTATATGACAAGGAGGGAATCTAGATGTCGTACTTTATCTGGCCTAAGAGCTCAGAATTAGTGAGCCTATCGGACTCTGACGATGAGGCATTGGCGCGCACTGTGAAAGTACCTCGATTGAAGCATAAAAAAGTCAAGATGATAATGAACACTCATACTCATGATGCTCATGATGTCTCTTCCCTTCGTCCTTTTGCCGAATGCGCTATCTTTTATTGTCGCAGGATAAACCGTGATGTCATCCGCATGATCGCCCACGGAAGCCTTTTTCTGTTCAAATATCGCTCGACTAGAGCGGTCCATGACTTCCACTATACGCTTCAAGTCCTTGAGCGGCTTCACCGGAATCCAGGCCACCATCTTGTTCCTCCAGTAGAGCGAAAATTTTCGGACTATGAATGGAATGAAGGGGCGTAGAAAGACCAATCGTAATGCTGCAGGCCTGCAATGATGGGAGGCTTAGTAGAAACCTACATTGTAGAACGTAAGAGTGGACATACGTGAAGCTTCGGATTGCCTCTGCGTACTCGACAGTCTCACTCGAATCCAAGGCCCCAAAGCTATATCCCAACACCGCTTGGGCGACGTATTCCAGCGCACCACGAGATATCAAAGGTAGTAAGTCGATCTCTTTTGGGTCTAACGCGTACCAAAGCGGAGTCAACGCCCATATCACAAAAGTGAACATTGAGTACTTGCCTCCGTTACTAGGTAGTTGTGAAGTAATGACGGCGCAGAGCTGACTTGCAATGGGCTGTATTGTCGGAAGCAGCTCGCGCATATTTCCCATAGAGAACACAGGATTCAGCATCTTGCGTTGTTTGCGATGTTGTTCGCCGAGCGTAGAGATCAGTCCTTCACCGAAGATGAGTCTGTTGCCTATGATGAACATGTCAGTTTCTTCGTATACGTCTTGCTCTTTCACGACGATGTGGTGCAGAGCGCGCGGGTCGGAAACGTATAGCTGTTCATTCTGTGGATACCTCTAAGCCATGCTCGCTGATATGATGGATGGAGCACGTACCCCTAACAAAGCGTAAATTTTGACTGCACCGCCGTATTTCTCGGCAAGACTGAGATTGTACTCCAGACCGTCTTGAAAGATTTGATGGTAGTTCCCTGCGTGGATGGACAGCCATGAGAACGCATGAAGCCCTGCCTAGATTTAAACAAGTAGAAGACTCACCCTTCAGCCAGTGGTCTTTTTCAGGGCCCGCAACGTCGCCGAACGGGGACTTGGGCTTGAACAACTTTCGGTATAGTAACATCCATAACAGGGTGGCGAGAAAGGTCGTGCCTAAGAGTGGGACAGGCATATTCCACACAAGCCATGCAGACTACATCAGTCAAAATGTTCGCATCAGTTGGCGCGCTAGGCAACAACATATGATAAGTCGAAATCGACGGGAACAGACTCACCCACAAATTTGTGGCGCGAGTTCCTTCAAGTTCAGATCGCTGTTGAGTCCTTGTGTCGGTCAGATGATTTAGTAGTAGCGTGTTTTCGCCTCTTTTGTGATGGTAAAAAGAGAGTATCGGAGGCGCCGTTCTCCCATTTTCACGCTATCGATGTGCTGTGAAAACGTCGCAGTAGCCGACACGAGAAGGTTCCCGGGAGCGCGCCACATGTTTGTGATTCGGGCTCCACGGTGCCCAACTTGGAGGCGCATACCGCTGCCCCGGCTCCCGGGGATCAGTGACGGAAGCAAACCGCGAGACAGAAGATGACACCTCTCCGAAGAAAACAAATACATAGGTCTAAGCAGAGCACTTAACTCCAAAGGAACCCAGGTCTCTATAACGTGTACTGTTACACCAGCACATGCCTGCCTGGGCACCGGCAGCGAGCGACAAAATCACATTAGTAGCGCTGTAAGCTTCCCTACGAGTTGGGCCACCCCCTCCACTGCCCACTTTCCCACTCTGATATTCTCCGGAATAAAATCACTTGCGATCAGTCCCTTCCTGGCCCATCCATCGACCAACCACATCGCCCAAAACATTAGCCACACCGTGGTCCACATCCATCCTTTCCACCCTCCCACCTTCATCCCCGACCACTGCTCGTAAGCGCCCTCCAATAAAACTCCCACACCCATCATGATGAAGAACATCCCGACCGTACTGAACTCCGTGCCCTGTCCGAGTCCGTACAGACCCCAATCATGTATGACGGCAGAGAGGGTGAAAGCACCCATCACCGCTCCTGGTTTGCCAAAGATGGGAAGAAGAGGCCTAGAGCCGAGCGTGGTGAATATGCGACGGAAGAAATGATGCCACCTGTTTCCCCAAAAGTCTGCGAGGCTCGTGGATAACCATGGACGGTCCGAGAGGGGTGGCCATTCGGACGTAGAGTATCCGAGGAAGAGACACGCGAAAACGGCGGTGCCGAGATAGAGGGTATCCACTGCGGTGTAGGTGACGATTCCGGCCGATAGGGTGACACATAGGGCGCATGCGAAGCGAGTGAGAGGGGGAAGGGAGGGGTCAAATATGGTATCGCCGCCGGGTTGATTAGCCTGTGAGCACAAGTATTGGGCGGCATAGTATGCGATGTCGAAGATGGAGACTTTGAGAAGCATGGAGAGGAAGAGGGCAGTGACGGAGGGCGAGGTGCCTTGAGGGAATGGATTGCGCGACCATGACCATCCATAACCACGCTGATTCATGGTGAGTTCGACTGCATCTCGGAGTAGAGAGCGAATGTTTGGTGGTGCGTCTTCGGTACCTTCCCCATGTCTCGCTTTGGACTCGGGGGACTTCAAACGCCGGTACGGCCTGGAGGCGAACGTCCATTCGATCGCTCGCAGAGGAACATACATCATCGCTATCTGAGCAAACTGTCAAAGGAGCCCTTTGGACATCATAGAGCCCGGTACACTCACCACGAAAGCATAATTCCAGCACTGTATCCTCTCGTGGTCTCTTCCTAGTATCAGTGCTGTCCGACGTGCCAGATCATAGCACGTAGCGGCATGCCATCCAGACCCAATGATGATAGGAAGTAAGGATAGTTTCCAGATGAATGTTCGTGGAAGCTGCACTAGGACGGCTTCGGCATAGTAGCAGGCAAACAGAGGTGCGACTGCAGTGAGCGTCAAGGGTTGGCGAAGAGACGGGTCCGGAACGGTGGGGAGAAAGGATGAAGTTGTGTTTGTTACTGTCTCTAGGAAGCCCATGACAGCGAGGAGCAAGATACGAGGGACATCAGGTTTGACGCTGAACGGTGACCACTGCAGGGTCGGTGCGGCCGTCCGAGTCGATGCCGAATTGTCGAGGCGAACAGCATTGGACGTGTTGAAGCCCGTTCGAGTCATGTATAGAGAGTTTTCGCCACCCGGAATCTGCCGAAAACGCTCAGATTCTCCTGAACGTGGAATGCGTGCACAAGGTGACAATGGGGCCCTTGCCTCTGGCAAGTCTAATAGGATGTGATGAGTATTGCGCATAGAAGACACTCAAATATTTTCGCAATATTATGTGCACGAAATAGTGTCGAGGGGAAGACTCTGGGTCCGCCAGTCCAGAATAGATTTTCTACTTATACGGATAGGGATATTGGTCCTTATGGGCCCATTTTGTATCCTGAATATAATTCCTTCCTTCCTTCCTTCCAGATTCTGGGTGGCGAAACTCCCTATTATTCTAACACTTTAGCGCACATCTGCTACCAAGTACAGCTGGATTTGCGGAGGGTAATACGTGTATAAATGGCAGGTAAGGATGATGGTGATGGTCGGTGGAGAAAGAGATGGAAAGCATGAGTGTGAAGGGAGACAGAGAAAACAAACACAACACTCTGAAATTGACAATCGACACCTTAAATACAGAGGTACTGGTGTTGCACAGGCACAAATAAAATGGCAAGGCAGGACAGAACAGTAAAGAAGACAAAAATGGCGCGCTGCAAGATGTGTATCTGCTCTGTATGTATAGATAGATACTGTGATGTCGGAAGCAAATTGTGTGTATGAGTGAGCTCATTGCGTACTCGAGGCCATGAGGGATGAATGGGTGGATGGAATCGTTGCACGGCGTGGACATATATATATTGTACTGGATGTGGGTGCGTCGACAGGTGGGATCGTATTATAGTCTTTGATTGGTTGGATGCAGAGATCTTCGTAGAGGATTTGATTCATGAGGGAGGCAAGGGAAAACGTGGAGATGGAGAACAAGAGAAGATGAGCCGAAGTATCATGGCAGACGATCGAGAGAAAGACAAGAAACCAGACAGTGTTGGGTAAAAGGACATGAGGGTGTAGGGTGGATGATAACGATATGACCAAGCGGCGGTCTGAGCAAGAAGGAAACCAGTAAGAGCAAAGCTGCGCACACTTCATTGTCCGCAAATGAGAACAAAACGAGACACGAGACAACCTAAAAGATAGAAACAAAGAATGCGAAAAGAAGAAAGCGAGTGAGAAAGCAAGAAGACAGGGTTCAGACCAACTTTCGTTGAACTACGGCCGAACCCGCCGTCGACCACGCCGCCCGTTGGCCTTTATATTCGTGGAATGATCCCAGAATTTGATACCAAAGCCCAGAGTGAGAGCTCAACGCCGGACACAAAAACTGAAGCAGCTAGAGAAGAGGCAAGTTAGTCGACGCCACATCTTCAACTCAAAAACAACGCTTACCATAGACAGCGCACATGTGCTGCAAGCATCAAGACTACGAAGTCGAAACCCAAGGCTGTTGCTGCCCCGGAGGTCCCATCACAAACACCACATCATCTTCCTCCTCTTCCTCCACCTCCTCTCCCGTCTCCTCCCCACCCGGCGAATACACCTCCCCATTCGAATTCGCACTCTCACTCGTCCCATTTCCGGGGGCCACCTCCACCCCAGCACCTGCATACCCATGCACAGGCGCGCCGTACTCATACGGACTCTCGACCTCACTGACCGGCGCATCTGGCAATACGTATCTCTCCCACTGTCCACCTCCCATCCGGACATAGTCCCCTCTCACTTCGACGATGGTAGACAGCGTGAGTACCTCCCTGACCAGATAGTAGTTCTGGGTCGTGCTGCGAACGCGATTGAACGATGCGAGGAGCTGGATCGGAATCCATCCGCGGGAATCCATCTACATCACACGATTTAGCAAGTCAGTCAGCGCGAAAAGTAAAAAGAGCAATAACAACGCACCTTCTTCCTCAACCAATAATCGCCCGCCATATTCTGTGCACTCATATAATACTCCAACTGTCCAAGCAAATAATACCTGGTCGGATCGAGCGGGAACACCAGCTGCGTGATAGGCTGGGGCACCGTCGCAGGATGCATCCCTCCCTGTGGCTGCGGCTGCATCCCAACGCCACCAGCACTGACAGGCGCAGAAGTCGGCTGGGGCGCATAGGTCATCTGAGGTTGTTGTGGCACGATGGGTTGGAACTGCGAGTAATGGTATGCTTCGAACCCGGGCGCTATGAAAGGAGGTTGAGGCAAAGCGTAGTACGTCGTTCCGCCTGGTGATTCAGTGGTCATTGGAGGCTGCAACGATGGCGAAATTGAATGGGAGGGTGGTGGCGGTAATGGCGGAGGCAGGGACGACGATAGAGGGGGTAACGACTGGAATGCAGGCGCCGGTGGCGTGTAACCGACAGGCGAACGGGAAGGAGGTGTATGTTGCAGTTGAGGTTGCACCTGTCTCCGATTATACGCGCCTCCGCCTCTGCCATATCCCCTACCAGATCCAAATCCTCCAGGACCTATACCCCTGCCCCTTCTGCCGGAATATCCTCCCCTCTCTGCCACGTATCCGCTCCCAGCGAACGAACCCCTCCTTGACCTTCCTCCGGCCCCAGAAACCCATCCATTTATCCCCGCACCAGGACCCGGAGCCGCACCTTGTGTCATCCCCGCTCCAATCCCCGCCGCTACTCCAGCGCCAGCACCAACACCACCCGCCGCAGACCCAAAGCTCTCTGCCCTCTCCCTCGCCTGTATCTGATACTCTCCTCTCTCCCTCTCCCTCTCTCTTTCCTTCTCTCTTCTGATCCTCTGCTCCCTCGCCAAATCCACTGCATAACCCGTCCCGCTCGCCCTTCCGAACCCGAATCCAAAGTCTTTCACCTCGAGATCATCGCCTGTACCCGACCTCGCAGCCGAGACCGGTGGTACCGCGCCTGAACTTCTCGCTGCCGACGCAGGGGGAGGTCCCGGTGCTTGTCCCTGTCCAAGATAAACCCCAGTCCCCGAAGTCGTCACCGGCAACCCACCCACCTGCTCACCCATCTGCAAATACGGTCCCGAATGCGGCGGCGGCGGTGGCGGTAACACTTGAGGCGGCGACGTCCCCTCCAACGACTCCAGCCCAACCTGTACCGTCGGACTCTGCGCCTGCACCGTCGTTCCGCTGAACAACAAGCCCACGTTAAATGGCACAGGTGGCGGCTGCCCCAGCCCCTGCGGCGCATTCTCCATCGGCAACGCAGACCTAGGCCCGACACTAGCACCGGCGTTCGAATAATCCATGAAGTCGCTCGCCGTCGTTGTCGTCGGCGCCGTCGTTGTCGTCGGCGCCGTCGTTGTCGTCCCAAACTCGAATTTCGTTTCCTTATCCGTCAGGTCCACGACCTCGCTCCCGATGTTTTCAGCATCCGCACCAGCACCGGTGACGACCACGCCATTCTGGCGTGTCGCAGCAGGGTCACTGGTCATCGAGTTCGTCCTTGTCGCGGTCCACGTCCCTGTCCCGCTCCTAGACTTCGACCTCTCCCTCAAGAGAGACGAAGGGCCCGCCTCGCCCGGCCGCACACCGACGGTGAACATCTTGGCCTTAGACCGCTCTTCCTCGCCCGTCCCAGAACCCGCAGAACCAACCTTCCCACCCTCCTCCATAGGACTCGGACTCCTCATCCCTTCGGGGAGGCCCACACTCCCGAAAATCACCTCCCCAACTCCAACATACCCCCCTCCTCTTTCGACCACATCTTCCACGACGGAGACTTTCCGGTATCCCGCTACGGCCTCTTCGTCCTTCGGATCCAAAGGTCTCGATCTCTCGCTGGGTGGCGGTACGCCAGCCCCGTGACCCTCGCCATCCTGCACTCTTCCAACACCAGCGCCAACATCAGCGCCAACACCAACATCGACCCTCAACACCTCTCGCACCAACCCATCCTGCTCACCCTCGCCCGAGGCCTCCCCTGCCCCAGTCACAGTCCCAGTCCCAACCCCTCCATACATCTGCATGTCCTGTCCCGACTGAGCCCTCGGCTGCGGACTCATCGACATGCCATTCACACCCACACCCACACCCATCCCGCCTCCATACCCATACGGTCCCGGTCCCGGTCCCGGTCCCGCCAAATGTTGCTGCTGCTGCTGTGCATGCTGCATATGCGGTGGAGGAGGGACGACGTACTCCCCGCCCGGACCCACCCAATACCCGTACGGCGCATACGGCGCGAACTGCTGTTGTTGTGGGTGCTGCTGTGGGTGCTGTTGTTGTGGGTCGTACTGGCGCTGCGGATGTGGATGCGAATGTGGATGTTGTCCCAAATGCGGAACCTGCATCTGTGGAGGAGGATACCAAGCCCCAGCTCCGGGCGAATACATATCTGGATGTTGATGAGGCGGGGGTGGGGGAGGCATGTAAGCGCCCGGAGGAGGCGGGGGTGGGTAATGATGCGAATGTGAGTGCGAATGAGAATGCTGGTGTGGATGTTGTGGGTGTATCGCTCCATGACCATGTTCAGACGTGAACGGCGAAGTCGCAGACGACGGTGGACCGGGGTACGGTCCCGAGCCCGAACCCGATGGGGCCTGCAACGATTGCGATTGCGACTGCGAGTGGTGGTGTTGATTCGAATTCACCTGTGGCACCTCATGCGCAAAACTCTGCGGTTGCGGCTGATGCAACTGCAACTGCACCTGCTGCTGCATCCGTGGCGGCGAGACGTAGTAAGCACCTTGTACCGTAGGGTGATGCTGATGGGGCTGGGGCTGTAGCGTCGTTTGTATCTGCTGCGGTTGTTGTGGTTGTTGGGATTGTTGGGGTTGTTGTTGATGGTGTGGTGATGTTCGGGAGGGTCGTGAGGGTTGAGAGGACCGAGATGGCGGGGCAGCGTTAGGTAAATCGATCGAGTCACTAGGATCAGTGACGAGAGCGTCGGGTCCGGAGCTCGGCGCAATCTTGACCGCGTCGGTGCTGGTGCTGTCCGTCGTGTTATGACCAGCCTTGTCGACGCCAGCGCCCATCATCAGCGCATTCCCATTCCCGTTCCCGCTCCCGCTCCCGCCCACAATCCCGTTCCCATTCCCATTCCCATTCCCATTCACCACAACGACCTCGATCCCCTCCCCAGGCAACTTCCTCCCCCTCCCCCCTCCGCCCACGCCCAACCCCAACCCCCTCGGACTCGACTGCAAACTACTCGCCCTACTCTGCATCGTCGACGTCACCTGCGACCCTGTTCCTGTCCCTGTCCCTGTCCCTGTCCCTGTTCCTCTACCCCCGCTACTCGACGGAACCTGCGACACTGACACGGACGGATTCGAGCTCGAATGGCGGGTATGGTTTTGATTCTGACTCCGGTGGTTCGAAGTAGACGTGGATGGGGCGTTGGTTTTCGAAGACCGTGATTGTGACTGGGACTGGGATTGTGAGTGTGAGCGGGATCCTTGCTGTTGGTGCTGATGTTGTTGTGAACGTGAACGACGGGCGGCGGCGTCGGCGGCGGCTTGCAGTTCGGAGGGGGGTATGGCTATCCATTTGTGTTTCTCTGTTCGAGTGAGGATGAGTGAATGAATGGATGAGGGGTGGGAGATAGGACAAGGGAAGTGGGGCGATTGATAGAGAAGGAACGGAAGGTAGGAGTGAATCGATGTTAGTCATGTTATGATATATCATGCCATGTGAAGGCTCGAAAGATAGCAGCACGGAGGGGAAATGAACGGAAAAGGTTTGTCGAACATGGATGAAAGGAAGGGTGGGAGGACGAAGATCATGGCCAAGGGTTGCATGTTCTTGGATGTATATAAAGAACGAACGAACGAAAGAAAAGAAAAGACGCACCTTTCCTCGGCGTACTCGGATGACTCTGCTCCTCCTCCTTATCCCGCTCCCTCTCCTTCTCACCATCTCTATCTCCACCTTGATCCGAACTCTTCCCTGCACCACTATCACCGCCACTACCAACCGCCTTGCCCACCTCCGGCCAACTCTCCGTATCATCCACAGGTGGCGGCGGCGGCGGTGCCGGTACCGGCTGATGCGATGCTTGTGTCTGTGTCTGTGGCCGACGCTGAGACGAAAGCGAGCGATTCGCTTTCACGACGAACGCGTCGGGATCCTCGACATCCGATGCGTTTGGTCTCGAAGACGGAGAGCGCGAGTTCGCTAGAGATATAGGGGCAGGTGATGACTTGGCATTGGCGTTGGCGTTAGGATTAGGATTAGCGTTCGAGTTCGGCGTCGCACGGCTACTCGACGCGGAGGGTGGGGTGACAGCGGGAGAGGGGGCGGAAGGGGTGGTGGCGGAGACGTTTTGTGAGTTTAATTGCTGAAGGGGACGAGCCCGAGCCTCCGCACGCAAGCTCCAAACGTTCATCGCTGGTGGCTTCGCTGGTGCCGAAGGAGGTGGCGTAGGATCGTCCATCGGATTCTCGTGCGAGGTCGTGGGCGATGTATGTGCAGTATGCGTCGATGCAGCAGAGGAAGAAGTCGTAGTCGTCGTCGAATGATGACTTCTCGACGCGTGATTGTTCGAGTTCGAATTCGAGACTACGGGGAAATCAGCGGCCGAGGGCATCACCGTCGTCGTCGTGGTTCCTTTCTGCGCAGACGAGGACGAAGAAGGCGCTAATCGTGTTTGTGTTTGGGGCTGAGGATGGGAGATACGGGCATGAGCACCTTTCTTTGCGCGGTCGGCGTACGAGATGGGCTGGGGCGTTGGTTTGGACATGGGGATGGGTTTGGAATTGGATGGCGGTGCGCCGGTCGATGTCGCTGTGACCATCTTATGCCTGTGCCTGCCTGGAGAATGGATCAGCCAGCGTCAGACTCAGTGCTAGGAATTGGTTGTGTTTGGGCTGGGTCGAGTTGGGTAAGGACACGGACGCGGAGCGCCGGGGAGTTCGTGTGTTGGAGGCTGCGTGCGCAAGTGACACAGACGCTGACAAGGAAGAACGGGATCTGTTGACTCAGACCAGATATGTTTATCTCCAGACGAGAAGATATGCTGCACCGTTCGTTCAGCGAATTTTCAAGGGCCTTTTATCGAGAACCGGGCGTTCAGTTCAGAGGCGAAGGGAGATGGATGGGCGCGACGAGGACAAGGACGAGGACGCGCGGAAGGAGAGCAAGCCAGAGATTTGACCGAGCCACTCGCTCGACCCACTTCGGCACTTCCCGGTGTCCAAACTTGCGCCAGATCTAGAGGACCGGATGGGTAGCAAACTCAGACCGAATTCTCGATTTTCAAGCAAAGGTAGGTTTGCGTTTACGAGAAGCTCGATACTCGACGTACAACAGAGCGAGAAGATTACCGGTGACTGATTACCGATGACTGATCTGTCTGAAGCCGTGTAGGCAAGCCTTGAAGCAAACTGAGAGTCGACGAATTAGTACTAACACTGACCTACACTGACCCAATACAAAACATTGAATTTGCTAACGATATAGGGTAACGGCTACTGGACTGCGAGGAGATATGAATACAGAAATTACATGGATGGTAAGCTGCAGGGTCGAGACACATCTCAAACAACCTCCACGAGAGGAAAAAAAAAACTCAAACGACACAACCAAACACAACCACACCTCTCGACAAAAAAAAAGCCTAACCCTCCTCCTCACCAACAAACTCAAACCGATCCATCTCCCTCCCTACCTCCTCCTGCATCCCCTTAAACTCCTGCATCCCATCCCAATCCAACCCACATTCACACCCTCCCCCTAACAACCCCTCAAACACCCCCTCAAATCCTCCTCCCAAAATGGGATACACGTTTTCCCCCCTGCCCCTCACTCTCAGCAAGAAATTCTCCGGTTCTTTCCCTGGCCCGTCTACCAAAGGATCGACATCGTACGGCGTTGTGGCTCTGCGACGTGTGAGCTCGACGCCCAAAGAGGTCGTCGCGGAGAAATCCATAACGATCATGACCGTCTCCTGTTTCCTCCGCATTGGGAGCCCACCTTCTTCGAAAGGATAAAAAATCGGCGGCACACCGACACCCACCAAACCCTCTTCGCCTCCTCGACACCGTGACCGCACCACGACCCCAACAAGCACCAAACACGCATCATCCCACGGTTCGTCCATATCCCCCACATACGCCGGGAACACCAAGTCCGGCGCCAACTCTACATCCGAGTCATTGACACCCCGGCCCTTCAAGTTATGTGAGTGCGAGCAAGGTTCTGAATCGTTATGATGCGAGCATTGAGGAGGCTGCTGCAGCGCAGCCCCGGTGAAAAACGCCCATCGCACCAGCTCGATCGGGAGTTTGTCGAAGGGACGGGTGAGAGCGTGGATGTGCGTCCAGGTCATTGTCGCTTTCGAGCTGAATGTGCGGAGGTCTTTGACTGGCTCTTTATTTTTCTCCTCCTTCTCCTTCTCCTCCTTCTCCCTCTCCACTCTCTCACCGTTCTCTGCATGATCATTCAAACCCGAGACGGAAGAAGAGGAGGGGGAGGGGGAGTCGCACCCATACCCAGCGCCCAACAGACTCCCAAGCCACTCCCCGAGCGTGAACGACCTCACCACCGTCCTCTTCTTATCCATAAAAAACTCCTTATCACCATGAATCTGAATCCCATCCCGCGCAAGGATGCAAAGAAGTCCACTGCAGAGCTCTTCGCGCCGTCGACCACCGACATCGATGATACCAGGAAGAACAAGTTGCTTCAACAGCACCTCGAGCGCGATACGATATTTCGCACGGCGGGCCCTGCCAGTGTCCGAACTCGCCAGTGAACTTGAATCTTGGGTTTGGGTTTGGGTTAATTGCCAAGTCGCTGCGAGGGCGAGAGCGGGTTCGGATGGTGCGCTCGTTTTCATCTCCATCTCCATATCGCCCTCACCTCCTTTGCATTCACTGACTGAGGGAGAAACAGAGATGATCATGCGCATATGCCGACTGACCAGCTCCCTCTCCAGCTCTCTCACCGCCTCATTCTGTTCCTGTTTCTGTGTTGAGGAAGTTGTGAGTTGGAGTGGGAGCCTCGCCGCGAACGCAGCGAAAACATGCGTCTGTTTGTATGGATCGAAGCCCGTGGATGTTGGCGACCAGAAGAGTTTCGAGCTTGCGTATGAGAGGAGGGAGGTGGTGGGGAGGGTGGACCAGTACTATGTGGGTGCGGGTGGGTGCGCGATGGGAATAGCGTTTGTAAAAGTTGAAAGGGACGGTGAGGTCAGGATTGAAAAGGACCATGCAGGTGAGTGGGGTATAGTGATTGGAAGGAGAAGAAGGCTGACCGGACGCCCATACATCTTTAGATATCTCAACTGCAGTGCTTCACGGGGGTACCTTATCCCCTTCCCCTTCTCCATCCCCTTCTCTATCCCCCTGTCCTTTTCCTTCCCCATCACTTTCGGAGCCATCTGATTACAGCGAGTTTCGAAATGATACGGAACTCCATCTTTCGCATTTTGGCTCAGCCACAGCTCGGCAGTGACGGATCATGCGCGGCACGGGAATTTCCGCAAGGCTTGCCTGTGTGTGGCCCAATGCACAAAGTGCTCGATGACCTTTCAAATTCCTGTGCGTAAATAAACAGGGAACCGAGAGGAACATATGGGAGGGAGGAAATTACCCAATTATAGAATATTGATGAGTGCTAGATTCACATAATGTTCTTCAAAGGTTTTGGTATGCGTGCAGGCTTCTGGCGACAAGCATGGGGCAAGTCATCACTTGACAGTTTCTTCTAAGGTCGTATTTCTGTGAAAATATTGCCGTATAGACATTTGTACTTATGGATGTATTTTACAGAGCTTTCTTCTTGATTACACTGACGGACAGAGCGAGAAACATGGATGGCCACAGTTGGGCCACAGCGGTTATACAAAACGGTCCAGACAAGTTCGCGGAGACCTCCGTGCCGTCGCAAGCTCCGTCGCTGCCGAGCTGTGGCTGAGCCAAAACGCGAAAGATGGAATTCCGTATCATTTCGAAACTCGCTGTAAACCCAAGATACACAAACGGCGGCTGCGCTCTCAAGTTCAAGTTCAACCTCAAGTTCAAGTTCAACTTCCGCCCTGCTCGTGGTCCCGCCACAGCCTGAGGTAGGAGCAGAAACGGACCGGGATCTGTATCGAGGAGCAGGAACCAGAACACCGTGTCCGTGTCCGTCCGAGTCTCGTTCTCGTTCTTCGTGCCAGGACCAATGTTCGAGTGCAAATCATCCGCAGCTTTCATCATCCGCCACATAGCCCCCAGCGACATCTCGTCCTCCGGTAACATATGCATATGCATCTGTGGATTGGACTCGCCCAGGGCTGTACATTCGTCTAGCGCGATGAAAAATCTTCTTTGACTTTGACGGTGATGATGACCCGGATTCCTGCGTTGGGGATGTGGAAGACCTTGCATTGACAGTTTCCGATCCAGCGCACCGAATCCACCCGCACAAAACCTTACAAAAAGCCTCTCGTGCCACGCGCACGCCTCCGCCTCTGCCCCCGCCCCAGTGAAAGTTCCAGAACGCTCCTTACCCTGGACACGAACCCGATCAACCCACCCCCGCTCTTTCTCGAGCCATCCCGCATTCTCACGTAACGTGCTTTGTGCGCGAGATGATTTTGGCTATGTGGCTTTCTCGGTTGTTTGTATCCATGGTGGTGTCAAGGGAGGAAGCGTTCGAGGTGGGGAGGGTGTATTTCCAACTCGCTAGCGAATCTTTCGGAGGTGCCTCTGAGGAGGAGGAGGAGGGAATGGATATAGAATCCGCGACGACATGAGCGAGTGCGCCCAGAAATGCAGCTGCTAGTTCTTCTCCCTATGTAATAAAATCACAGAATCAGCCAGAGTCAAGGAGAACGCATTCAGGAGGTGATATGAAACTCAGGGATTGAATTGCATTGAAGTATCTACTTACCTTGTACTTCCCACCCCCATACGTCTTAAAGAACCTCAACACCCCAACGTCCCCAGGCGGCCACCCCGACGCGGGATTCCGATCGTTTCGCAGGCAGATACTTATCACATAATCCTACAACCCCACGCGTCAACAATGAGCGAACGAAACATTTCTCAAAAGACATGGCACCTCGCTCGAGAGCTCCTTCACGAGGCGCGATTTCCCACACGCGCTGGATTGTACAATCGGGATGATTCGTCTGTGATGTATTTGTGGGTCGTACATCTGTTCGTAGGTCTCTAGTGCGGTTAGGAAGCGGGATTTTTGGGAGGGTTGGTAAGGCGTTTGGAATGCGAGCTCGAGGGCGACGGCGCTCGCGAGGCTGCCATAAGTTAAGAGCGATACAGTTCAGGAGGCTGTGGATGTGAATGCAAGGATGAATGAGGGGATGTTACCTACGTGCTACGTTGGATGTCCTCTGGGCTCGAATAAACACGAAGGTTGTGCTCTGCTTCAGGAACTGGTGGGTGCAAAGGGCGGTAAATATACGAACGATCGGTATGCACAAAGAGCACTAACGGCACACTTGGAGGAAAAACCTTTCCGGTCTGTTAAAATTATCCAAAAACAGCCCCCAAGCGTCCTTCCTCATCGTACGTCTCTCCCCATCCAAGAAAAGAGCCCCCTCAAGTTCGTACGGGGGAGGTGGGAGTGCTGCCTCGGCATAATATTGAACGCTGGACTGAAGACGAGAAACAAGGTGCTGAAGAATCACGTCTTGCTCCTGTTTATTGCGTACTATAGCCACCTCGTAGCGCGTACTGTCGATAGCGCGGGCCAGCCAAGGAACGACGTCCAACCAGTCAGAGACGGAAGAGGACATGAACGTACGAAGCCAAGCTGATGGCGCCGAACTCCCGCACGCGGATTCGGCGTCTGCAATTATTCTGGGTGGCGTGAATCGAGCAAGTTCCCACGAGTGGCTCAGTCCACAACACATTCGCCCAAGATTCTCGCATTCCGCGCGAGTCGCCGCTCGCTATGGTCTCCTAACAGGCCCTGTAAATACTTCTTGAGCCACCCACGTCGTCCCTTTCACCACGACTCATCACTTGACGCCAACGCCCACATCAACACCGAACTACGGTCGAGCGCAATGAACTGGTCCTCCTCCACCATCACCGGCCTCTCGTCCGACACGGGCCCCACGATCGTCATCACCTTCGAGTCGGGCAAATACGTGTTTAATGTGGGCGAGGGCACGACAAGAGCGCATCTCCAGACGAGGAGGGGGTGGAAGAAGGTCAAGGCGATGTTTTTGACGCAGGCGACGACGGAGCGGATGGGCGGTATGACCAGTGCGTGTTCTTTCTTGTTTGTTGTGAAGAGTGTAGGGTGGGCGTTTACTGGGGTTGTGGATGTACTATAGGTTCGATGATGGCCATAGCGGACGCTTCGGCGCGTCAGCTCGATATCGTAGGTCCGCCAGGCATCCTCCATATCCTCGCATCCATGCGTCATTTCTTCTACCGGTCCGTCCCTTTTTTTTCTCTGTATATCTCTCCACACTCACCCTTCTTACTTATACTAATATATTTCAGCGATACCCTCCGCCTCAGCGTTCACGAAACTTCCTACCTATCCCTTTCTCCACCCATCGACTCCGGCGCCACCGCCACCGCCACCCTCCCAACCGACCCACCCCCCGTCTTCAAAGACGAAAACATAACAGTCTGGGCTATCCCTCTCTTCTCCACCTCCTCCACCACATCTGCACCATTAACTTCTCTGAACACGAGTAACGGAGATGGAGATGGAGACGTCACGATGTCCACCTCCGATCCACTCGGCTCTCTAAAACGCAAACGCGACGACTCTACAGCAGAGGATACTCCTTCTAAAAAACCTGCCCCCGTTAGTTCTGGTGCTGCTACCTCTCCTCCCGATGCTGTCTCTCCCTCTGAACCCACGACCACCGATACCTCTTCCACCCCGTCCCGAACCGCAACCGCAGACGCAACTCAAGCACCCCTCCTAGACCGCTACCGCGCCAACCCGCACGAATTCTCCATCCAGTCTCTCACCGGCGCCGAAGCTGAGGAATGGCGAAACCTGACCGTCGGGCACATGTTCACGTTGGCTGAATCGGAGGCTGCTCCTCCCGTGAAAGATGACGAGAACGCCAAAGGAAGAGAAGGGAGGGATGGTAGAGGTGGAAAGGGCAAGCAGCACAAGAAGGGCAAGAAAGGACGCACCGACCAGCCCTCGACCACGGATCCCAAATCGAGTGAAGCTCCCCCTCCTCCCCCGCCTGCAACGACAACGAACGGCCGAAGAGATCGCGGGCCCGCGCGTTTCAACCCCGCGAAATCGTTCCACCAGCTTCCGCGATTCGACCTTCCTTCTTTGTCCTCTTCCTCCCTCTCTTCCTCTTCCACCACCCAACTCTCACCCCCAGATGCACCCTCTTCCTCAGCTCCACACCCCGCACCGTCCTGCGCCTACCTAATCCTCGGCCCGCGCATGCGCGGCCGGTTCAACGCGCAACGCGCAGATGAACTGGGATTGAAAGGACCCCTGCGTGGACGGGTGAGTAAGGGGGAGACTGTTACGTTTTCTGTGGAGGTGGATGATGGAAAGGGAGGAAAGGAGACGGTGGAGAGGACGGTGAGGCCGGAGGAGTGTGTGGGGGAGAGTGAGGCGCCTGTGGTACGTCTGGCCATCCTTTCTTTCGGTGTTGTGTGGGATGGGAAGCGTTGTGGCTTGTAAAGGAAGTGTGTGTGCTGATGTTGTGCGTATACAGGCATCCCTAATAATCGACGTCCCCACACCCTCGCACATCCCCTCCCTCCTCGCCGCTTTCTCCTCCTCCTCCCACCCCCTGTACGCCAAATTCCGCTCCAAAGACCCAAAGGACCATAAAGAGGTGAACACGCATATGGTGTATCATCTCCTGGGCGAGGGCGTGCTAGAGGACGAGCGGTATGGGGAATTCATGAGGGGGTTCGCTGATGGGACTTATGTGAATTCTTTCCTTCTTTTTCTTGTGCATTTGATACATCTCACACGACACTGATATACTGACATCCTGATATGCATTGTACGCCACAAAACTCGAAACAGCACATGGTCGCCTCCCGCGCACACAACGCCGACCCGATGACCTTCACCAGCGTCGCGCTCAACCAGCTAAGGCTGAACCAGCTCGATCCGGACATGTTTCCTTCGTTGAAATACAGGCTCGAGGCTGAGAGGGCGTTGTCGTGTGCGTTGTCCCTCCTTCTCCCCGTCTCTTACTGTCTCCCGCCACTTCCCCATCACGCCCTACCTGACATAACATAATAACTAATACCGACTTGTATTTTATTTTGTTTCGTTCTATGCTTTTATGCAGCCATCCCCAACCTCCCGCGAAACACTTTCCCCCTCGTCTCGAACACGTTCACGGATCATAGACCGGCCAAACCGCCGGTTATTGACAGTGAGATTCAATCGAGGGATTTATTCCATCCTGTCGTCACTTCCTCGCCCTACCCTTCCTTCTCTTCCTCTTCCTTCTCCACCAGCACCTCCTCCTCCTCCACCAGTACCACCACTATCACCGCCGCCGCCTCTGCTCCTGCTCCTTCTGCTCCATCTGCTGCCCCGCTAGTAGAGCTATCCCCCTCGACTTCGGAGAGCTACGTGACAGCGCGGGAGAGGGTACGGGCCGTGGCGAGTGAGATGGAAGGAGGAGGGGAGGGAGGAAGGCCGGGAGACGATATCGTTGTGATTCCGACGGGGACGAGCAGTGCGGTCGTTAGTCGGTTTAGGAACGGTGAGCCTTTTTTATTATTATCTTGCTTACCTTCCCTGTCCTCCCTTCCTGTCCTCCTACATTCGTACTCTACCTGATGCTAATATCATTACTTCCGTTTGCTTCTTCCCTCGTGCTATACAGTCTCTGGCCTACTCATCCAACTCCCCAAACGGGCCGGGTACGTCATTTTCGACGCGGGCGAGGGGACTTGGGGCCAGATCGTTAGGTTTTTCGGGGTTGAGAGCGGTTCGAACCCTGGTAAGGAGAAGAAAAGGCAAGAGGAGGGAGAGACGGCGTATGATGTGTTGAGGACGTTGAAGTGCATCTTCATAAGTCATATCCATGCGGACCATCATGCGGGTTTGGGCAGGATATTGGCGTTGAGGGCTAAAGTTCGTCATCTGTCTCCCCTTTCCCTTCCCTTCCCTTCATCTTCCGCTCCGCTCCAGTTTGTTACCATCGAACGCTAACAAGAATATCTGTCCACAGCTCAACCCACCACCCCCAGACCCTCTCTACCTCATCGCACCCGAGACCGTCCATCTCCACCTGCGTGAACTCTCAGACACCGAACCGCTCGGGCTCGCTTCGTCGCTTGGGACGCGGAACGGGGTGATACCCATCCTGGCGGAACATATAGATGTCGTCGCTAAGGCCTGTAAAGGGAACGGGAACGGATACGGGGGAGGGTACGGGTATGGGGGCAGGAAGCGTGAGGAGCCGGAGGGATATACGCTCGATATGGGTGGAGGTGTTAATGTGTGGTATGAAGGAAGGGAGGGCACGGAGTGGAAGGGGCAGGGGAAGTGAGTCTTTTTCTACTCCACTTTCTCTAACATTCCGGCATTGCGGGGTGGTCACTGACTGAATCGGTGCTTTGGGTCCGTGTTCAGTTCGCGGTTGGCCGCGGAGTCGTTGTGCGATATGATGGGACTGAAGAGCATCGAGACCGTGAATGTTAAGCATCGCGTCCGGGCGTATGGGATCGTGATGACGCATCGGGATGGGTGGCGGATCGTGTACGTTTCCTTTCTTTTCCTTTCCGTGCTCCCGACGCAATGATGTTCATTGTTTCTCGATGTAAACAGTTATTCAGGCGATACCCTACCGACGAACAACCTCGTCCTAGCAGGCCAAGACCCCACGCTCCTCATCCACGAAGCCACCCTCGCCGACGACCAAGAAGAAATGGCATTCAATAAGGCGCACACGACGGTCGGCCAGGCTGTCAATATCGCCAAGCAGTTCGTCGTTTTGTTCTATATTCATAACTTAGGTAGGCGGACTGATGCTGACTGGGCTCTTTTTTGTTGTTGTTGGTTATTGTTGCATGGATAGGATGCGAGCTGAAAACGTCCTCCTCACACACTTCTCCTCGCGTTACCCACACATGCCAGACTATATCTCCGAATCATCACCCGCGCCCTCTCGTCGTTCATCCCCCTCTCCCTCAACACCGCAACCCGACCAGCCCACCCAAAGCCGGAAAGGAAGCGATAATAGTCCGGCGGTGGCGATCGCGCTGGACCACGCGAGGCTGAGGGTGGGCGATATGTGGAAGATGCAGCTTTATTTGAAGGCGATCGAGAAGAGCTTTTGGGATGTGAGGGAGGAGGGGGACGAGGAGGAGGAAGAGGCGGTGATGAGGGCTAGTATGGGCGACCATCATCATCATTAGTGCCAGCCTACGGTAGGCATCAGTTATGTTTCAAGAAGGTCACTCTGGGTTTCTGTCAAGGAGAGATGGAGCGCCTGTGATCTACGTAGGTATGAGAATACATGGTGATAGACCATGAGTTTCGACATCCTAGCCGCGGTGTCTTCGATTCGCATTTCCTGCCCGTATCAGGGTAGATGTAAGTTTTGCACGCTTTCAAGGTCAAATGAAGTACAATGTTTGAATTCGAGGATCGCCAGTCGTTCTGTTGGACGCTATCTTTTTCTAGTCACATCCACACAACACCTCTTTCATCTTTTCCGACCATAACAAGTTCATGAGCGTGATACAGTCTTGGTCACTAAAAGACCTCATTGTCGCCAATCTTTTTTGCACATCGTGAAGGCACAGACTTTAGACTTGGCAGACACGGAAGCAAGTTCTCCGTGGTCCCACGGGACCGATTGATGCAAATCTTGGCGTTTGGCTCACCATGTTTTCCATAAATAGGTTTCAGACTCAGCAGAACGGCGATCTTGGATGCGTACGTATCGAGACTTGTAGATGAGGATTGGCCCATGACCGGGGATATGTAGTTGTGCAGCCCTACAATGAGCCCCCTTGCTGTTTTGTTGAGATCCATATCGATACTTGGGTAGGTGGGGGTTTGGGGAAATGTGTGTGCTGAACCAGGATCTAGATTCGTCTGAGTCTCGTCCAGGGGGCATCATTGATTCAATGTTTTTGAAGCCATACAAATGATAGGGACGTGACAGGATGTATCCAATAGCAGCTGATACCGGCTACATAAGACACCTATCGCGAAAGATGAATGAAAGATGAGAGAAAGGTTGTCGCGTGCGGTCGGAGCCTCGTCCACTTCGCGGATTCCTTGTTCTCCTCCCCCCGCATCCACTTGGTTCCAACCAAGAGTTTTTGACGGCTTCCCGAGCTTCGAAGCGCAGGATATCGACCCGATGGACCCCCGATGGGCGTTGATCGTTGATCGTCCCTGCATGCGGTTGGTCATCGCGATCGAGAGAGATTTAAAGGTACTCAAAGCGTGTCGCGAAGAATCCGTTGGGAAGGTCCAGGCCACCAATAAAAATGCGCAGACGGACGGCCATCGGTTGCGTTGGCGTAACGAAGGAGAAAGGAAGGGATAATTTCAAGTCTAACCTTTTCACGAGTGGATTACGCTTCCGAGTGGGGTATGACGCTCCCACGAAAACGCCTATCAAACGGGTGGCATGAGCAGGCGCCGCTACACGGTAAACTCATCATCAAATTCAGACGACAACGAACATGTCCGTCGTTCTTTCCGAGTGTACCACGTCCTCCAAAAGTTCGTGTGAACTACTCGAAATTCCTCCGAACCAGGTGGCACAATCGACGTGTTTTCATGGGTGAGAAAGGAACGCGGTCTCGTACCCGTCCAGACTCTGGAGGTCACCCGCCCCACAGCGGACACCATCCCATTCCTAGTACTTGCTCGCAGCTGATCCAAATAGTACCAGCTAATGGGACCTAGTAGACTCATAGCCAACGTAGATAGATGATACGCGAGCATTTTTGAACTCCAGTGACTCTTTATCTCGAGCGTCTTGACAGTCTAAGGGCCTGACAAACTCGCCGATCTGACGCCTGTCTCATAACTATCTGCTCGTAAGTACGTTTTGAAAATGCAAAAAAAGTCAGCCCGGTCAGCCGCCCTCTTTATTTCGTATTCCACACTTTTCCGGATTTCTCCTCGACAGGCTTCCAGTCCGCTCTCTTTTATTTCCTTCCGTCGTCTTCCCTTCCCTTGTCCACCGACGACGTGCGTAGCCAGTGGCTCCCCCCACCCTGGCTTCATAATAATCACGTATCACTTACTTTCTTACAGCCTTCACAACGACAAACCGACTCTTGTCATCGTCAGACAAGGTCAGACTACCCCTTGCGCTTACGCGCTCTCGCGATTCCTTTCGGACCTTTTCGACCCGCAATACTTGATTTGACCTGGACCGCTTTATTATAAGCCCCAAGGTCAGCGGCCCTTTGTCTTCTCTTCTCTTTCGCCGCATTCTGGTCCTCACTCACACACACATTCTAACTTTATCTCTCTATCCTCTCATCGTGTTCCGTCACGCCACCGCTCCTTCGTGTGCCAAACCAACATTCATCTGCACCCGACGGTGGACGTCAATCGTACCATGTCCAACCCTCTTCGTGTCCGTGTAGGCCGTCTCAAACCAGCTAAGCATCAAGCCAATTCCCAAGCCGAAGTTTCTCCACTGTCTCCCTCCTCAGGCTCAGCTTCACCCATATCCATATCTCCACCATTCCACGAACAAAACCTCCGCATGCCCGTCAAAGACCGTCCTAGCGATCGTACAGCAACCTCCCGCCGCACGTTCGAGGATGGAGACGATTCAGATTGGCCTCCACGTCCGAGTCCGGAGCGGGAGACCGAGGAGCAGCGGACAGAGAGATTGGAGCGGGAGAGGGAGGCGAAGCGGGTGAGCGATGATATCGATTGTGAGTTAGAGGCGGAGAAGATTGAGAGGAGGAAGAGGAAGCCGGATGTGAAGATATTGTTGCTAGGTGAGTTCCTCTGTTCCTTTGCGTTGGTCCTTGCTTTTCTGGTGTCTCTGAGTGAGACGGAGGCCATATTACTACCGACGTACTGTGGTTTGTGCTGTGCAGGTTCAGGTGGCTTTCTCTAGATTAACCCTCTTCGTCATTGGTATTGGGTATTGGTATTGCGGACTTGCTTCAGCCTCCCATCATCTATCCCGCACTCTGGGAAATGTTCGGCGACTTACTCTTTCATCCCGTTCTACTTAGGCCAAGCCGAATCCGGAAAATCGACCATGCTGCGTAACTTCCAGCTTCAATACACTCCACAAGCTTTCCGCACCGAAGCCGAAGCCTGGTCCGCGATCATTCACCTCAACCTCGTCCGGTCAGTCAACTTCATACTCTCCCTCTTGCTGGAGCGAGAACGTGAGGCTATATCGCAACAACCGCATACCCATGCCCACACAAATACGCATACGCACGGACCGCAAACAAATCCGGATGGAAAGACAATATCCGTGACGCCGAGAAGCTCGACGTCCTCTGGACCAGAGAATGCCGAGAAAGACGGGAGTGGAGGGAGTCTTGCTGGGCATGCCAGTGTTGCTGGTAGCGCTAGCAGAAGTGGGAGTGTAACGGAACATGGAGATGGGAAGAGTTCCATGGCATTGACGGACGAGTTGAGGAGGCTGAGAATGAGGTTGAGTCCGCTTCGGAGCGTGGAGGAAGCGTTCCTAAAGTTCGTCACGGGGAGCGCAGACCCACACACGGTTGCATCGGCTGTGGGAGGTGCACAATACTCGTCAGGGTCGTTGCAGAATACGGCGTCCAACTCTAACTCCAGCCCCGATGACTTGATCAACCCCAGCGGCAATCCGATATCAACGACGACGTATCCGCCTACAGCTCCTAACACAAATTCGAACACCGATCTACAGTTCGACCCTCGAGTCGGCTCGACGACGAGCTGGCAGCGCAAGAAAGGGTACGAGCGGACGTTTGAGGTTTCTGTCAAATCCGGGTCCAGATGGAAATCATTGTTTAGGCCGCTTTCTGGGATGAGCAGTTCGGGCCAGCCGGTCAACGGGGCGGGAGGGAAAGCCGGGGTGTATGACGAGCTGAAGAATGCGAGGATGGTGTTAGCGGCGTGCAGGGAAGATATTCTGGCACTGTGGGAGAATCCGGTCGTGAAGACGGCATTGGCAAAGGAAAGCATGATGCTGGAATTTCAGAGCGGGTTGTGAGTACTTCGTTAACTTCCCTTTCCTTTCCCATTTATTATGAGGGTTCGCTCTGGGTGTGTTTGAAATGGTGTTGCTTTTTGAGTTTCTAAGGGGAGAGATGGTGTTGGGTGATTTTTATCAGAAGTTTGTCGAATTTGGGGAGCGGTTATGGTGTATTATCGAAATTGTTGGTGGTGCGGTGAGTAGCGTGGCTTATAAGTGGTATCCCCTAAGTTTTTTGGACCAGGTCGAGCGAATAGCAGCGCCAGGGTATATGCCAACATCAGGTACGTAAATTTCCATGTTTCTCTATCACTGTTTCTGACTACATGTGACCGCAACAAAACAGGAGACGTCCTCAAAGCGCGTATCGAGACCATGGGCGTCGAAGAACATCTCCTAAAGATGGAAACAGGTGGGATTCGTGGCTTCAACAATGTACGCGACCTACTTATCTCATTCACGATCTTGCCTCTTCCTTTTTCTCTCTCTCCTTCCCCCTTCTCTTTCTATATGCTACTACGTGGGCGGGCCTGTGGTTTACTCTCGTCTTTGTCTCGTAAACGTGTTATGAACCTTCGTTTAACGAAGCCACTGATGCTGGGCAGACTTGGGCTATCTATGATGTTGGAGGCAGTCGGAGCCAACGTGGTGAGTGTCTTTCTTCGCTCTTTCTCTTCCGGATTCTGTCGTCTGGGACCGTAATAACACTACCTCTTTTGCTTGTTCAACGGGGACTTCTTTAGCTGCATGGCTGCCGTATTTCGATGACGGTAAGCCCATCGCTATCAGAATCTCATACTGACCCGGGGCTGACGGCATTTTTGCTCCTGTAAAGTCAATATGATTTTGTTCATTGCTCCCGTATCGGCCTTCAACCAAGTCCTCGCCGAAGATCGGAGTGTCAATCGATTAGTACGTATCATCAGACTCAAATTCACGCTTCGATTCCCAACCTAATGGGTCGTTCTCTTCGGACCACAGTGGGACACAATATTCCTCTGGAAGTCCATTTGCGGAAGCAAACTACTGCAGAAAGTCGAATTTGTGCTGTTGTTGAACAAGTACGATATTCTCGAGGCGAAGCTCAACTCGGGAGTACTGTTCCGGAAGTTTGTGACGTCGTATAAGGACAAGCCTAATGATATTCAGAATGTACTGTCGTGTATGTTCTCCCTTTTCCGCAGTGCTATTTTACACTCAACTGTTCATGTGCTGATTTCATTGTGTCTAGATCTGAAAGGCAAGTTCGCGATGATCTATAAGCAGAATCGACAGAGCGGGGGTATGTTGCACATCCATGTTACTTGTGCAACGGTGAGTACATGTCTCTCTTGTTCTTGTACTGTAACTAAAACTAATACTGAACCCGTCATCGTCACGTCGTATAGGATGCAAATGCCACGTCCGTTGTTCTGGGACGAAGTGAGTCCCCCTTTGAATCTTTGATTTTGAAGTCCCCTAGCTGACACGAAATCCCTCTTTAGTTCGCCAATCCATTTTCACGGAACACTTCGAGAAGGCCGACCTTTTATGAAAGAGTTCCGACGTACGCGACGTGCCACTGGGTGTTGTGCTCAACGACTCCACATTCTACTCCCTCAGCGCCCATCAAGATGTCTTCATTCATATGCACCTCATGTTTACCTTCACTTTTACTCCGTCGTATGTTCTCTTTATCCTTTGTTTCTAAATACTTCGTAACACGCGATCCACAGCAACGCGCACATCTTTATCCTTCCAACTTAGGGCCACACAACCTAACGATCTCATTCATTTTGTTCTTCTACTTTTACCTTCTGTTCTGCCTTGTAGTTGGATATATTGTTCTTGATTTATACCTTGTATATGTCTATTATCTCTGTCACTGTGTCGGTCAATTCTGTATCATGCACACTGAGGCTGCGTCCCTTTACGATCCAATTTACTTGCAGAACACACGCTAGTTACGCTTTACGCTTCGCCTTCCGCTCATTTCTCTTCTATTTGGAATATATCTACTTCAGTACTGCGTAATTGTTCCCGAGAAGTAGACCTCCCGGTCCCTTCGTTCCTCAATATTCTCAGTCTGAGTCTGCCCGGGGCCTGCCCCTAGTTTGGGCCATAGTTGCGCCACTCAAACCGAACCTTCAGGAGGTGGCACCGGTACCGATCTTGGATGCGGAACAGAGGAGCCGACGTCATTTTCGCACGTGGCTTTTGAGAGCCGTATAAGAGGCCGCAGCGCCTGCGTCAGTCCTCAACCATCACCTCCTTCTCCAACGCCCTCCAACCCACACGTTACTTCGCCTAAACATCCAGAAACATAATGGCTATCAAAGGCTCTGACGTTCTTCTCATTCTTGTACGTTTTTATGAGGTCTCGTGGTAAATCTAACGGTACACAGGACTGAACACGGATGGGGTTGTTCGAATAGGTCGCTATTATCTTCCCTCCAGCTACCGCTGCGTTCCTCACTGGATGCAGTTGTGACCTGCTCATCAACATTTGTTTGACTCTGTAAGTTCCACTCTCACTCCTGCACGCTAATTATGAGAATTGACCTTGATGTGTGACGGCGTGCAGTCTCGGATACATCCCCGGTCACTTGGTGCGCTCCTGACAATACTCACGACATTCTGAACTGCATATTTACGTCGATTTGTGGGGCATAATGTAGCACGCTTTCTGGCTCATTTACAAGAACATGAAGGCCGAGGACTCATACGGCCGTGGACAATACACCTGTACGCCGCGTTTCTTCCGAGTCATCTCCTTCCCTCCTGTCCTTTCCCATCCTTCTGCGCATCCCTCCGCAGCATAGATAACTGACTCACTCTGTATTGAATGTCACAGACGTCGGCAATGGCCAGTACGAACCCATCTACAACACCCAGGGCCCTGTCCCAGTCCAGGGTGGCCCTGTTCAAGCGCCAGTCCAGAACTACGGTGCCACTGGTCACTAATCTCAATCCCAATTCTCCCGTAGTGGGAAATCACTAAGAGCTCGTACACCTCTTTCGGACGTCTCAATCGGAACAGTTTCATACCCTTTGTCTATATCTTTTTTTCTTTCCTCTGCGCTTTATACGTCCCTCGCTCTTCTTCCTGGAGACCAAATCTACCGGGTGTCTCACTGCTGTTGCCGACTGGTTGTCACATACATGGGCGTACCTGTGTTGTAATTTACTCTTGTCGGACGTATGATCTATTTGAAACGAATATACATGGTTTTTGATGTATGAATCGTACACAAATGCGGGTAGATAAATGTCTTGCTAGTTGTAAAATTTGTGGAAACCATGCTCATGAACGGGTTGAATTGGACATAGTGTGAGGTGCTCGGGCGTGGCCTGGTATCGAAAAACACCAGGGCTTGCTCAAGTCATTGCAAGTAATTCGGAGTGCGGACCTTGATGAGTGCCAGTATAGACTGTCATTCATCCTAAAACATACAAAGCAAGCATTTAGAGATAACTCAGAGTACTGGTATACATCCATTTATAGATCAGCTTCCTCAAGATTTCTTTGTCCGCTCACCCGTCCAGGTTCTCAACACCCTTCAACGCCTAGCCCGTCAAGGTATCCGCCACATCGCGATACCAGCCCTCGTCTTGTCCACCTCCTTCCTCACTTCTTTGCTCTCACCACTCCTAACAGCGGCAGCCACAAACAACTTCACCGCAGCCTTCAACGCCGCCTTCGCCTTCTTTTCATCTTGAGCTCCCATTTCCGAATCCTCCAAGTCCTTCTTCTGACCAGGCATCTCGACACGCGACCATGAGACGCAGAGTTCGAGGTACTCGTAGAGGACGTTCACCACGCCGTCGAAACCTTTCAGGGTCGTTTCGTTCACCTCGCCCTGTACCTTTCCTTCCGAAATATCCACCCCGGGTTTCTCGCCGTCGGAAAGACTAGTGGACGAGGCAGACGGTGTGACGGATATGGCAGCTTCTTCATCACCCGGTAGCACATACTTCCACAGCTGCTCCAACGTCAATCCGTCCCAAGCGACCAGCGGCGCCCCCAAACGCACGGGCACGATGATCGCAGGGCACCCATTCATCAGCTGATAATACATCACGCTCTCATGTGGTCTTTGGCTCGACGTCCAGAGGTTGATACGATGTGGCTTGAGACCCACGACGACCATGACCATTCGACGGGGTGCCGGGGGCTGCGGGAGTGGAGTCAGAGTCGGTTCGGGTGTTGGAGAGGGCGGGGGCGATGAAGAGCGGGAGTTCGAGCGAGAGTGGGAGAAGACGGAAGTCAGCTTGTTGCTGTAGGCGGTCGAGGTGGCGGTAAGTTTGTCGGTGTAAGAAGAGATGGTCTGTGAGAGGTTGGGTCTCTCTTTGGGTGTGGACGTCTCAGGGGCGATAACGGGATTGGAGACGAATGAGATGATAGAGGCGGATTCGCGGAGGAGTGTTTCGCCGATCTTGTAGTCGCCTGCGAGGAAGGGGCCGTGGCAGAAGAGAACGTCGGGTTTCATTGTGCGGGGAATGACGGGCCGACGACCGCTGATGTGGAGACTTCAGTAGTGCGAGCTGAAGAGATGGCAGGGAGCCTCTTACGATGCAAAGAGATATGGCGAAAACCAGCCCTTCTCAACTGAAACATAGTCGACCACACTTGCGAACAATGATTTGTCCCTGCGAGAAAATGCAAACTTGGTCAATCACCGCCTTCGACACCCACCTGACCCTCCCATAGAGTTGCTCACTTGTGCAAACTACTCCTGTAAAAGCCCAAATTCGCATCCTCGACGGTGTGCTTATACTTCAAGGTGATCAACATCGTTTTCACTCCTGTCGTTTCCAATCTCTTCGAATGGAGCGGGACCATCTCGTCAATAGGCTTCTCGAACACGAGATCGTCCGCCAGGGTCATGCTAAGTTCGAAGCCCGCGTGCATGCCCATCTCGACGAGGATGGTATCGCCCACGGTGGAGACTATGGCATCGGAGACGGGACCCATGACGGGGGCGGCGACGGCTGCGACACCACCCTGAGAGCATGAAGTATCGGGGGACATGAGATGAAGGATAGAAGGCGGAGATTTGATGACATGTGCGTACGGTTGCAGCTACGACTGTGTGGACGGCCATGTCACGGAAACGGATACATGGCAAAAGAAATGGAGAAGAGTCGCCCCACTAGAACGGAGAATTCATTTGATCATTGTTCTTGAATTGAGCTCGATACAGATGCACGAGTGGATACATTGGGTGAGGGCCAAGAGGTAAGAATGCTCACTGGAGAGAGACAAAGTATACTCGTCCCGGCTGCTCTCAATGACTCCAAGGACGCGATCACCATTCTCCCCGTCATCGACTACGCACACACCGCACACCGCGCATTGCATTGATGGAGAGTGCAGTGGTACCGTGGGATAGAGGAGGTAGACATAGACAGCATTCCTCAGTCAGAACTTTTGCGATGCGCGAAGGACCAATGGGTGGAGGATCACTCACACCAACGAGTTTGCGAACAACCCATGGCGCAGCTACAATGAACATAGATTTACACAACAAGGTGATCGGTACGCAATGCTGTCTGTCAAGACGGAATGACAACGAGTAACTCAACACAGTGTACGCACCTTTCTCGTGCTCAGCATCAGGGATGGAGGCGGGGTCGACAGGTCCGAGAGGACAGATGTCATCGTGCGTCTCCACGACGGCAGGAGGCGCATCAATAGCAGTACTCATCCTGTCAGGAAACTGACTTTGTCAACGTTCACACTGCCTAGGTTGTAGTTGTGAAATGATGAAGACGAAAGAGAACAGAGCACAAGAAAAGATACGCGAAGTGGAGTCCTCGGTCGGTATTGCAATCTTTCTCTGCCAGCGCTTCGCAGTGACGGAACCCTAGCCCCGCCGACGACAAATAGCTTCCAAGCAGGAATTGCTTCGACAGGCGTCGCGAACGTTTTGGGCCATCGAACGAGGCGAACGAAAAAGATCCTCAAGCGAGAACAGAAAATGTATGTTGTGGCCTGAATCGGAAGCGACAGTGCCAAGAGTGACTTCAGCTTTGAATGAAGTATGATCTTGGAGGGTCTTGGCCAAACTCGCCAAAGAGGAAAGGCCGCTTCTTCCTCCGATAAATGTACTCAAGAAGCTCTGGCAGCTCAGACGAGGAAGAACACAAATGATACAATGCGATTGAACAATGACAGGGCTCGTTGAGGCCCCCCCAAACGAATGACAATAATACACCAATTATATCGACCAACTACTTCTCATCCACTTCCATCCTCCCCCTCCGTGGCGTTCTGAACCACCCATCCCACCTAAACAGACGAGAGCGTTGAGACTCGTCACACCAGCAAAGGAACGTTGAAGATTCCAATATTAATCTATCCAATCCATCCTTTTTTTCAGAGTCACTCGGTGGAGGGCGGCGTTGAGGCCACGGCATATCCTTCCTAAAACGGGTGTAGATGATGAGATCGACAGCGAAGGATGCGCCAATGTGACGCGCTTAGTAGCGGTAGTGGGAGGCCTTGTAGGGGCCGTTGGTGGGGATGTCGAGGTACTTGGACTGGACGTCCGAAAGGGTCGTGAGCTTGACATTGAGCGACTTCAAGTGGGCACGGGCGACCTCCTCGTCGAGCTCCTTGGGGAGCATGTGGACACCGAGAGGGAACTTCTCGGGGGTAGTCCAGAGAGCAATCTGAGCGAGGACCTGGTTGGTGAAAGAGCAGGACATGACGAAAGAGGGGTGACCGGTGGCACAGCTAGAACGAGATATATGTTAGCCATCGAAGAGAATCGCTACACAAAATGAAGACATACCCGAGGTTGACGAGACGGCCCTCTGCGAGGAGGATGATGTGACGACCGCTAGCCATGGTGAAACGGTCGACCTGGGGCTTCACGTTGACAACCTGCTTAGCGTTCGCCTTCAACCAAGCGACGTCGATCTCAACATCGAAATGGCCGATGCTATAACGGGAATTAGATGGATGCTAGAGAATGATGTAGTGTGAAACGTACTTGGAGACGATGGCATCCTCGGGCATTGCCTCAAAGTGCTTGGCCGTGATGATGTCCCTGTTACCGGTGGTGGTGACGAAAACGTTGGCGCGGTAAGCAGCCTCCTCCATGGTGCAAACCTCGTAACCGGCCATGGCAGCCTGGAGGGCGTTGATGGGGTCGATCTCAGTGATCAAGACGCGAGCACCGTAAGAGCGAAGGGACTCGGCACACTACAGAGGACCCAATAAGGATGTATGAGTCTCCAACGCAGTAGATTTAAGTAGAGAAAGGTACATACACCCTTGCCAACATCACCGAAACCGGCGACAACAGCGACCTTACCGGCAAGCATAACATCGGTGGCACGCTTGATACCATCAACGAGGGACTCGCGGCAACCATAGTAGTTGTCAAACTTGGACTTGGTGACGGAATCGTTGACATTGATAGCGGGGACCTTCAACTTGCCATCACGGAAGGACTTGTAGAGATGGTGGACACCGGTGGTGGTCTCCTCGGAGAGACCCTTGATGTCGGCAAGGTACTGGGGGTACTTGTCGTGAACGAGGTTGGTGAGATCACCTCCATCGTCGAGGATCATGTTGAGGGACTGGCCGTTGGGGAAAGCAGCGAGGGTCTGCTCGATGCACCAGTTGTACTCCTCCTCAGTCTCGCCCTTCCAGGCGAACACGGGAACACCGGTGGCGGCAATGCTAGGATGAACTTTTAGACGGCAGAAGATGCGCGTTTTCGAATGAAAGAACTTACGCAGCAGCGGCGTGGTCTTGAGTGGAGAAGATGTTCTGTAAATTCAATGATATGGATGAGAATCGGTTTCGCCCGAAGTGACGAATTCAGCGCACGCAGGACGACCAAGTAACCTCGGCACCGAGGGCGGTAAGAGTCTCAATGAGGACGGCGGTCTGGATGGTCCTGAACGCCAAAGCGGTAGGATGAGCACACGTTATCGAGGTTGATATGATTAGCCGAGGAGATGAAGGTATACACACATATGGAGGCATCCAGCGATGCGAGCACCCTTCAAGGGCTTCGCCGCGCCGTGCTAGAAATCGATGGAGGGTGAGTATGATGTTCAGTGCATAGAACAGTGGTCGATGAAACTCACCTTCTCCCTCATGTACATGAGTCCTGGCATTTCATTCTGAAATAGACGACCTCATCGATGAACAAACAAGCACTTAAAATCCATGAGTTTTGCAGATATACCTCAGCGATTTCGATCTCCTTGCGACCGAACGCAGCGAGAGAGACATCTATGGCGTCTGATGAGACTTTTCGCCTTCTAAGAAAGGCGTACAAGAGCTTACCAGCGACTTTGTAGACCATTTTGAGGGGAAGGCTTTTGGAGGATGGGAGCGAAGGAAGGATGTGGGTGAGACCTAACACGGCTTGCAGAAAAACGCCTGATCTTGCCCCAGTTTTATCGCGTAAACTATGTTCTCACGCTCCCTCACGTGGCGTTCGACGGTGTTTGGCTCGTTCTTCACACGCGCAGTTCATCACTCAACGGCGACGTTCACCTCGGCCAGCACAAAGAACACGGACGTAGCTCACTCGGGCAAGCTGGGCGGAAAATATCTAGGCACTATAAAATCCTCGAAAAAAACAATATACGCCTGTCATCAATGACGCTCGGTGAGCACGACGGCCAAAAGACTACGACGACGGCCAGTGGTACGAAACCCTTGGAGACAACCAGATGCCGCATCGCGGAAATTCTGCAATATTCCTGCGATTGGTCTAAAAAGGACAATCGCATCAATTGCCTCCCCTTTCCTCGCTTATTCAGAATGTCAGTGTAGTTCTTCTGCTTTAAGAAACATGGGCCACTCATGCTGGATAATATAGTTGTCCCGGGCGACCAGCCGTTGAGATTACACGGCAAGTCAGGGTGGATATCAAGACAGGGGAGGTAGAAATACCTCCAGAAGTTCAGTACGTCGTGCATGCTACCACATTGTGGCCCTCCACTTACCGTACCTGATGTGAGCAACATTTAGCCAATTCTTGCCGAAGGGCAAACCGTGGCGTGACGTTGTCCGATACTCTCAAGACGAGTCCTCTGAGCCTCCAGACTCTCAAGGTCAACAAACCGCAACATAGGCAACTCCAAAGCTAGTGCATTTTTATTTACCTGTAGTCTTCTGGATTTGATTTGCGTCGAATAGCAGCTTCTGAACCCACAAGAGTTTTGGTCTTGAGGGTTCGCAGGTCGTCCAGCTGTGGTGCAGACAATGGCTCTGCGCACTGGTAGCCCCACGAAATGCATGGAAATGGTCGATCATTATCTTCTTCAGACAATGGCGAAGACCAGCGGCCAACTCAGCCGTCGTATTCAGTGCGTTTCGGTGCCTGAGCTGGCGATGAAGCTCTTCTCTTCTGGGCCTTCGGTGAGTCGTTTGTGTATTCGATAATAATCGATTCCGAATAGCCTTGATACACTGCTGAGATAGAAGGAGTCATCCTCATCTCAGCGTATTGTAAACGATGACCTGTCGATGGGTCAATCTACTGTTTGGCGTTCATTGCAGACAAAATGTCACGACGTAGGTGAATTCTTTGATATTGATTTGCTCATCTGTCATATGGCAACTACTGCGGCCTATGTAGTGACATGCAATGCCTCGTCTCTGCGAGGCTCTTGATCGCTATTCCTAAATATCCATGCATCATTCACTTTGGTGTTTCACTGTTCTTTTCTTGCTCTCCGACTCTCTTCTCACATCATGGCTGGCTAACTCTCACACTGTTCCAGAACAACTTCCGGGCCTTGAGGCTATGATTCTTGCCACCGTCATACAATCCGGTCCCGAGTGTACCACCACCCAAAGATTTAGACGACCTTGAAAAGTGCTTGTTAAAGCCTCTTAGTGAGATCAGATCTATGCTACCAGCATACGATGATCATCACCATCTGGGCGGGACTGAGCCCTGGCTGAGTCATGTTGGTCTGTCATGCAAGATCTACACTTACGCGTGCACTATCCAAGCATCATGCACGTCTCCGACGACGTACTGTATTCTGGTCGGGCAAAGTTGATCTTTTGCTGATCTTCTTTCTCTGAATCCATGCGTTTGATCATCCTGTGCCACTTCGGGCTCGCGGAGTCTTCATGTGTTTCTTGATGGAGTACGTTCATATTCTTCGCTCTTAGACGCGACGTCGCCGACGTTTTGCCGAGTCACTTCCCATGCTGGAAGGTTTCCCATGGTTGATTCGTGACGGACTTGACGTCCTCCAGGTCATCTCAGTCTTTGTTTGTTCGCATACGGCTTCCGAACATTTACGTCGTCGTGAGTATCTTCATAAAATCGGCCGAGTTCAAGTTCCATCCATTATAGAACTTTGCAAAACTATAGCCCCACAATGCCATCGTATCACGAACGAAGGGTTATGAGCGCGTGAATTGCTCTCCCAGTGCTCTTGTCAGTGTCAATCTGAGCTGCACTGCTCGTCTTTCTTTATCTTTCAATGCCATTCTCGTTGAACTCGAGTGGATCACTTCCTGGCCGGTGTCGCATCTAGGAAGCTTTGATGCTCAGTTGTACCACCTGGCATCCACGCGAAGTATTCAGCCTACATCACCTCTTATGACTACGTACTACATGCGAGGCTGTTCCGATGCGGAGGGGGTCTAATAATTCGTGGGTTTACAGACGATGATGAGTGATGATCTCCGACTGTTTCTGACAGAGTCCGACTTGGCTCGTGAAGTACGTGGAATCCTCGAGGATTTCGTACCAAGGTTCGATATCATCTCGGCCATGCACGTTTAACGTTTTGATGAACTTTACCTCAATTTGAATGCTCGGCATTTTAGACACCGATGTTCTCTTCAGTGTTCACTATTACCACGGGCACAAGTACCTCGAAGTGCAGCATATCAGAAGGCCGCAATATCATGCAAGACACCGTCCTGCCCCGGATTCTCACGCCACCATTCTGACTTGAGTCGGTGCATAGGTGCTCAAACCTATCCACGAACAAATCAATGGCACTGAGCCAGTTTATATGTACCAGGAAGTCTCTTGACTAGCTCCTCTAGTGGGTGGCTATCCGTAGGAATTTATGCACCCTGACTATAACGTATACGCATGGCAGATCCAGGGCTCACTTGATCCCGAAACCTCTGCCACAGAGCTGCCGGACCTTGTCTGTGTTTTTGGGACCGTTCTAAATGCCCTACGGATAGCCCTACAGTTTCGGTGTAGACCTCAGCGCAATTATTAAGGTGCTGCAGGGACCCGTTTGTAGGTAAGTGTAGATTCGTGCGTCCGACATACACTTCTGCGCCTTTCGGGCTGACTCTTATGAGCATTTGATCGGGATAGATGAACAGTGCACACACTCCCGTCTTCAACATTCCCACTGTATCGACATTCCAATAAACAAGTGCGTCTATTTCAAAGCGTCGAAGACGCTTTGAATACGCACCAGCATTGCCCGGCATATCATTCGCTTTGACTGTGGCGTTCGGCATCAATCCAGCCCCTGTGGCCATGCCTGACCTTCGTTGACTGTGTCAAACTACCCGCCTGAGCCTGGCGTCTTCGTCTGTCTAATCCTCGAAACCTGGAACATATTTCTTTGCGCATCACTAGCGCGTGCCTTCACACAAATTCAGGCGCATCAGAGTACAGAATCATCGACAGGGACCAGCGGAGACCTTAGGGTCAGGTAGGGACCGGAGACGCCTAGCCTCATCCGCAAAGGGGCAAAAGAAGCAGTGGATCTAGAGAATTGATGATGTTACCTACTCTCATTGCCTCGTCGATGGGAACATCAGCACAGAAGCGTCTAGCTCGATTCGACAGAATTGTCGGATGTGTATTGTATACGACGCGGTCCGATGTGAGAACATGTCGATTGCCCTTGCGCTGCGCCACCGCCATCGGCACTCGTCTCGCGTGTACGATACTGGCGAGCATCAACATCATGAGGGGTGAGCGTGTTCTTGATTCAAAATCAAGACGGTGAAGTTGAAGTTTGAAATCGCAAGAGAATGCTTGAGTATATGAAAATATTTGCGTGAAGAAGATGGCAGAGATTTGAGAGTGAGATTTTAAATAGATCGTACCGAACCTGGTGGAACACTGACTTCAGTTCCCCGCGAGGACAATCTGTTACGCTGATCAAGGCATAGTTGTCGTGCTATGCTGCCGAGATCTGAAACGAGTGTTCATTTAGCAAGAACGGACTGTGCGCTTCAACAAAATGCTTATACTTACTGTGTAAAGTAACAATGGACGGTATAGGAAATTCCGTGCAGGATGGCGCATCGTCGGACCGGCAAATGTGATGTCTGGTTCCTAGGGGAGATACGCCTGTTTGCGAGTTATGAAAGCTCGACGTCGTTTGTGATGGACCGAAGACTGCGGGACCACAATGAAGACCATCAGTAAATGCATGCGTACTCAGAGGGCGATTGCTTCTTACCTATAACGGATCATAAGCAGAATTGAGAAAGCGGAGTAATATTCTGTCTTCGGCAGCATTCGGCTCCATGACTCCTGAGTCCTGATCATCAGAGAATGGGTTAGCCGCAAGCTTCATTCGGTGGATAAGCTTCGCTATACCTTCAAAATGAGGGACATCGAACACATATAACTTTCAATGTAAAAGAGTTGTGATCGGACAAGGACGTGAAAGGTGCAGGGTTGCATTTCATAGAGCATGGGAACGCGAATAAGTAAGTATGGCTTCTATGTAGGGGTCGGTCAAGCTCGCGGCGGGGAGATGTACTGACCGATCAACCCTCACGAATCACCGAGCTCATTTCTGTGCTTGAAAGGCTGCAAGCCGAGCGGAGATCCAGAAGATGAAGCGCGGCTTCAAAACGCCGCATCAGTAGGGACAAGCTCCGATTAAACCTGACTCACTCTTTCGAGGTACGCCGTTCAGGCCACGGCTACTAACGTTCAATCTGATCTACCTCGGCCGCGCAAGACCAGGGACGTACGGAAGTAGCCGCAGAGGAACCAGAGACCGATTGGAACGGAGAGCACTTGGTCAAAAAGAAGCCGTGATAAATCATGAAAACTGGTAATCGTCGTCGAGGGTACGACGGTCATTGAAGAGAAAACGCGTAGGAAACGGTATATTGAAAACCTGATCGCTGTAAAGGCATTGGTCAAGAGCCATATAGTTCGAGACCCATATACGACGACATAGGTAAACCAACGCACTTCGGTCGGTCACCATGCCGGCCATTTTACGCAAAGGAGAATGCCTGACTCTTGATATAGAGGGAAGAAGATGTACAGTCGTGAGAGCTCCGCCATACTTACATGGACCACCGACTGAACAGGCCAGAACTGAATGAGAAAAAAATTCACAGCAACGTTCTCCCAGAGTACCTGACTTTGACCTGACCGATAGTGGGTGGCAACTCTATGCCCGAGAAGCATAGGTCAGGCGCGACAGACAGGAAGCGGGGGGATTCCAGCATTGCCTGGACAACTCCGGTTTGAACCATGGCTGTAAGTAAGGTTTGGGACGTACTAAGCAGATCAACGCACCGATCGCACTTACGGATGGGTAGCTACCGTACCCTAGATAGAGCGATCACTCGCAGGCTTCGTGAAAGCAAGCGGCGTCAGAGCGATAATGACGACGGGTGATGCGACGATCAGGTGGTCACAAATGTCTGTGGCTAGCATTCTTGTCTGCTCTTCGAGGTGTGTCCTCAGACGAACACCGGTACTAAGGGAATACTTAACTGCAAGCAAATTCTAAGACATGCATCAACCACAGTGATTGATGATTTTGGCCGGTTGGTCCTGCGCTGAGGGAATCGTACCCTTTGACCAAGCAATGAGGACGAAACAGCTCTAACGATGCTGTCATTCCACCTCTCAGGAGATTAGTCCAAGAGAAAGGCACATAGACTGTGCCGATAGCAACGCAATACGACCCCAATTCTGTTTGTAACAAGGTCCACCGAACCAGAGGCCAAAAACCTTCTCCACCTTGACCTTAGCCCAAACAGACTCCAGTAGATGCCCTGTGCAATTCTCAAGGTAATCACCCGAGGTTGTGACCCACCAAAGGGCTGAGGAAACTAGGCGACCTCTGTGAGGAAGTGCCAGTGGAGTTTTTTCGTGGACGAGCTTGGTCTAGTTATCTGACCGAATGAAGGTCGAGTCAAGACACATGACTGTTTCCGACATGAGAATTGTAGGATCGATGGCCGAAGACTGATCACATACCTTTTGGACCGAACCTGCACCATACCAGCGTTGTGTTTCAAGCATGCTTTGAGCCCGGGCAGACTTGATGTGGCACGGTTCGAAGTCCGAATGGATCTCCGCCACAGGTTCCGAGTCAGACAGTGTAATCATTCCTATGTACCACTCACCACAGTCACTGTCTACGTATTCAAGTTGGTCATGTCTCATGTACGTGCACTCGCTGTCAGCCTGATGTAGACCGGCGCGGGCTCAGGTGTTGTACAGTGTTGGTGACGCCGAGCTTCAGTCTATTCCGTTCACACATTTTAGATTGTGCAGGTCCGCAAGATCCAAGATTCGCTGATCTCCGCTCCACGGGCTTTGTTCTAAGATGAGATGGAGCGAACAGAAATTGCCACAAGGGAAGTTCTCATAGGCTATGCTTATGCTGCTCCATCGGTACTCGCCTCAAATGTTCGCATCACAACATCATTGTCACACATCCTGCCATGAGTGATTTACTGATGAGTTCGTAGTCATGTTCGCAGCTTCAAGCCCCTCCGACGTTCACCACGTAACATCTTACCCTTCGTTTTGGACGATACGAGGTCCAAGAGACTTGATGATAGTTACATCGATAGTCTTGGGGTGCGTCCCGGCGTGAGCTGCTAGCGCTTGATTCAAGATGGTGTGACACTTCAGACCATGTCGCGTGCCTTGTCTGAAACCTTGTTAAGGTACGAACTTCGGGTAGATAGCCTTGACGGTGATCGCTGATTACTTTTCTGTACCGCTTGTCGTGTCATGTTTCCTGTGGACTCTTGTGAACTGTCCCAAGAGCTTGTCTCAGCATGCGGCATCATAGACCCTAACGACCCTTGATCTGCCGCAATTTGTACTGCTAGTCCGCGATAAAATGCTGGCGAGATCACACCGCCTACTGAACAGACGCCAGGCTCCTTTAAATCGACCGCGAAGAGTCTGGCGGCCTCTTTATCAAGGTCGTACATCTTAGCGCACATCCCCTCTTTAATCCGTACTCGTTCTGTCAAGCTTGTCTCTACTCCCTCCACATCTCTACTGAGTCCATCGTCCCCCGCAAAGGCCCTTTCTTCCAGACGATCCCCGACCTATTTCATTTCGCGCTCAGTCCCTGTACACCGTCACGAACGTCATACCAAGCATCTGCTATCCTTAAGGCGCCTTCTTATAATGTCCAGTCAAGATTATGGTCAATGGATCAAAAGTGAGAGCGGTGAGCTCCATCCCCGACATCGTTCGATATTGACATTCTCATTTACATTGGCAGACCGTAGCTCCGATGAGGGAAGACCGTCATCTACGTTGTCTTCATCGAGTTTGAGGGCGGCCATGGGTGAAATCCACGTATCCGGCCATTCCCAATATTCCCCTCCCTCTTCGTACGACGATGCTTCATCCCGCCAGTCTTATCATCGAACCCGTCAGAGCAGCTCCGTCTCTGGTGGTATGTGGCCTACAGGCGCAGTCGGACCATCTCACGGCGTTCCCACGTTTCCTGCTGGCACTCAACCTGTCAACCCTACCTCCTTTCCTTCCAGCTCTACATCCACATCCATGCCAATGGGTAGTACAGGTGGCAGTCAATTCGTCTATCCTGAATATGGAGATCCCAGCATGGCGCAAAATTCTCCGATGGTGTCTTCTGCAGGCTACCAACAGCCGAGACCTCAATCATCCATGGCAGGCCACGCGTCCCAAGCTTTCTCTAGCTCTGGACGGTCCGCCCCCGGGTATCGCACGCCTCGTGGCGTCGATGATGAGCTCCATCAATTGCGCAACAAGATTCACCAGTTGGAACTCATCAACGAGCAGGCGCGTCTACGTATCCGAGAATTAGAGGCGGAGGTCGCGAACCCAGCCCAAGGCACAGCCTACGAACTCCCACAGTCCACGACCGGGTTCCCCACTTCATTCAACACACCCGCTAGCTCCCCTTCCTTCACAGTCTCATGGAAAGCCAGGACCGATGCCAGAACCCGACTTCTCTGCTCATTGAACCGGGCGGGCAACGCGCTCTGCGCTTGGCACGATTCACGTAGGGAGCGGCGCGCGTATCCTCCTCGTATGGCGCCCCAGGGGTATCTCAATTGTGGATGTACATATGAAGAGGCGCTTTTCGAAGAAAGCTTGGCTCGTCATGACGTAGGAAGCTACCATCCTGGAGAGAGCGTTCGTATGGATCCCGCCCTCCGTAATCCTCTCCTTAAGGTTTTGCAGCGTAGGTACGGGTATAAAGATGGAGATTTTGAATGGAACCCTGTGACGGGAAGTTGGGTGGATGGCGAGGGGCCTGATCATTGGGAGGCCAAAGCTGCGTCTGGGTCTTCTGGCCATCGCAAGCAGCGTCCGGACGAGCGGCGTTGAGAGCGAATTTTTTCTTGGCTATTTATTTATTACGCCAGACAGTGATCGCCTTCGTTTTTCTTGTCTATACTTACGTTCCCTCATCATAGAGCTGTAGCTATCTATTATTTTGCTCCTATCTATACCCTCTCCCCCGTCGCACTAGTATCTGCATCTTTCGTTCTTCGCTTGATATCCTGAATCTGCTTTACGATCCATCTCCTACGGACTGAGTGTACATCAGGCATTGACAAACATCCTATACCAACTGTATCGTTAACGTCCTGTGTCCTCCTAGTCCGTGCTACCTATCTTGTTGTAAGTATCATATGTGTCTTGTTGTATCACTTCTGCTCGCTAATACATTCTTGGAAAGAAAGCGCGGAGTGTGGCGTCTTGCGGGCTGCGTTGGATGTCGTGTCGGTGAGCTATGCAGATGCCGGCTGGGTGATACAGTCAAAACACCCGATGAAGGCTTCGACTGTGGTCGAAACTCTCGCGAAGAATCTCAGACGCCTGAAATCGGGCTTCAAGCTTCGGGATTTGGTTTCCCAACGATAGGCGCTTGTCGCAATCCAAGCACTGGTCTCCATGTAGTCGATTTTGCAGTGGCACTGGGTTTGAAATTGGTTACTTGTTTCTGTACATGTCGGTGACTGAGTTCTAGTAAAGAACTGGGCTTTGAAATGTGCGATGCAATGGAGAAGTCTGTGTAGAAACCTTCCGCAGTCACAGACTATGGCCATTGTACATATGTGCATCTCAAAAAGCATGTGCATGTCTCTGCAGTTTCACCTGGCCTCTGAACCCTACGAAGGGATGATCATCGCACCACCATGGCCAAAGGGAACGATTCATGAGAGTAACCATGTTCAGTCTTCACCAAACACCACGTCAAACGGACGCAGAGGCCTTGGGAAAAAAGCACAACAAGTATTGAGAATGATGAACTAAGTCCGAGACGGAGGTCACGGAACCGTACGCGTACGGATACAGAAGGGTAGCAAACAATCCAAAGGTTCCACGGAAGTTTTTCGACGCATAGAATGCCGAGAGCATTGCGGTTATTGAGATGGCCGCGGCGAAGCTATTATGCCGATGGATCAGGAAGACAGCGTGTGCCAGCTCCCAGTAGGAAGGAACTCGACAAGCGCCGGCTACATACGGCGTTCATACATATCTTCTTTCTCAGGTCTCCGAGGTTGACAAGCCACAGCGCTCTGGCTCCGAGATCGCGCTCGAACCATCTGCCAACTATCTGGCAGCCGGGCACGCAAGCAGTCCACAGAAGGAACATGCATGGACGGTATGCTTCTTGGTGATCCCCCTGGCAGATTGAGATTGACCGTGCACGAGCCGTTCATGGTCCCACGCCGCCAGTTAAAAGTCAGACTGAGAGGAGCTCGAAGCAAAAATCGTCGCAGTTTAAACACACCATTGAACAAGATACACATGGGGGTCGAGTTTGCCGTTTTTCTAGTGAATGCAAAGCGATTCGATAAATCAATCGAGAAGGCTGGCAGGGAATAAGTTAGTCCCAAGTACGTAGCACATCCGCACATAAAACAAAAAGCGGGAATAAAAAATCACCGGTCACTCCAGGCCGTCCCTCAAACCCTCCAAATACGAAACAACATCTCGAGCGACGCCCTCTCCAGCTCCATCCCTCACAACTCCGGCCGTACCACCTCCCACAACACCTTCGTCCCCTCCATCGCTACCACGACCATCACCATTCCCATCTCCACCACCTCTCGCCACCCGACTCATAAACTCCCTATACAACCCCACGAACTCCTTCGCATGCCTCGCCAATCCATCCAACTTCGCTCTTCTGACAGATCCAGGAAGCGCATTCAACATGATCCGTTCGTTTTCAGACGAATCGCGAATCAGGAGACCGAAAAGTACGGCGAGGTGGCCACGAACAATATGGGTTCCGGCGTCAAAGTCTTCTTCCGAAGAGGTGGCCGTTGTATCGGGTTTGTAATATTGTAAGTAGACACGGACGAGGCATTCCAGAACGGTGATTCTGTTTGGGCAGTGGCATGATCGAGCGCAGGTGCGAGTGATCCTACACGAAGGATCTACTTCTACACGAAACGGTAAAATGTTCAGTGTCTGATCAATGGCGGAAAGTGAAGGGCGGCGGGACGTACTGATCATGCGACATAATCCCTTCGCCTCCATGTTCGCCTGGACAAGGTTCGTCAATAGCCCCAGGGCGAGACAGAGTCTATCGAAGGCCTGAACATGTTTGTCTTCGGTCTGTTCGAATTCAGTGTCTATCTCCGCAGACGACTTCTTCATGTCCTCCTTAGTATCTCCTTGGAGGGATGCCAAGGCGGCAGTGCATTGTTGAGGACGTGTGATGAGAGAGACGATAACGAGTAGAGTGGGTTCGTGTGAAAGGAGCAGGCCACACCATGTGGCGTTATCGTGTGTCAGGTTGATCAACACTCGGAGGGTCGATTCGAGACACTTGTTGGCTGGTTATCAGGGGGACAGAATAAGGAAGAGAACTGGTTAGTTAGTGAGAGGGGAAAAAGGGTGTATCATAGACAGGGCCTCACCAATGGCATAATGCTCGTCGCGAGAAGGATCGTTGAGCAAGATGGTCGTCACTATGCTCAGTGTGGCCAGCCCGCTGGCTAACCCTTCTTGTCCGTGACCATCGGTCACACGGACACACAAACTTTCTTCCTCTTCGCCAGCACCATCGTCATTCCACCGTCTCAGCCCAAGTAGATAGCTGTCGAATATCCTCAGGCAATGTTCAATATGTTCCAGAGACGGTGTACTGTAGGCCAGTGGCGCTGAGTTATACGACTCCGGAATTATGGGCAGACCAGCTTCATAGGCAGTAAGACGGGACGGAAGGAGAGCTATCTCGGAGAGGAGGGTGTCATGAATGGGTCGGATGTGGGAGGCTTGAAGGCAGGAAGGGGGAAGCGATGCAAGAGCACCAGACAGAAGTAGTCGGAGTGAGGTTTTTTTATTGGAAGAAGTTGAAACAGACTTCTCAATTATATCTCTTAGACGAGACAGCTGAATGGGACGAATGTCATTGATCATGAGGTGGAATACGACAGGGTAGTGTGGAGATACTCACGTAAGACTGCTCCATCCTCCCAATCCCGACCTTCTTCAACTCGGTGTCTGTCTTCCCACTCAGCAGAAGTTCGAGTGGATCTTTCCCTCGGCCAACTGCCTCTAGCATACGACAAAGCACATCGACAAAATCATCTTTCTGGGCCAGGTCCTGTAGTTCTCGTGGCGTCTGTGCTGCTAATGCAGCAAAGACGACTAATATAGTGTCAAGGACCACATCGCCATCGCCGGCACCAGACTCTCGGAGCACATCCCAAGCTCGCGAAAGGAAATCTGTCGCTTTGGCTCGGCGGGAAAAATCGGGATCGCAGAGTTTGGTGACTATCTCTAAAGCGCTGGAGACGACGATAACAATTTAGGCAAAATTTAGAAGTCAAAATGAGTGGAGAGTAGGAGAAACGAACCTGCCCCTTCGTACACCAATAGCTTCCTCTCCGCTCATCCCCTCGAAAAGATATCCAACCTCGTCTGTAAACCTCCTACTTTCTCCCTTACTCCTCATCTCCGTGATACTCTTCACATCGTTCATCATCCCCGGTGGCAAAGCCGCCTCCCTGGCCTTCGCTTTCGCCTCCTTCTCCTTTTCTTTCGACTTCTTCTTCCCTCTCGACTTCTGCGACTCCTGTGACTCTTCCGGCTCGGACTCGGAGTGCTCGGAGTCTGAGAAATGTAAAGGATCATCGGAAGAGTTGTCCACGCCCCATCGTTCACGGAGTGCTGTGTACGACTCTCGGGTCTCTAGGCCCAAATCATCTTCGTCTAACACCGAAGAGCCTCCCATAGCAGCGCCACCGATAGCCATGCCCATGTTGGATGCACCTCCGGCAGGAAGTTCGACAAGGAAGGATCGTGAGGCGCCTGCATATGTGCGTATCTGGGCTTGAGGCTGGACGAGAGGCATGACTCCCGGCCGAGTATTATTCTGATTATGCTGCGCTTGGCTCTGGTCTTGGCTTTGGCCTTCAGAATGCTGAGAGTGTCCGGCGCCCACAAGGTCAACTCGAGATGCTGAGACACCGATGAGGCCTGAGTGAGAATGAGATGCGGTGGAAAATGATCCTGTCAAGTCGATGACTGTATCGTTTCCTCGGAGGGATGCTGAACGGCGTAACGCCGGTTTCGAGTGTGAATCTTCGGAGGATATGGAGATGACTGAGTCGAGCGATCCGTCCAGGTTAGATTCTGTCCGAGAACGCGCCAGCATACGCTTCGTCAATGGGACTTTGGGTTTCGCGTTTGATAAATCGGTACCAATAGGCATGGTCTCATTGATTGGTTTAGAAGGAGAGAAATTGAACAAGTCGGATAGGTCCTTAGGCACCGATTTGGATGAGGAGGTGCGAGAGATCGTTGGGAGGACAGGGAGAGTATCTTCGCGATCTATGTTCGGTTTCGTTGGGGAGGGGCCAAGCGAAGGGGGTAGCGGAGTGAGGGGGCTGAAGAGATAGGATGCGGGAGGTGCACGGGAGGGAGTGCGCTCTCTGGTGGACGCTTCGGGAGTTTTCGATCGAGAGGGAGGTTTGGCTGGACGGGGCCGTGGAATTTGCTTTGTTGATGAGGGCCGCGAGTGAGAATTGCCATTTGGAGTTCGTCGGGATGATGAGCCTACTACCGGTAGAATATCATCTGCAGAAAAATCCCAAAATACGTGAGAAGGCTATTACAACACGAAATATAGCTCACATACCATCGTCGAGGTCTAATATCTTCATGCGTATAGGAACTGGAGAACTGTTTCAGAGACGCAGCGGGCAGCGAACAAGACAATTGCACAGACCTCCTGTTCCCGAGTTTGATTGACCGTCCCGGGGCGATGGTCCTCGCGTTGGTCCATGTGTCGGTTTTCTCTCGTGTTGAGAGGACTTAGAGGTAGATTCTGGGGAAAATGGACAACTCAGCGTCAAAAAAATACTGGATCATCCTCACAACTCACTGTGCACGGGTTTGCTGAATTCTACGGAGGTGTCTGGAGAATGTCCAAGAGATATGAGTTGTAGCCATTGTGTCAGAAGTGTGATCTGTACCTCTAGTGGGTGTGATAGGTGGTGGTTCCATCGTTCGAGAAGAATTAGGCGATTTAGATGAATGGGGCTTGGGCCCTTTAGAAACAGGCTTTGGTCGTGGTCGTGGTCGTGATTGTGCGAGTACATGTGCATCTTCGTGTGGAAGTTGACTGTTTGCTACGAAGGTGTTTGACGTCAACTGGAATGCTATAGAATGCTGAACTAGTCAAGGAGGCGAAAAGGTCCTTACATGTGCTGGTCTGGGTGTCTGAGTCATTTGATGGGTTAGAGACCGCATTTCTTACAATGGCGAGCGAACCTACCGTTATGAGAAATTACAGGACGATGTTTCTTGGGTACATTGGGGCTAGGTGAGCGTTTACGCTCCGAAGGCTCTCCATCTACAGCTTTCCGTTTCGTGGCACCAGCAGTCGCCACTTTAGTCGGACTAGGCTTTCGCGGCGAAGTGATGAGTACTTCAACTTTCGAGCGTCGTTTGGGCGAGCTTTGAGGAGTTCGAGGCGGTTCCGTATCAGAGGGATAGCTTTCTGAGAGTCGGGAGGGTGTATCTGAACGGTGTTCAGTAATTTATGATGCAGTGAGAAGGAAGCTGGAAATGAACAGAAGCTGAACTCGCACCTTTCCCTCGTTTCGTAGGTGATATACGTGACGAAAGCACATTCTCTTCCGCATAATCTCCACCATCATGGAAGTTCGATGGGCCTGATATATTTCGGGGTTGGCTGACAGCTGTCCGCGATTTAGAGTTGGGTGACAATGGCACGACGACCTCAACATCCATCCGTGGTCGTTTGCGAGGGGTTGATACAGGGGATTGTCGAGGTTCTTCATCGCTAGAATCAGTCCCTGGTAATTCTGGAGTAAACTGTCGTTTGGCAGGCCTTCGGCGGTAGGTCACCCTGGCGCTCATGGTGGTGGTGGTCAATGTCAAGAGCGGTCAAGACTGAAGTGGATTTAATTCCGTAAGCGGGGTAATTGTGACATAACGCGTTTGTCACACAACCGTAACAGATCTCCATGTTGAGCGTGACACCCATTCTTGTTCTCGGACTTCGTGTGCTCGCGGCCTCAATTATCTCCGTCCATTTCCCCTCGATTTATCGTCTTCTGGAGAGGATATGGACGTCCTACAGGCGCGTATAGACAGTTTCGGAAAATCAAAACGAGTCAAGCATGGCTCGTCAAAGCGCACGGTTACAGTCAAATGGCCTCACCCATCCTCCTTCATCGCCACACCTCACGCGCTCGCCGAAGCCGGTTTCTATTACAACCCATCACCAGACGATACGGACAACGTGGAATGCTTTCTATGCGGCAAACAACTTGGCGGCTGGGAGGAAGACGATGATCCATATCGATTACATTGGGAGAAGTGCAGAGACCACTGTCCGTGGGCAGTTGTGAGATGTGGCTTGATTGAGGATGTTGATAGGAAGGGAAAGTAAGTCTTATAATGCATTTGTTGATGACGTGTAACAGTTATTAATGCAACACCTCTTTGCGTGTTGACAACTTTCAGTTATCTTTTCAAAGACTCGTCGCGAGCCCCTCAGGGCAAGGTGATGGAGAAAGCGCGTCTCAGCACATTCCGAATCAATAATCCCTGGCCTCACGATTCCGCCAAAGGACACGGTGCTGCCTCTTTGAAGGTGCGTTTCTAAATTATTGCATTCCCCATACAATGCATATTGACAACGGCGGACGCGTAGATGGCGAGAGCAGGTTTCGTCTATGCTCCTCAACACTCTGGAGATGACACCGCCACCTGTCTATATTGTAACGTCTCTCTCAGTGGCTGGGAGCCCGGAGATGACCCTCTGTGAGTCTTCACACCTACTTCTCCGTCGAGAAACCCCATCCAGTCCTGTTCGGATCGCCACACGGCTTCACACTATAATGGCTCATCGTGCGGCGTCCGGTCTATAGTGAAGAGCACCGCAAACGAGAAGCCAGATCCGGCCTCCCATGTCCCTTCTTCTTCGACCAACCATCAAATCCCCTCGGCAAATCAACCTCCACCAAACCTCCCTCAACAACCGCCACCACCACAGCATCCAAGTCCCGCCCATCCACCAAACCGCCCTCTAACTCCCAGACACGCGCTAGATCGGTCTCGCGCAAAGTCCCAACACTTTCCGAAGACGAAGCCTCGGATGAGCTCGGGCCTGCACCTACATTAGATGAGTCTACTGCTACTACGGGGACGAAGAGAACAAGGAAGGCATCTGGTACCCTTACCACTGCGAATCCTCTAAGCCAGAGTCAGAGTATGAGGAGGAGTGCACGTGGGAAACCGACGCCTGCGACGAGTGAGGACGAGGTGGATGGTGGTGCTAGTGGGAGTGATGCTGGTGCCGGCAGGGCGGCACTGAGCAAGAGCACGAGAGGTAAAGGGAAAGGGAAGGGAAAGGTAAAAGAGATGATTGCGGCGATTGAGGAAGAGGAGGATGATGAGGTAGTGGAGGTAGAACCGAAGGCCACCGCGAAGGGGAAGGGGAAAGCAAAGAAAGGCCGGGCCACGACAGCGAAGACGAGAAACGTCGAGCTAGAAGAGGAGGAAGAAGAGCCGCATGCTGAGGTGACGGAGGTGAAACCAAAGAGAGGAAGGTCGAAGAAAGTGCCAGAGGTGGTGGAGACTAAAGTTGAGGAGGACGAGGTGGAGATACCGATACCAGAGCCGAAGAAGAAGAGAGGTAGACCGAAGAAGACCATGGAGCCCACGTACGTCGACGATGCCGTGCCGGAGGAACCACCGACCAAGTCGAAAGGTCGCAAGAAAGTCGAGGAGAGCGAACCTGAGGAAGAAGCAGAGCCAGAGCCAAAATCTCGCGCCGTACGGAAACAGAATTCGACAGTCAACCTCAAATCTAAGGTCAAACCCGTACCGCAACCGCCGCCACCACAGGATGAGGACGAGGACGAGGATATCGAGATGTTGATTGAGGAGCCCGTAGAGCTTGAGCCGCCCCCTCCCAAGTCTAAGCGGACTACGAAGTCGAAGACGATCGCAAAAGTCCTATTACCAGAACCAGAGGATGCCATGGACGATGAATCTGATGTCGAAGCGCCCCCTCCTCGCAAAGTCAAACCAACGAAGCCTAAGGAGACAGCGCCGCTGATACCATTCCCTTCGATTCGAGATGAAGACGAGTCCCAGTCCGAGGTCGAAATTCCGTCCGCGAAGCTTGGTCAAAAGGATGTCAAGTCGAACGCACGTAGTCCTCCTCCTACTCTGGAACCATCCGGATTTGATGACAACGAAGAGGTTGAGGAGTATGTTGCGCCACCGCCACTTCCAAAGCCGAAGGTCGAGAAGGCTCCCAAGACGAACGGCACAGTCAAAGCTCAAATAACCTCTCAACACTCTCAACAGTCTACTATCTCTGGTGAGCTCCCTTTGCTTTCCTTCCTTGTCCGTCATTCAACGATACTCACCAGGAAACTTTCCAGACGAGGACGATGCCATGGACGATGAGCCCCACGCTCCGTCACCACCTCCGCCCGTGAGGACCAAAAAGCCCTCTGGTGCCAGCGTCCCGGCCAAAAGACCGGCGCCTGACCCTGCCTCATCGTCCTCGCATACTCGTGCACCCGCACCACCCTCCGATGCCGAACGTTCTCGTCTCGATGTCCCGAGACCATCTAAGTCATCCAAGCGTCCTGCTTCCCCGATGTCAAGACCGCGCTCGTCGTCCGAGTCTCAGACATACCATAGTCTTGGAGACGATATCCAAGATGACATGGACATCGATCATGCTCCGCAACCTATTGAACCACAGACGAAGAAGAGAGCATCTGCGGCACCACAGCAGCAGGTGCCACAGAACCCTGCGTCGAGTTCTCGGATTATAGATACGCCCGTTGAAGATATTGAGCGACCACCGAAAGTCAAGTCAAAGAAGAGCGGGAAGTCGAAGGCAAAGCCGGAGTCTTCAGGACGTCCACCTGCGTCGGTCGATCACCGAGCTCTGTCGAAAGACGAAGACATGGACGTTGATAGTGAGGCTCCTCCGCGTTCGAAGTCACGTCAAGACCGAGACGAGTCGTCGAAGAAATCGAAGGCTTCACGACAGCCGAATGGCCATTCCGCAGATACGTCCCGCACTACCCAACCTCAACGCACCCTACCTCCGTCTCCCCCGCCAGAGGATGTTCAGCGACAACCTAGCGCCACCGCCACAAAACCCCACTCTGTTTCCGTTCCTCCTTCAACACCTCCTCGCCTAGTCCCCTCCTCTTCTCGCGACCATCCGAGCTCCCCAACTGTCGCGAACGGGAACTCTGACCCCTTCGACGTGGATATGGCGATAGCGTCGAGGGAAAAGGAGTTGACGGAGGAAGAGCGGGCGATGACGGTCGAGCAGTGGTTGAGGCATGAGATCGAGACGCAGTATGAGGACTTGAAGAGGGAGGGGGAGAGGCGGATTAGGGAGTTTAGGGAGCAGGCGGAAGAGAAGAGGAAGAGGATCGAGGCGCTGTAGCTGTGAGCTTGCTTGTGGTCTGGGTGGTTTGGGCGGCTTTGTGTGTAGTTCCCTCGCTCTTCGTTTTTCTGTTGCCTCATTTTTCGCGACTATTGTTCGGTTATTTTTTTTTCTTCCACTTCTTACTGCATAACATTTGCTCCCTTGCTCCAGCTTCGACGGACCGGTTCATCTCGGACTTGTTGCATGAGAGCATAATCAACCACGCGGACATATACATACATACGTTAGAATTCTGATACCTGGCACTTGCATGTGCTGTGGTAGTCATTTCTTGTAGCACAATGTGATTTTATCTGCATTTTGAAGCGTTGACGTTCGTCACTCGTTCACCACACAAGTTTCAATCTCCAGGCGTTCAGTGTCGATGTGGATCCCTGAAGCCCAAGCTGTTGGGTTCGGTCTCTTCGAGTCCATCCTGAGGTATAGTATGCCATTGTGATATCGGTGTAAGTAGTATGTCCGCCAAAACGACGGGAAAAAACAAAGCAAAGCAGAGACAAATCCCGAAAAAAAAGAGTCCATAAGTATGTACGAAATCAGAGTCAGGGTCCGCTCGAATCGTAAATATGTATGCAGCGCTCGTGTGTACCTTGGCGTATGTAGTAACCACCAATCAGCACACGGATCGGAACGGCGACTCGTCATGAAACTAGAAACGAGCCGGGAGGATGATGGTAATGGTAAGTATGATGGGTAAGTTAGCGTGTGGGGAGGGGGTAATGATGTACTATGCCATGCTGCAGAACGGGAAAACAGAAACGAGTCGACGACACAGAGAACTAGGTATCGGATCCACAAAAAAGCTCCATCCATTGAGGCGCTTTACAGCAACAGGGCCGCAAAGCCCATCATCACCGCACCCGCCACAGCGCCAACGACAGCCCTCGACGCACCCACCGCCACAGCCGCACTCGTACTCCCACTCGACGTCGAGCTCGACGTCGCCCCGGATATCGTCCCCGTCGAGCTCCCGCTCTTACTCCCCGTCGCGCTCGCAGACCCAGACGCACTAGCAGAGCTCGAGCTGGGGGGTGCAGCGCTCTCGATAGCGGAGACCTTGGTCCATGCAGCCGCGGCGTTCGCGGTGGTGTCGTTCTGGTTGTACGGGAGGTAGGAGACGGCACCGGTGGAGTCGAGTTGGACGATGGAGGAGAGGCCGCCGAAGTAGAATGCGGAGGCGTCTTTGGTGCTGGGCCCGGCGAGGACTTGGGTGGAGTTGGTTTCGACGTTGATGACGTAGGTTGCGGAACCGTCGTCGGGGATGAAGACGAATTCTTGTTGGACCTGGAGGGAAGGGTGTACGGTGAGTATGGATGTTCATATAAAGATAAGATGGTACAACGTACGCCGGACGCTTGGAAAAGGGAGGTGGCCTTTCCGTGGGTGGCGGGGAAGCTGTCGCCGCTGGATGCAGGGTACGACTGAGCCTCGGGTTGGAAGTAGGAGACTAATAAAATGAAGATATGAGTGAGAAGTTGACAACGAATTATTGAAGGAATACGGACAGTGAATGACGAAGATGTCGGCAGAGCCGGCGGAGACACCGGAGACATCAATGAAGTGGATATGGTTTTGGGCGAGGGCCATGACGGGGGCGTAGTCGCTTCCGTAAGGCGTAGCCTCGACGTCATTCCAGCTGAGAGCAGAGCCAGTAGCAGCAGTCAGAGAACTCATGTCGAGGTCGAATAGCTCGCCCTTCGACACGGCATCTAAAAATAGGATTCGAAGACGCGATCAGAATTATTGGGAAAACTTGAGGACGGAATGAGTTAAGGTCTGCGTACAGATGACATTGGTGTCGTGGTCAAGGACGGCTTGGAAGTTGGTGAAATCGAATGAACCGGCGGTGGTGGTCTGGGCAGACCACGATTTGGCGGTGGCGTCATAGATGTAGACGTCGGAAGGGTTGGACTTGTCGGCGTTCAGGAAGTAGATGGCGTTATAAAACTATAATTCGTGTGGTCAAATTAATTGAACATTGGTATGGACAAGATATGACCTTACCTGGGAGAGGTAGCAGGTAGTGTTGGTACCGTCAAATGGACTAGAAAAACACGGTCTCGTCAGCCCGTAGTTGAAAATAGCACAGATGCAACCGAACAAGGTGCAGGTTAGGCGTGGCACGTCGAGCGAGGAATGCAGCGCGACATCGCGTCGACCCTTCCACTAAATCCTTGCTGACTCCCAAGGAAATCCAAAGTCCTCCGAAGGTAAAAGAAGAGCGTTCCTTGGACTACGCTGTGAAGAAACGGAACTGCGGTACTTACGGACGTCCAGTAGCGGTGATGTCACTCGCAGTCCCTACAAATTCAACCTTCATGAGCACGAACAAGATGCTCAGAACAGAAAAATCCGACATACCGCTACCCCATTGATCCTGTGTACTAGCATCCCAGTCTTTCCCATCGAGACCGAACGCGAGAAGGTTCCAGTTAATGTCGAATGCCACACAAGCGGAAGCGCGCACAGCGGCGGGAGCGGCGGCAAAAAGAGTGGCGATGGTGAGCAAAGGCGCGAGCATATTTAAAGAGATAATAGTTGGAAGAGGGTTGAGGGAGAAGAGAGTCCGTGGCAAAGAGTGTGGGCGTCGTGAGACGAGAAGTTCTGTTGTTTCCTGCTGGCTTCACTGCTTCTCCACGGTCATAGCAGCCCTTATGTTTTCCTACGCTTCTGACCCTAAAAGCGAGCATTGTGGGTAGATTGCAACATCTTTGACGCAGACTAGGCTGAAAATGGGTATAATTGTCCACTAAAGTGTCCATCCTCCTGACGATTGCCTGACGACCTCCGTCACTCCGTGTTTGATCGTCAATTTCATTTTGATTCAGACCTTCTCCTCCGGCTTCTTTGAATCCCTTGTGGCGTACATCGAGTTCTTTCCACGGACCCTACAGCTAGCATTATTCGCGTCTCTTGAATGCTCCCCTATTATATAGCTTGGTGCCAGTTCTTGTTCCATAAAAAACAACTTAAACTCCGAACAGGTCCATGGGGATCTTCAATCTTGCTCTGATGGAACTTCATGAGAAAACCTAAACTAGGCCGCGTTTGACAGCGCCACAGCGCGCCGCTCCTCTTTGTACCGACGATATACTTAACTGGCGCAGGTAACCGTCAGCGCATCGGCCGCGTTTGCTCGCAACTGTGCTATATAACTCGCCGGGCTACAAAAATGGATAGGCATCCCTCTTTCTGCCTTCACCAAGTTTCCCCGATCGTTCCACTGTTTATTCCCCGCTGGCGGCGAGTCCGAGTCCTTTATCATGGCTGTTTCAATTGAAGATGCGGCATTATTATCCCTCTCTGTCGAGATGCTGATATACGGTATGCATCTGCATTCTCATCCATCCGTATTGTCGAACCCACTCGAACATGTCATTATGGGCTTGCAGGAAGCCTTCTCACTTTGGAGGTATTCGTGATTAATACCCTCCTGGACAAACGAAAGAATGGGGGGAAACACGTTGGGGTCGCTCTTCTTCCCGTTGCTGTTCTCATGCTAGCGCTCGCCACAGGGGTACCTCGTCCTCGCATCTTGCAGAACTCTTCGGTAGACTAATCATACTTTCGGTTCACCAACCTTCTGCTAGCATTTTGTTGTCGACGTCGTCAAAGCCATCAACACGTTCTCTGTGCTCAAATATCATGGACACGACGCTGCATCGAAGTACTACCAGTCGCTCTCCGATCCTCTGTTTTTGGCCAAGAACTCCATATATCTGATTCAAACTTCACTCGGTGACGGAATTCTGGTCCGTGCCAGTCGTCATCTCTTCTTGTTCTCGTATCTTACGCCGTAAATGTATGTGTCAGCTTTGGCGATGCTATATTGTATGTGGCAAAAACTGGCGCGCCATCATCGTTCCCGTCTTGTCTATCCCGCCAACGATGAGTACGCCCATCCGTTATTTCTTTCTCGATATACGTTCTTCGGCTGACCTTGTGATCTATCAGTCGGTGGGACTATCTCTATTATTCAATGCAGTCTCGTTAAGAACCAAAACCCGAACGATGTCCCTCTGAACCCTGCGATCATCCTCAGCTACGTCTGCACGCTCATCACCACCATATACTGCACATGCAAGTTTACTTCGTCCCTCTTCTTCCTTTCCCGCAACCACCCACTAATCAGACATTTGACCACAGCCGCCATCTCCTGGAACGTCTACAGAAGTAGCCGCATATCGCAGTCGAACCCCATCGCTGGCAGCCTCGCCTCGCGCGTCATCTTCGCCGTCGTCCAGAGCGGCGCTCTGTATACTTTCGGCATCCTTGCGTTCCTCGTCACTTACCTCGCAGGCACGCTCCTGCAATGCGTCCCGCTCGATAGTGTCACCCCTCTCGTCGTACGTCTCATTCTCATTCTTATTCTCACGACCTCTCGTTCCTTGTTTGGCACACCTGCGGTGTTTCATGTCAATGTGCAATCTGATGCGCCACTGCTCCCTTGCTACAATCATCACTTAACATTGCCGCTCGACCTGTCAGTGTCATCTGAAGTTCGCATCTTTTGCCTGTGACTCCCGTGCTGATCCCTCGTTGATGCGTTCGCTCTGTCCATCTTTCCTTCCATTCCTGTCTCATACATCCCCGAATCTGAACCACGAATCAGAAAACATAAGCCACATCACTGACTCACTCATCATCCATCTCTATCTAACACACAACAGGGCGTCACATTCTGCCTCATCATGATGCAGCTCCGAGCCCCTCGAAACGATCAATATGTGGTCAATAGCGACGGTCCGGTAAAGACTATCCCCCGCACGACGACGCGGATATCGTTCGCTCCCCCGTCCCGAGGCACCTTTATGACTTCAACCATCACGTCTAGAGTCGCCCCGGTCATCAGTGAAGACAACGACGGTGTGGTGAGAGATGGAGATGAGGTGTATACGCTGGAGATTCCGAAGCAGGGGGACGTTTATAGAGCGAGTTCGGACACGGCTTGGAGCAGGGAGACATTGTCACGGGTAGCAACCAGTAGTGTGGGGAAGGAAGCGGCTAGCGTAAATGCCGAGAAAATAGAGGGGGAAAGTTTGGCTGTCAGAGATGGCAGAGAAGAAGGAATAGTGGCGTACGAGCTGGGCGATTTAGCTTGAGTTGACAGGGTTGTTTATTGTTGTACTTTTTGTAAGGGTACGGAAATGTTCTGATCACAGGTAGTGTCCAGAGTCGTCGCCGGTTTCGTCTTGGGCGTTGAGATTTGGATAAGTAAAAATTATGATCATGACTCAGGCGTAGCGCGGCGATTCTAGTGGTTGTGTCTTATCCTTTGCATCAGCTTGCGTCCAAGATAACTGAAAATCCAAAGAGAGAGACCAACAGAAAAAAAACGAAGATATCCTCAGATATATCCATGACGTGACCACCGCAGGGGTCGAACCTGCAATCTCCTGATAACACAGCAAGTCGTAGTCAGACGCGATGCCATTTCGCCAGGCGGCCATGAAAATGTTTCCTCAAACAATGTAGTGATTAATGATAACTGCATAGCACGAAAATACCCATAAATGCACGGGATTGTCTTCACATGGCCAACTCCGACTCGCTACTTGCTCGCTACTATATGCAACTGCTATGCCTCAGGAATTGAAAACCCCTCCGCTGTCGTTTGCGACCAGCCTCAATGATAACACTCTAGGCTCTCCTGGAGTTACACAGCATTCTCTACCCCTTGCATATCCTCTCCCACTCCCAATCTTGACCGGTGATGAACTTGCTGCCCATGTTTGGGACGAAGACGAGATCTGTCTACATACCGTTGGCTCGCTGCAAGGGATGGGCCCGCCCTCTATGGCGACGATCTTCGACATCCGCTTTCGTCGCTGGTACAAGATCATTTCTGACCGAGAACCACCTGATCTAGAAACCGAAAATGCGGATGAGATCTTGGAGGATCCTTACTGGCTTGACATCCTCCGCAAGAGCGGTCACCGTGGTCGCGATGACTTCAATGAGATACACGTCTCTCTCGACGAACAGATTTCCACCTATCGCTTGAACCCGATCGAGCGCAGTGGCATTCCAATTTATGGATTAGCACCGCCCCCGCCTGCCACATCCATCCCTACCGTCATCTACCACGAGCTTCGAAACAGGCAGTACCTCTTTCGGTCTACAGAGACGTGCACGTGGGGAGACCGGCAAGGCGTCGTGTTCAAGCAGATCATGATGGGTTGGGGAGAGGTTGCTCGATTTCACCGGGAGATCACGTTGCTTCGCTGTTTGCGCAAAAGCGAGCACTTTCTCCCCGTCCTGGCATATGTCGTGGATGAACACGGCCGTATGCGAGGTTTTCTTAGCCCATATGGAGGGAGATCTCTGGATAAATTATCGATGGTTCGGTGGTGGTACCTCCTGGGTGCGTTGGAAGGGTTGAGGGAGATCCATTCTATCCCCGTCGGTATGCTTGAGGCACCGTTGGGTCGCGAGGAAGGAGGTTTGGAGCATTCGGAGCATGCTGAGCATGGGGATATTTGTGCACGAAATATAGTGGTGGACGAGTGCGAAAAGGTACGGCTAATAGATGGGGGTAACAGGGTGCAGGATTATCAGGGAGATCGGGTTGCGTTGGCGGAGATGGCGGAGGGGCTGAGGGATAAGGCAGAAACACAAGAAGATGCGGAGCGGATTGATCAGATAATTTGGTTGCTTCGGGGCAAGAGAACGCTCGATGATATTATTCGACACTTGCGCAATCCAGAGGTGCGTTCTTCTTTCTCTTCTATTTTCCTCTCGACTTCAATCACTACTGTATTCTGAAAGCTCATTGCTCAACTGGAGACAGCCGATTGATATATGACTAGAACAGCAGATAGTGCTTTGTGGCATGAAAAAAATTGTGTCGTGCTCCTGGTCAGTCTAGGAATTTTACAGTGTTGACTTGCCGCCGTTGAAGTAATCATTAATATATTGCTCAGCTGCCCTGAGAGCTGCATCTCGGCGAGACCGAAGGAAGAGAAACAGGGAGTCCACGGCCGAGAAAGTACTCAATTTCACTAGGGGGACTCGTCTGCGGGCAGTGGGTGGGGGTCCACATATAGACGTCAGTTGAGCGCTCGAAGGAAGGGGAAAAAAGGTTATTGAGAGTAAGGAGGCAGACACAGAACCGAGAAAATGGAGCGCCGTCAGTTCGGTACTGCCGTTACCCGGGTGCCATCTGCTTTTGTTTTCGGCGACCGCCTGCTCGGGCCACCACTCTTCTCCCACCATCAATCACCCTCCTACCCGGACCCCAAAATTCTAACAGTTTCGAAACTCATCATGATACCCGACGGTACCGTGAACACACTGAAGGGTGTAGAGAAGCATCGGGGCTCCATCATATTCCCCTTCGATTCTCACTGATATAGGATGTAGAGACTTTCCGTATGCTATGAAAGGATCCCTCACTTAAACCTCGAAGACGGGGGCGACTGGGCGATTCGACTTCGAGTGCCTTGAGCTTCCTTTTCACACTGAAAAGCTCCGTGACATTGAACATCGTACGACTCTATCAACGTGCGGCTTCAGTGCTTGTAGCAGCCGCGACGACATTCGTTCGTGATAACTTTCGCAGATGTCCTCTCTCATGAGTTGGAGTGTCGCTACCGCAACTCTCACTGTCTTACTCGTATCACGTTTGGTCAAGTATTGGGATGATAAGAAGGTACGGCTTTCTTCTCTAGGACGACACTGCAACGCTGAATGTAACATTACTAGAAAATGGGATATCTCCCGGGACTGAGGTCGTTGTTTACCCCCATCTCGCCCTTCGGAGCGCTGCTCCCTACGGTGAGATGGAATCCAGGTCTGAGCTGGCAGTGGCGATGGAGAAATACTGGTATGGTTTTTGACTTGATCAGCTCACACCCATTTAACCTGCTCTTCAGTATACGAGCGTGCAGGCGTAGAAACAATCTCAGTTCTGGCTTATCTCTTCGGCCGTCCCTCGATCTACACCTGCTCCATAGAAGTTGCCAAACAAGTTGTCGCTACGAAGGGGCAATTCGAGAAACCATTGGATACGTCTCAAATTGTTCTGTGTGTAGCTTATGTTCTTCATGTCGGTGTATACTGGCTGAGATGGATCTTCGTCCTCAGCCTTTGGGGGCCTAATATATTCGCTGCAAACGGGGAGGTGTGGCGGAGGCACCGCAGCATCATGGCTCCTTCCTTCACCGCAAACACGTCCGTTGTTCTTCCTTTTAGTCAACCGATTACACCTAATCTGTTATATATTAGGTATTCCTATGTTTGGAATGAAACTCTTCGAGCATTCCGAGAGATTGATGCGTATGAATGGGAGGGAAAGGATGAGATCATGCTTCCTGCAGTGAACGATATCACAAACAAGGTATTTCTTCTACCACTGTTTTATTGGTTGGCTCTCTGATTCGTCTACAGTTCGCGCTGGTTATCATATCCAGGTGTGGGTTCGGAAACCCTTTGCCCTGGAAGGAGCTCACGAGTGCGAGTGGAGAGATGACCTTTGCTGAGGCGCTCATGATTGTGTCGAACTCTTCAATCATACGTCTCGTAACTCCTCGGTGGATGTATGGGCTCCCAATCAGAAGGTCAGAGTGTGTGTTTTATCATCCTTCCTGCGTTGACTCATCCTTTTGTTCAGACTACACGAAGTCGAAACAGCATACACTACTTTTGGGCGCTTTATCAAATCGTTGATACATACTCGTCGGCAGGAATTATCTGACGGTATCATCAAGGGTGACGAAACCTTTCAAGACGTCTTCAGGCGTATGCTTGAAGCAAGTGAAACAGAAGGGAGGCTGGCCATGACAGACGACGAACTGGTGAGCCGTCTTTCTTTGAGAAGCCTCACACGCGGTTAACTGTGCTCTGAAGGCCGGAAACACCTTTCTCATGATGTTCGCTGGACATGGTGACCCCCTTTGTGTATCAGTCACAAGTACAAGCTCACACGTCCTTCAGAGACCACCGCGCGCACACTCGATGCGACCATCGGCTTTCTGGCTCTATATCAGGACATACAGGAAGAAGTATACCAAGAGATCGTCAATGCAGTCACTGTGGACCCCGAGCTTGTGAGCGTTCCTGCCACGATGTCGCATTTAATCGTGAATGATCATCCTTTCCAAGAACTTCACCAGCATGTCTAGCCTCGTAAAGGTTCAAGCCTGTTTTCTTGAGGCAGCTAGACTCTTTCGTAAGCCTGTTAAATCCTTCAATGAGAGCTGAAACTAACTGCGAAGCATCAGCTGCTGGCTTTATGATGATACGAGACACCACCGAGGACCTTGTTTTGACGACCACGAATAAGCAAGGCGAAGAAATCCCACTACCACTCAGCAAAGGCACTCGTTTGGTGATAGATGTTGTAGGCATGCGTAAGTGTATTCCAAAGTTCTCCACAGGCCTGGACGGAGGTTTGACTTTCTACGAAGATTACAATCCTCGCCACTTCCCAGATCCAGAAGAATTTCGTCCACACAGATGGTATAACGCGAAGGAGAACGATATGTCCATGTTCTCATTCGGTCCTCGCGCATGTACGTGGATTGTGCATCTTCTTAGTCTATTTTCTTACTCTCACGCAGGCATTGGACGGCGCTTTGCGCTTACAGAGGCGGTCTGCTTCTTAGCTCAACTTCTACGGGAGTGGAAGGTGGATGTTGTTCTCAATAAAGGAGAGTCTCGTGCTCAATGGAGAAAGCGAGTGATGACGGAGGTAACAACGATGAGCCTGGGTGTGGGACCTGTTCCGGTAAAACTCATACGTCGCGCGAGGGAGTAGCCTTGGAACGTCGATGCTATGTGAGCTGGTTCCATACCGAATACAACGCCGCTATGCGTGACGACTGTTTTGGTGGGCGTGAGTATCAACGGGTTACCTTAGAGTTGGTTTGTGGTTATTCGCAGACTTCCGTGTCGTGCTCGAGGATGTCCACGACAGGTTGCTTCGCAGTAACGATATTAAACTCCTCAATCCGTTTGTGATGAGCCGTATCGTATGATCTGTCAGTTTTGGGGGTACTCCGGATCGAAGGTAATAGAGCCAGCAATCGACAAGCGCCAGGGCCACAATGCACAATACGCGGAGTCGCGAGTTCAAGAAAGCAATACGAAAGCGTGCAAGTATAATACAGGAATTAAAAAGCGAGCGACGTACTATACACCGTCCCAGCGACGACGGCTAGAGGCGATTGAATCGAGTTCTCCACTTATAGAGTAGCCAACAACTTCTGCACCCACGCGTTACCCTCAATCCGTGGCGCGAATTCCTTCATACATTCTCGCAACTCCTCGACTTGCTTTTCCGGCGACATCTCTGCGTCATCCATCACAATGTCTCCGTCATCGAGCTGTGCAGGGTATACGGATGTTCGTGAGGCCCAGGTTTTGAGCATCTCCTCGACGATCTTGATGCCTTCTTCCGTGACTTCTGGTGGGAGGTCTGCCTCTGAATTTGAGGCGTCGTCGGTGTTGAAGTCTTCGAGTTCGTCGGCTTTCCGCTTGGCCAGCTATAGTTGAGACGTCAGTACCGTATAAATTGGGGAAAATAATCGAAAACATTTGAGACTCACCCTGACCACGGACTCTGGGAAGTTCGCAAGTTCGGCCACATGTATACCAAAGCTCTGATCGCAGACGCCTACAAGTCAGACACCGGTCAGCTACCTATATTCCCCTGCATATCGAAAGGTGACACAGAATACGTACCAGGCTCGACCTTGTACAGCAGGGTGATATCTCTTTCCTTCGACTTCGACGTCTCATCGGCTTTAGAAACGTGCGCCACTACGTGCAAATTCTTGACGTGCGAAAGCTCTTGATCAAGTGCCGTCAATTCGTGGAAGTGGGTAGCGAAGAGGCAGAAGGCGTGGATCTGTGAAGCTATATGTCTGTTGACGATTTATCAGTAACTTGAGCCGCCAAGCAGTGGGGGAAAATAAGGCTCAAAAACGTACTCTGAAATAGCCCACGCAAGACCAAAGCCATCGTATGTCGAGGTTCCTACGCCGAAGATGATCAGATGAAGGCCAAATAAATTGTTACGGAAGAAGTGTGTCTCACCCCTTCCCAGCTCGTCGATGATGATTAAGGAATCCTTTGACGCAGACTATTCAAGCAATGGTCAGTCGCTATAGCACACTCTCAAAAAGTCACAACAACTTCTCCGCACCTTCAGAATGGTAGCGGTCTCCAACATCTCCGCCATGAATGTCGAAATTCCCTTGAGCTGACTGTCTCCTGCCCCCACACGACAAAGAATAGAGTCGAAGATCGGGATTTGGGCTTCTGAACAAGGAACGAAGGAGCCGGTTTGGGCCATGAGGGCGATGACGCCGATCTTGATTGCGGATGTTCAGTAAAGTGGAGATGGGCGAGAGAAATTACACTACCTGGCGAATGTATGTACTTTTGCCACCCATGTTTGGTCCGGCTGTTTGTCGTAGACGAATTAAATTGTGGTCGTGACAAAAAAAAGGATAAACTTACTGATGATCTGGAACTCGCTCTCATCTACACGTCAATTTTCGGAGTTAGCTCCTAGTCAGCACTAATGTGAATGATAAGACACCTACTCTTGATCATCTCGACATCGTTCGGTATAAAACTCATGTCGTCTTGGACTTCTAAACAAGGATGGCGGGCTTCCTTCAGGATAAGGTCTCCGGTTCCTGGGCATCCCAATGTCAGTACCGTGAAGACATATAGAAAGAGATGGCATATATATTCACCCATGTCGACAATAGTAGGCTTGACATATGCTTCTGGAGCGTTGGCGGCGACTTGTGCGAAGCTAGCGCAGAAGACGTTTCAGCATTCGAGCTCAATACCTACGGGGACAGGGGAGCGATGCCATACCTCAAGATAACGTCTAAATGCGCTAGCACGCCATTCAGGGCCTCCAATACCGGTGCATAAGTCGCTATGGTCCCGACTTCGGCTCAGTGAAAGATTATAAAGGTGCAACTGAACCTACCGGCAATGCTGACGACCTCTTTCACGAGGCTGCTTTGTGTCCTCGAGTACCTCTCCGTCGACTCCTGATAGTCGGTCGCGTGTTCCTTGAGAGTGGCTGTTGTGAAATGTACACCGGCCTTGACAGTCCCTAGTTCGATGTACTTCCGCTTTCCGTTGATGGCCCTCGCGTCCTTCAAAGCCAGTCCGCGTATACGCCAAGCATTGACGCCGATTCAACACAAAATCGGTCAACAAACTGGACCAGGAAAGACTCAAACCAGGTATGACCAAACTCACGTTCTTAGTCAACCTGAAGCAATACCCATAAGTCTGTGTGTTCTCCAACCTCAACTTCTTATCCAGCTCCAGACCAAGGTCCCTCCCGACCTCTTTATGCTCCCGATCCAAACCCTCGAGCGCCTCTTTCAAAGCGGAGGCGATGTTCATGAGTTTCTGGTCGTAATCTGGCTTGATGACGTATTTATGCTGTTCGAGTTGGGAGAGGTCAAGCGTCTGTTCAACCATGTCGGCGTAGTTGGACAGGGAGGTGGCGTGTTTCTATATTGATGAAGTTCAAAAAGGCGGTTGGCGCGATGTGAATAAGGAACAGTTGACAGTGACTATGTTGAAAAGGGAAGACAGTACCTCGAAATGTTCCAGGTAGGTCTCTTGGATGAGGTCTCTACTTCGGTCAGATTTATAATCTACCGCCTTCAGGTTCTCTATCAAGCCACTGAGCTGTAGGATGTCCAAGCCGTATAATGAGTCGAGATTACGGAAGACTATGAGAGCGTGACGATTATACCTTCAGCACAGCCTGATAAACGCGCACGACGTCCTCCAAGGACGCCACGGATTTTTGGAACCGTTTACAAATACGGTGCATGTCGGGCATGAGTTTCATGAAGTCATCCTGGGAGGTGTACCATGCCGCTGATTAGCTTTCGAGGAGCTTGGGACAGGGTAGGCGAAAAGATTACTTGGAGTGTACGCCTCGCATTCAGGTCATCGACAAAGGTCTCTACAAGATCCTGTCGTTTCACTAAGTTCAGGGGCAGGGAGTCCGCAAAGAGGTCAGCAAGGTTTACGAGCAGAACAGTTATTGAACATGTTGAAGACACGTACGAATCTCGTGGCGATTGACAAGCGGTTGCTTCAGCCAACTTCCAAGCATCCTCGTCCCTTGCGCCGTCTTGCATTTATTCAACAATCCCAGCAAAGTCGTATTCCTGGTCGCCGTGCCCTATATATGCCACGTATTAGTACCGAGCTGAGACCAAAGCCGCGCAAGTACGCACGCCACCGACTTCGACGAGGTTTAGAGCCCGGAGAGCACTGGCGTCTAGGCGCATATATTGGCCGAGATCGTGCGTATAGATAGTCCATGCTCCATGGTTTGAAGTGTCGGCAAGGAGGTTCAGATAAGTCAGAAGAGCGGTCAGAGCTGCAGGCGCTGTTGGAAGGCTGAGCTGGGCTGGACAGGTAGAAGAAAGGCGTGAACTGAGGCAATCGTGGTGCGACATATTGGCAGAGGAGACGCACGAATGGAACTAGATGCGTCGCCCGTGGCTGATGGAACGGCGTCTGGTTTTGTCAGAAGTCTTGTGAGGTCTTCTTGAATATTCTTAGCGGTGAATTCGCCTTGTGAGATATTGAGTTCAGAGTTCTACTGTCCGTAGATGACGAATAGATATACTGACTTGGTTTTCGCTCGGTGATGACTACGCCACACCGATCCAACACTTCTTTCAGCTTTCTGAGGTCGAAGTCTCTGTCCGTCGTGCCACTCGCTGTCCCGGTGGTGACCAGAGCCTCCTTCACGCCCAGCTGGACGACGAGGGTCTGTCCAAGAGACACAATCATATCAACACTCTCGCGACTCGGATAATGATAGTATATGAGACGGACCTCGGTATTCGAGAATAGATCGTTGTCTACAAAGTCAGATACGCCAAGCTGACGGACACTTGAGTCTGCAAAAGCAATACCGACAGTCTTGCTCTTCGACTTCGGAGCCCCTGGAACGGCTGGAGTTGACGCTAGCTTGATAGCCATGACCATAGGTGCGGACATCACATCTGTATCCACAAACAGCAGATCCTCTACCGCCTGTAAGTTTCCTGGCGAAGCCTTTCCAGCCATATTTTGAGCACGTCGGGAATAGAGACTGAAACGATACCATGCACACCTCTTTGTCTAGTCTGAACTTCGATACCTTCTTTCCTGTCCCCTCTGGCATCCATATCTCTACTTTGAGCTGCTTGATCGTCAAAGCATCTCTCAAGAATGTTTTTGCCACACTGTCCCTAAGGTTTACGCTAGGCAGTCCACCCGTTCGTCCTCCTGCGCCGAGATACTTGAGCACGGAGTTTGTATGAAAGACATGCTGCGCAATGTAGAGCGCGTCGGCACCGTGCGCGGTATAAAATTCTCCGTTGTTTCGCGCGAACAGGCGTACTGTGCCGTCAGTCTCTGGTGATTTTGGAGGAAGGGTGGAGAACCATTTGCAGAAGCCGGGGTCAACATTCGTGTCTGAAAGACGCGGTGAAGTCAGATGGAAATATTAAAGATACCATTACAATGAGCTGACCGAGATCATTGTCCTCCTTCTCCTTCCCATACATTAGAGCCATGTTACCTGTTTGATAACGATTGGAGATATATTTTGTTGTTGTAATGAAGTGAGCAGAGAAAGTGGAAATTGAGAGTTGAGACGCGTCGCGAGTCGCGACCCAACGCGTGTCTGACATAATACCCTAACCTAGGGCTGCCACGTCAAACTTTGCTTCCGTCTGCTTCCGTCCATAACTGGATTTTGCTTAACCTCCACCTCAACCAACTGATGGCTGAGGATCATCCAATGTATTGCTGCTTCTTTAACGACCATACATCGTATATCAGACTGAGTATATCCAATATTTTTGGAGTGTCCTGAGTTCGATCACTTGTCGCGAAGCTACAATGGAATCATCGAATCTTATCTCAAGGGAACGACTGTCTTCCCGTCCTTAGGTCTGACTGTGGGAGACTAATGCAAACCCCGTCCATATCTTCAGCCCATTTATCTATGTCCACCTGGATGACACTGATAAGAAGCCTAGTTAGACTCGGGTGGCATGTCATGGCGCCCGAGTCTAACAAGGCTTGGATCGGGCCGGATCTTCGCCTTCGACCTCGCCTTCGTATCCCTTCCTCTTCTTCACTACCAGCTCACTGCCTCGGGACCTCCTCCGTCGTCATCATCGGAAAGATCCCGACGCCCCTCCCTCCGACTTCCCCCTCCCTCAGCCTGGGCCCTTGACGCAAGACCTTGTCCCTCGAGCCTCTGCCGCCGGCTGCCCGCCAGACAACTCGCTCTGCGCCGCCGTTCACGATGCGCCACACACCCTCCGCTCCCTCTGCCTTTCGCGTCTATGTAGCATAATCTCTTGTAGGCCTCTTGTCGAGTATATTAATACATCTTGTTTCTCTGGATTTTGTACTGTCCGCATGCACTGATGTGTTGTTGTCACTCGCCAACCCCGCTGTACTGTGGTGTTCAAGTGGCGTGTACCCTGTGTGCGAGGGCTCTCTTTGCAACCTCCGACTAGTCAAACACTCTGGAAGTACATCATGCAACAAATCTAGAGAGTTGGCTGCATCTGTGTGTGTCTTTAACCTCTCAATGACATGTAGATCCATCAGTGGGTGTAAGTGCTCTGGGCCACAGTGCCACACGAGACATCGAGCCACCAGTGGGCTAATTGCCTCGTCGTGTGGTCCAATTCCAGGCTATCACTCTGGGACTACAACCCATAGATATATTTTTACGGGAGGAAAGCAGTATTCTAGACTACTCTATCCACTCGAAGTAATTCCCTCGCCCATATGCTCATCGGGAACTGTCTCTTGGCTAGTCGGCGTCTTCCTCTTCTTTGACCTCGACTTTGACGACCCCGCACTCTTGTTCGCAGCCTCCTTTACAGCTTCATTCGCTTTCTTCCTCGCCTTCTTCGTCTGAGCTGAAACACCACTCACACGCATCTCGTCTTGTGCCGCCTTCCACTCAACATCAGACAGCTCCCTCCAGTGAACTCTACCATGCGTTACATCGTAATGCAGGTTCTTGTACTCGTCGATGTGGCGGAACTGGTTGGGATTGATGAGATCGCCACTCTCAGTCCTCTGGTCGAGAGGATAACCGACGAGCTCGAGACCGTGTTCTGCGCGAAATTGCCGATACTTCTTGTACGCTATCTGTGTTGGTGCGTCCTCGCTAGATTTGTCGGGATTCTTCTGGAGCCAAAGGACTCCTGGGTAATAAATGAGTGTTGTATACACAGAGGCTCGCCAATGGATTACTCACTGAACAGGTCACGAATCGTACAAACGATTTGTGACTTGTAAGCCGCCTTCTTTCCGTCCGCACCGGTTGCTGCCAATGCACCTACGCAAGATATGATCAAAACAGTTTGTTTATGGTTGTCCTCGGAAAGGTACGTACCTTCTACTCCAGATATGATGAAACCTTCGGCCTTCAAGACGAGCTTGTCGAAGGTACCCTTGGTGACAGCAAGCATGGCCTGACGCATAGCAGGAGAGGCACTAACCAACGCGGGGAAGTTATCCATAGCGATACGTTTGCAGACCACAACGGCGTATTCCATTTCAGCCCTCTCGAAACACCCTGAAAGCTAAGATTGAAGTACAGTAAATGTATCTTCAATTTCTAGATTTAAGCGGTGCAAGACGTACCTCCCTATCCACAGTCTCGAAGGTATGTTGTATATCAGCCTGAACCTGATTCTCGCTCACCCACTTCACCCGAGGTTTTGCAAGCGCATCACGATGCTTCTTGAGCGCTTCCAGCTCAGCCTCTCGTTCTTCTTCATCCTGCTCTTCGGTGTCCATTTGCGCTGCAGCTTCTTTCGCGAGTGCCGCGAGCGCGTCACGTCCTAGAACTTGGCCTACAGGTATGTCTTCGTATCAGCAAGCTCAATATAGACACCACATTGAGCACAGAAACTCACCATTCTCTTTCGCTGCTTTGCTAAGGGCATGGACCTTCGCGTTGAACGCGTTCGGAGCGCGTGTCTTCTTCTGATATCCATCGGTGACCAAGCGCTTGACATGTATCTCATTTCTTTAGAACCTCATACTTCGTGAGTTGTACCTATTATTATAAAATATTAAAGTAACTCACATCCCTAGACGTTCTGCAAGTGCAGCGGTCTCTAGCTGCACCAGGTCCCTGATCTTATCAATACCCTCGTGCAACTCCTTGGTAGATTTTTTAGCTGCCTCCTTCGACGCGTAATTTCGCTTGCCTTTCTTCTTCGGAGGAAGGACCGAGATATTCACGTTCTGGGAGGGAGGATCCATGGAGCAGCGAACGATGGACAGCACAAGGAGGTGGTTTGGGCTGACTAAACAGCAGGCAGAGGTAGCACGCATCGGAGTCGGGCTCTCAAATCCTGGGCTTTTCAAATACCTTGACAGTCTTTGGGGATGGATGAGTGGCACCATAATAAATACCAGTAGACGCATATTTAAATAAACCAGTAGCTGAATATTTAGATACACGACTGTATCTTTAGGATGGACACACAGACGAACAAGACAGAAAAAAATATGATTGTGCTACGTTTAAACCGAGTCCTTCACAAGTTCCGCCACCTGCGCCTGCTCTTGCTCGACCAACCACCTTCGATCATCCAGCAAAGTCTCCGGTGTGGAAAGAAGATCCCAGCCCTCCTTCCACCGAAGCTCAGCATCTCCGTCAAGTTCCCTTCGCTGATCCTCCGAGAGTGTACACGCCGGTACGAAACCATGACGGACCCACCGATAGAGCCCACCTGGGCAGAACTGCGTGATGCTGTAACGAGACTCCCCCTCACGAATCGGGATGTTGCAGTGCCGGATGCTGGCGGAGGAAAGAACTATCGTTGATCCAGGAGGAAACCGAATGACGAGCTTGAGGTCCTCCAGGACAAGATGCCCGCCCTTGTCGGGGTCGAAGTTACCAGCCGAGGTAATTTCACAGGGGACGCGAGGGCAATTGCCGGGGTCGGTGTGGAACTTCGTTACTGTGGATGGGCCGAGATTCAAACCACAGGCGGGGTAGACGCTACGACCGGGGAAGTTCATCTTGAGCTCCGGTTGATTCTTGCAAATCGCGTCCATGTTTGTCTTGAGTTCGTGATAGATGAGGGGATAGTGTGCGGCCAACAGCTCTGCAACCCTGCGTTAGACACATGATTGAGTGTGAAGGAAAAGGAAGAGTACTCACCATTTTGAAAGGCCACGATGCGGTGAATGTCGTGGTTGCTCAACAACTCGTCGACCATGGGCATCTGTGACGACTTGTGGCTCAGAGTGAGAGGAGTCTGGAAGACTTGGAATGAGCCGAGGAAAGCGAAATCGACAGAACGAGAAAGGGACGCACCTTCGCCCCACTGCCACGCGTGATACCGATACTCTTGGAATAATATGGACCACGGCGATTCTCTTTCTCCTTCGAAGAGAAGGTGGAACCATACCGCTGGCGAATATCCTCGAGGAATTCCGCCAGACGCTTGTGGCCCGCGTCCCACGTCTTCGACGGGTCCTGATTGGCAGGATCGACCGGTTTGCCGCCACAAACGATCGCAATCTTTTTCGAGGAGTCAAGAATTTGCGTAGTTGTACTTGAAGTGTGTGTTAGCCAGCCGAAAGAAGAAAGAAGGAGAGAAAAAGAAACGCACATTCCATCGAAAGCAAAATACGAATAACGCTTCTTGGCTGCGCTCGCCAAGGTGACAGACACATCGGCCTTCACCTTATTCTTCGAACACCCCTTCCCCTTCTTCGCTGAACCTCCAATTTTGCCGGTATCGCCTCCGCTGACCGCGCCAAAGTCCATGACGCTGAAGTCTCCGGACACGAAATGGGACTCTGCGTGCCGACCAATGAAAGCCTCACCATGAATAGGCAACCCACCCTCCCTTCTCCTCTCTGCAATATCCTCTCTCTTCTTCTTGTCCTTTCTTGCTCGATTAGCAGCCCTTGCGCTGGGGCTACGCGCACGCTTCGACGGAATCGACGAGCCTTCATCTTGAAGTCTGGACCGCGAGTCGGGCGGTACAGAGGAAGGGGGAGATGTGTTTGGCGAGGGTAGGGTAACGTGGTTGAACTGGGAGCCGGAGAATGATGTCGGTAAGAGGATCCGGCCGGCAAAGAGAGACTGAACATCGGGTTCAACAGTGTCGTCGTCTTCGAGATCGGAGAGGTCTTCATCCAACTGGGTGTCGGTGGTGGCGTCGAGAAGAGGGCTAGCCGGCGGGGTTGCGAATGGGCTTTGCGGCGGGTCGAAATCGGGGAGGTCGTCCTCGTCGATGTCATCTGCAGGCTCAGATCGGAGGTCATTGGGGTCTTCGCTGGCCTCCCTCTCACCCTCCATGTCATCGCGCTGATGGGCATGCCTCCAAGCGGCTTGGTAGTCAAAGCTCGTTCGCAGAAGTACAGGCGGGGGTCCGAACTGCTGGCCAGCATGAGCAGGTGCTCGGGGGCGCAGGAAGTAAGGTTTCATCCTTCCCGAAAAAAAGAAATAAGTAAGAAACCGTCTTTTGGAATGTCGGAAAGAAAAGTGAAGTGGAAATGTGATGGGCTTGCCGTCGTGTCGGAGCCAGGTAGCCTCATTCACGACGGTTTGCACCAAGAACAAAAGTGAAGCGGCAATGTGATGGGCTTGCCGTCGTGTCGGAGCCAGGTAGCCTCATTCACGACGGTTCGCACCAAAAACACTAGCCTGGCAAGGAGAGAAAGTAAGATGTATCGAACGCACCGTGAAAATGATGTTCGAAAAGCCCACGGGGCTGCAAAGAGAATCAGATATTGTCAGTGGGGCGCTCACCGCGAAGAACGATGAACAAGGTGAGCCTAAGCGAATGCCGTAACATTTGATGAACTCGCCGTCGCGTCGGAGCCTGGGAAGCCTCATTCACGACGGCTTATAGGGTGCTTCGAAAGAAGAAGAAAAAACAGAGGAGATATTGAGGGACTCACCGCGATGATTTGCAGAGTATTTGGTGAGGTTCAGAGACGACGCGGGGGTCAAGGGGGAAAAGCAAGGGAAGATAACGAAAATTGAAGCCAGCGCGACCGGTATCCGGCCGCGCCGGATTATATTAGTCAGCGGTGCCACTTAGTGGCCCTGCAGGAATAAGAGCCTCCAAGGTGTTCGGGTTGCTGCTGATGTGTGCACACATAAGAATAAATCATAATTGTCCTCTATTACTGGACCAAACCGTCAAAGCAGAGATAAAAAAAGAAAGAGGGAAGAACCGCAGACATAAACTTGCCACAAGGCATTCCTATATAAACATACCCAACTTCGGGTACACCCTATGAAACTCGCGTGTGTTCATACTGTAAAAATAGCGGGTTAGGAGACTTTGAAGGCCATGAAACTCAGTTACATACCTTCTCTTGTCATCAAAAATGAGGATGTGATCCTCAGCCGCTGCCCAAAACGCTGCCATGCCTTGCTGAAGAAGGTCAATGAGCTGGTGGTACCCTGCGACCTGACGACACAGCTGCAAGTGCAGGCCCCTGTCCTTCAGGCTGCAGACTTCGGTGAACTTCTCCACCCTCTCGACCATATCGGCGTGCTTCTTACAGATGTCGTCGTAGAGTTCTTGGGGGCCTTTCATCTTTGGGAACTTCGTACGTCGCTTCGAGGGGTCGTTACCAGCGAATGAAGAAGGATGGGTGTGCCGGAGTCCGACTAGTTGTGCCACAAGCAAATGGTTTTCGAGCTCCATCATCGGGTCGATATCATCTTGCAAAGTGACGAAAGCTTCCTTCATCGCAATCTTGGGCGGATCATAAATACTGTGGAGAGGACACAGGAACGTACATGAGTAACACAATAGCCTAAGAACCAGAGAGAAACACTACATACCAGCGTTCACCGTTCCACTCACGAAGGCGGATCGCCTTTAATTCCTCTAATCGTGCTGCTCCGACCTTGCGACGGGGACGCATCTTCTCCCAATAATGCTCAAAGTTCCGGCTGCTTGTGCGGACGAAGTCGTAGTACTCTTTGAACTTCGTCGTCCGGACTCGGTTGTCTAGTTCAGGCCTTGTAAACCGCGATGATAAGTAAACCATTCTAGATTAAGCGCAAAAAAAACGTAGGCAAGAAAGTTGGACACAAAAAAGTGGATCAAGACAGGGACTTACGCGTTCGGATTGGCCCAATATTCTTCTGCGTTCACAGGATACGTTTCGTCAAAGTTGAGCGCGTTGAGGTCAGGGTCCTTATGGGGTGCAACCGTGTACTTTCCCTTCCTCGCCGGTGAGTTCAACCACTGCTCTACAGCCCACTCATCGTATACCTCGGCTGCACTCTTCTCATCATGAAACCATGGCTTGGGTTTCGTTGTGACCGTAACAATGTCGTCCTTTGCGTATGGCTTCTGAACCAGAGACGGACTAGCTGGAGCTCTCTGGCCTATAGCAGGCATGCTCTGGCGCGGCCTCCTCAAAGGAGCACGAAGATGAGGTGCTGCCAGAGGCGAGGGTAGAACACCTCTGGAGCGAGAGTTGCTAGTAGGTGTCTTTGAGGTATCTTTGGGCATGATAGGCCAGGTGTACTGCGGGAGACAGAACGATGGGGACAAAAATTGCCACGACGATAAGGACGCAACAAGGAGCGGAGTGTCGGAGTCAGAGAATGGAAGTTGCCGATGTAGTACAAGCTGGCGAGGGTGAGATCAAGGTCGACGAGTTTGTTGACCACAAGAAATAAAACACTGAGTAGAAGCAGCAACCGAGAGGCCCAAGACATGTAGAATAACACCAAAGTTCAGGCTAAGTTACCACAAGAGCTCATCAGGGGAAAGTGGAGGAAATATTGTGTAGCCATGCGAAATGGCGAAGTGGCGGTGGTCGCACTCAGCGTTCCCGACATCAAAAACAATGTCCAGGAGGAGTTCACATCATCCTAAAAACGAGAAAATATTTGTATGAGTTGATTTCATGTATATAAAAAGAGCTGTAACTTATTTATCAAAGCTGTAATATGTGCCGATATGAAAGTGCACAAAAGAGACCTGAAGACGTTCAAGTTTAGTATTGCGCACAAGAACCTCTTCCTCCGAACCTACTGTTCGAGCACATCTAAAGCAGCTTTTTATCCCACTGCACAAAAACTTATGGAGTCAACATATTTGCATGCCCGGTCAGAATAGAGGTTGTAGAACGGAAAAATCTCACATACTTGTCGAGTTATGAAGTGAGGAAGAATGGTGGGAACCGAACGTACTCACGCTGTCCAACGCAATGCCGTCATGAGAGCATACCGCTTTGTAATGTGTCCCATTATATCTCAAGATATGTTAGTGCTATGAGTTCCATATAATCAATACTCTATAAAACAGTGAGTGACATGAACTTCGTATTCCGAGCAATAATCATCGTTCAGAGTAAGTGTCTGCCCAAGCCCCTATTCTCGGGATCTGCATAAGTTGCTGTGGCGCGAAGGTCTGAGGGCCACACTTTGCAAACAGCTTTCATTTGCCGTCAATTCTCATTCTCGCACAACTACTGCAAATTATTCAGACCATATTCAAGAAAGGCATGGAATTCAGAGACGTAATCTCGTAAAGATCATGAGGGACATTAAAAAAAACGGGCCACACCACTGAGATGATTTCGGACAATTCAGTTTCACTACGAGGGGAAAAAATATAACAACAGTCGACATCCTTTGACCCAACCGAGATCATCCACCACCTACGTTGTCCTCCGCACAAATCCTCTAGCCATCCCGTACCAATACCATCGGATCGCAGCTTCATAGTCAGAGAAGATTTCGACTTCGGGGCCTCCTTGAACACGGGTGATCTGTTCATAGACGTCGTTCCTGTGTGAAAGTTAGCAATAACATCTGAGGAATGAAAAGAAACATACAGGGATGGAGATCAACTTACATTGAGCTATAGATACCGGGGACACGGCCGACATATACAACCCACCAGTGACTTCCATAGTACTGTACAGGAGGACGAGGAGGTGGGGGCAACACACGAATCGGCGGAAGATGTCCTAGCGGCGTCTCGTGCTGAGAGTTAACAGCTCGCTGCCACTCATCAAGCCCCGACGCTGTGGTATCATGAACGCGGTGGAACTCTGGATTGTATGGAGAGGGGAATCCTTGGTGAGCTTCAATATTGGCCCGCCATGTGTCCCATGTCGCTGACTGAATACCCGGATTAACGCTGACCGTACTGATATACTGGTTGATCTGGCCACTGCCTGAAGCACACTCGTCAGGCCGAAGAGGAAACACTGTATGATCAAAAGGAGGGAGCGGCTGCATGCCAGGCGGAATTGGGACGATGGGATGCTGGTGGTACCAGGGGAGCGAGCTAACGTCAGCGGGTGCAGGGGAGCGGGATGACGATGAGGGAGTGTTTGATCCATAGCGAGCAGAGGAAGGAGCGGCGGTAGGAGTACTGGGAGAACGGGCTGTGGATAATTGTGGCTGAGTGAGCTGTGGACGAGTTGGCGAGGTGATATTTGAACTAGAGGAGCCGGGGGCTGGACGAGTGGGCAATGACGGGCCATATATCTCTCCACCGAAATAACGGGCAGGTTGCGATGATGATGCAGAAATACTATGTGCAACCATCGCACGCCGAACCCTACTGATATTGGTCGTAGGTGTACTGGAGACACGGGACGTTGAAGGCGAGAGGGTCGATCTGGTATGAGTTACACCACGAGTCGGCGTCGCCGGGGAGGTAGCTGTGGACGGTGTGACTGGTGCACGAGGTGACTCAAGGATGGGTGTAGTGTGGCGACTGGGTGTACGAGGCGCTGGTGCAGGAGGTGCAGGAGGTGTGGGGCGAGCGGGAGGGGGCGGGTCATAATCAGGATCGGGAGAAGCTTGATATGACCCTCCAATATTGTACTGGTCAGGATTGCTGCATTTTCCATCAAGATTAGCATGAAAGGTAGTCGGAAAAGACATTGAACTGCTTACAAGATACGGATAATCTCATCCCGATCACACCAGACACCATAGAGGCCACTGACACGGTACAACTCCGAGCGAGAGCGGCGAGCTGAACCACTGGGAGGCTGAGGCTGAGCAACGTTCTGAGAGCTTATCTCAGCCGCTGTGCTCATTTAAGGGATGATGAGCAAAGAAAATTTCGAAAATAATACAGAAAAGAACATACTGTTCGGAGCTGGATCTATATTTTCTAGCTCCTCATCAGTGACACTACCATCTCCCCCATCGGCAGTAGACTGCTGTGATGCTTCTTGAAACTTTAGCATCTCTTGCTCGATGAGGTCGTCGTAGTACGCGTCTATCTGATCTCGAAGCAATTCGTCGTAGGTCGGCGCCTCGATATCTGAGAGCTCGTCCTCATCATCCGAGGCAGCCTTACCCTTGCCCTTCATATTCCCCATAGCTGGGAGCAGGCCGAGAGGTGATGGAGGAAAGATAAGAGAGTGCTGAGTTGACCCTCAATTCCGCATGCTCTAACCAAGTCGGAGTTCGAACATGATGTGCATAAACGGGCCGGCCGTGAGAAAGGTGCCACCACCCATATCCATACGCCCAACATACGCCCACTATGGTAGCAACCAGATCACAATAAAATACATCAATCTTGAATGTTAAAACTCTCGAACTGTGTGGCCAAACGAGCTGCATCATCACGACAGGCTTCTCTCTCTAATTCACGGGCTGCTGCTTCCCCTTCGCCCGCATCTACCGAAGTCTTTCCCTTGCCCAGTGCCTCAACCATATCCTTGCTCCATCCCATCGGTGTTCCTGATCCACCTTGTCCTGTGAATCCAGTCAGTCCCTCGATTGTGTTGAGGATGCTATGGTGGTTATTGTTGATGGCCTGGCGTCGGTTGTACTGCTCCCGGACCTCTGCAGCAAAAATGGTTTCATGACGAGTGGATAGACCGTTAATCGCATCTTCGTACGCCTTTGCATCGGCGAGAAGCCAGGTTCGAAGGCGGCGCATCTCAAGGTTGAGGCGATCGAGTTCCTCTTCAGCTCGTACAACTTTGAAGAGCCTGTTACAGACTAGTCGGTTAGCTGGCGACATCCAAGGCTTTTGTAGGATCTCGGTATCGCCATATGATTGTCGTAAGAGATCGAATTCAGCGACAAATGTAAGCTCCATGATCTTCTGTATATCTAATATTTCAGCGGGAGGGTTCATCTTGACGGCGAGGGCGTTATAATTGTTGAGAGCCGTTCGAATAGCTTGGCTGCGCGTGTTCAGATGTGCCCATACATTTTTGCGAACATTATAGCCTAGAGAGGTCTCGAGTTAGTTATAGCATATTTTGATGAAGGAATAGATATGAGCATACTCATGCCGGGGACATTTGCCTTCTGCAGCTCGAAAAGCCGCTGAACAACGAGACCTTGCAGCTTGTTCAGGGCCTGGTAGAAGTCTCGTTTCTTGATGTACTCCTCGATCTCCTTGTACTTCGGATCTGTAGGCTCCCACCGCTTTGCCACCTTCAATCTAAACTCGAAGTCGAAGACAGCTTGTTGGTGTAGAAGGAAGCGGCTCATGGCGAGCTCACGTTTGCGCTCTGCCTTGTTTGTTGCTGCAGCATCGGCGCCGTATGATACACCTGGAGTCCAGTTAGTTATCCGGAGATCTGAACGTGTCGTCTGGTATGCTTGGCTATATGTCTATAAGTTACCGGCAGTGCTAAGACAAACGTGAGAAAATAGACTTACTCTGCAGCAGACATCTCCTTGAGCTCCTTGAGGTACCCACACTCAAGAGTCCTCTCCGTCGACTCGCCCGATGTCTTCGACCTCAAATATGCAAGCTCCTCTTGAATCCATCCTTGAACGGTATCGCGGTCCAGGTCAAGACGTCGAAGTTCTCGGTCAACTTCTGGGGAGTACTCGAGAATGGTTCTGAGGGCTTGACGGTAATTGTTGAGCAAGAAGATAGCTTTCGAATAATTTAGTGACTGGACTGTAGGACTAGAGGTAAGGGACATACAAAGATTGGAGTACTTATCCTCGTCCCACTGCTGAAAGTGAAGGTCATATGCCTGAAGCCAGTGAAAACGAGATGCACTTCGGACGAGGGGTGCAACAAGATTTGAAAGTGAGAATATGCGTTCCATCCCCTCTAAATCTTCCAACCCAAAGCCGAGAGTATAAAGTGGGTGATACTCAAGTTGGCAGGTCCGATTGTGCGCCCATCCATGAAATGCATTGACTAGGATGTGGAGCTTCTGTTCTGTGGCGACTGGCCCAACAAGGCGGCTCGACTGGACTGTGGCGCTGAACGAACAGCCAATATCAAAGCCCAAGACATTGTCGGGATCGAGGTGCGTCCTCAAGAAGTCGGACACGATGGCTAGAGGATATTTTGCACTAGAAATATATTGTCAGAAAAGAGCGGACAACAGACAGAAGATACTCACAGTTCGCCACTTCGAACCATCTCACAGAATTTCAAAATGAGGCCATGGCGGCAGGCACCACCGAAGATACCTGTCTGATCCCAGCACGACAGGCTGACCTTCGTCGACTCTGGCGCTGCTGCCTTCCAGTTCTTACTGCAGTGGCTGGTCACACCATGCTCGCCGTCGGTTGGATCACCTTGTGGGTCGGAGGTATAAGCCTCGGGAAGGGGGTCCTCAATCTATTCAAGTTGAACGTTAGGTGATTTCTCAACGAACAAGAAATTCCTTCCCTACCTCGTTTGCTTCTCCATCATCAACTTCAGCAGGTGTATAGCGGCTCTTGACCTCATCCTTAAATATATCCACCTGTTCTCGAGTAAGGAAGTAGTCGGTTTTGAAGTCTCGATCGTCTTGTAGTGCTGCAGACATGAAGCGTTTGGCGGAGTTGTTTCCGTCGACGACGAACATACGAGAGAAAACTAGTTTCTTCTCATCCTCAAGCTTGTCAAGACCCTCAATATGTAGTATGTGACAGTGTGAAAGTGGACGAGTGCGAACCTTAAAGCAGCAGCAAGGACATGAATTCTTGATGCGCCAATCCTGGTCATCTCTGCCCAATACTACCCGTATCCGTTCGTCTACCTTTCGTAGAATTTGCAGGTATGCATCAAAGGCAATGGAAAACTGATCTCGCATATGAGCTTTGTATTGAACCTTGGATGCTTGTGTCAGTGGACCTACTCGTCACAGAGTAGTACACTGAGGCAAACTTGGCGTACCTTTTGAAGATCACAAAGTGCACGAACAAATGGCAAGATACCATACCTCGAGAACCGTCGGCGCAAGCGATAGTACAGCTCAAGCACTTCTAGCTCAATGGCAATCGTAGGCTCTACTGGAGATGTTCCGAGAAAGCCTATTTGAATGAGCGCCTGGTTTACGGATTGCTCGGGCTGCTGGATAACAATAATCTGTTCTCGGGCTTGAGGCACAGTCAGAAATTTAAAGAAGAGTGTGCACGTATATACTGAGGACCTACAGCGTTCACGGACAGTAGTGCAATAAAATGATGTGGGCGATTGCAAAGGAGTGCCACTGGGTGGCGATGTGAGGTTAGATGTCGGCTGATCAGAGACCGAAGCAGCGTCAGAAGAAAGGGAGTCTTTCTGCTCATTGGTGTCATGCTTGAACTTGAGGTATGCATCGGCCAAGTCTTCTATCTGGTTGTCCCAGTTGGATTGGAGGGCCTGAATGCGATCGCGGCGATTGATGGATTGTCCACGTTTGAGAAAACGGCGCATACTATTCACAAATAATTGAAAATTGTAGTCAGTTACAGTGAAGCACGACAAGATAAATAAGCAAATATACTTGTTCGTTGATGTCATGAGTGAGAATGTCCTCTGCGCCACACTAACATTTGGGCCGTACTCTCCTCCAGCATGCGATATCTCCTGCACGTTGCCACCAAACTCTTCATTATCTGTATCGGACCAATATTCATCGTCCTCGTCCTCTACTTCGTCACTGTGGTATCGAGCCACGTCTTCATAATCGATGTCCATGGGGATCGGTTCTGCCTCGTCGTTGTTGGGTATGATTGAATTAAAGGCATCAAGCATTGCAGCTGGAACATCTGGCAGAAATAAAGCTGTAATCAGAGGCTATCGTAGAACATAAATCAAGAAAAATTACGGTGAAATCCTTGCTCGCGATGTAATAAAGCCTCTTTCTCCTCCCGAGCGAGCCGGCTAAGAGACTTGACTACATCCTTGCTGGTAGTAGCACGCCGGCCAGGAGTGTAGCTTCTGATAGGTTTAGATCTCTTGATTTTTGCGTGGCTATAACGCGAGCTCATTTTGTAACCAAGGGAGAGACACTGAAGGATACTATAGTCTATTGTCTTGCAGGACCACGACTGTATCCAGTGCCACACGAGACAAGGACACACTCACTTAGATAATCAACAGTGATGGCTTACGCCACACATGCTCTTCCTGATACACACTGACATTTTTAAATGCCCCGTGAGCGAGACATCAGCGTGTGCAGACAGTAAGGAAACCAGAGAAACAATATGTATTAATCTATTCGACAAGAGGCCTACAAGAGATTATGCTACATAGACGCGAAAGGCAGAGGGAGCGGAGGGTGTGTGGCGCATCGTGAACGGCGGCGCAGAGCGAGTCTGGCGGGCAGCCGGCGGCAGAGGCTCGAGGGACAAGGTCTTGCGTCAAGGGCCCAGGCTGAGGGAGGGGGAAGTCGGAGGGAGGGGCGTCGGGATCTTTCCGATGATGACGACGGAGGAGGTCCCGAGGCAGTGAGCTGGTAGTGAAGAAGAGGAAGGGATACGAAGGCGAGGTCGAAGGCGAAGATCCGGCCCGATCCAAGCCTTGTTAGACTCGGGCGCCATGACATGCCACCCGAGTCTAACTAGGCTTCTTATCAGTGTCATCCAGGTGCTATGTCGGTCTCATGCCCATCTTGGCACCCGTGTGTACAGACGCCGCGTAGTTCCTCCCGCAGCCTCTGAAGTGTAGTGGTGCAAAAGAGAGCGGCCTCTTGTCTCAATATTTTTTCCGTGCCCAACCTTGACGTTCTTCGGGGGGTTGTGGTCGGATCCGAGGCTAGGCATGCCTACATGTCTTAGAGCTTACTTGTATGTCCTCGTAACTCCGTTCCAGAAATGCAATGGATACCTTGTCACTCTTATTTTAACGTTGGCCGAAACATCGCCGATCACTCCATCGAACGTCGTTCCAGTCCTTCAACCAGTATGATGCGAATTACACGGCGACACACGAAATAATCTCTCATTGTTCAATGGTATGTATGATTCGGGAGGATTCTATGAATCAACTGAAAGCATAAATGAGGGTGAAGTAGTTTAAAGTATACCGTCATAAATAATCAATAGTGATCAATAGCGATGGTGTTCGGAGGCAAATGGGGGGACGAAATGGTGAAAGTCCATGTAAAAATCGAACCAGAGAAAGGTTCAGGAAAATTGTCACATCAGATGGACCGTGTTCTACGATCTCAGCTCTGACCTGCTCTGCCCGAGCTTCCAAAGAACGACTTCCTCCAATTTGGACTCTTCGAGAACGGATACTCAGGCTCACCCTCCATCACAATCTTATTTGTGACAGGGTTGATCCTGAACTTCCTATCTCGAAGCGCCTTGTAAAGGTCCTCTCGGCGTTGCTGGCCATCGAGAAGGGCGGCTGTACCGGTGGAGGCAGTGAATGACGCCGCGGAGGCCAGGGTTCCTGGCTGGTGTAGGAGACGGAGGTCTTGCCGAGAGCGTTTATGGAGGAGTTGAACAACGACAGTGAATAGGCTGAGCGTGAGCATCCCAGCGGAGAGGAGGTGTACGGCGATGTCACTGAGGAATGGCGGTGAGTTGCCTTTTCACTGCCAGTCTGAGAAAGCAAATACCTCATCGTGAGCCTCTTCTGGGTGGTGGATATCCGGACATTGATTGGCTCGTTATCCTCAACGAAGTACACAAGCTTCGCCAACATCGCAAGGTATGTCCTCTGAAACACTACCAGTAAGACCATAACGCCCACGCACTGAGACCAAAAGCAAGTTTGAAAAAATACACTCACATAAACCGTCGCCGACAGCTCCGCGAACGAATTATTCGCAAACGCAGCAGTAAGTCCCTGCTGGCTCTGTTCCGCACTCTGAAACACAGCAGCGGGCAACTGCAACTGAATCGCCGTCGCCCTTGCATTCACGAACGGATCCGACACCAACTGATTTGCCGTCCAGTTCAATCCATTATACGCCCTCCCGTCCAGTGGATCGCCCGTTACGTTCCCTGCGAACTGCGTGAAGTTTTCCTCGCCGGCCGTCACGTTTCCCAGAGTGGTCACGGATGTGAGGTTCGACGAGCCGAGATCGACAGCAATGGCGACATTTTGGACCTGGATTGTGGGCGCGCAAAGTGTGACGGAGGCAGCGGCAGCAGGCTCATATGTGAAGAACCAGAAGATGACGGGCATGAAGGCTGGGTCGGAGGAGTCGAAGGCGGAGCAGTCGGGCATGATTTCGGCGCCGAAGAGGTGTACTGAGGATTTGTTGACTTCCCAGGTGAAGTTACAGCCGCTGAAGACTGCGCTGTTAGTCCAACCTTGGGCATCGGCATGCTGCAACATGTTCACATAGCCCTGTAATTGATAGCATTGAGCGTTAGACTCAAAAGGGGGTTTCTTGAGCAAGTAGGAGTAACATACGTTGTTGTCGGGTTCTCGGCATCCTGGATCGGTGAAAATGGCGGTGGTATTGGCAGTTAGATTTCCGGTGTTTGCGACATCGTAAGGAAGCTGTGTATTGTATGAAAGATCGTGTTACTCATTGAACCGGTTTTACACTGCTAAAGATCAGGAGACTGACCTCTATTTCCCCGACAGTGAAGCCGTTATGCACAAAAGGTGTGTCTCCCAGATTGTACAAAATCGATGAAGAGGCATAACCAGAGGCACCTAGGAATGCTACAAGAGACCGTTCATCATCAGTAATCACACTATATGTTGAGTATACGACATACAAGTCAAGTCTTGATACTGCTGGTTTTGATTGAGACCGATCGCTTGCAGGTTGGTAACATTCCGGTCTATAGAATGGGACGTAAGTATGGTCTTTCAAATATGACAAACGACGAGGAAATGATATACCAGGTAAAGTGAGGTAGGTGTCTTTGATGGTGAATACGGCGGCAGAGAGTGGTTGAAAGGCGAGGCAGAGAAGAACCATAAGGGAGGTGAGAATCACTAGCCAGTGCCTGTTGAAATAAGCACCCCAGAGAACCAAGGCTGAGCTGTCGGTGAGAGACATAGGTCAGCATGAAATCCATTAACAAGGTATGCCGGATACATACTGCCGTCGGGTGTAGTCCAGCAGAAGACTACTTTGACCAGGGGCATCGCCTTGAACGAGGTCAACATAAGGCTAATAACGAGACCAGTTCAGCATTATATAGGTGCTGAGCGTAAGAGAATGCCTCATACCTGCAGACGTTTGATTTCCATATCCGTCCATGTCCAAAGGCCAACGATGATCATTGCCACGCCCACCGGGGGAAGAGTCTGTCGAGCGAAATCAGAACCACCAAATCGACATCGCCTAAGAAACAAGAACCTTACATAGACATAATGCAATATGCCCTCCTCAGATGAGAATGAGGCGCTCGTAGCCCATCCTGGGAAGCGCAGAAAGAACGTGAGCGTGGGTTGGGAGCCGAGGCTTGGAAAGGACGCGTCTCACCATGCTTGCGATGACTGAAGCTCAGCGCAACTTCCAGTGTAATTGCCCCTGCCACTAGTACACAGACGAAAGGAACCCAGAACCAAGTCTTCAGCGGTGTTGGAGTCCATGCGTCCTGATCAGTGGTGGCTGTAGCACCGGAGAAAGCGAACGGTCGCCGGGAATATATTGAGAAAAGGATCGGTTTCATCAAATATTAGATCGCCGAGTTGTCAGTGGAAGCGCTGGATCGAAGCACGTGAAGGTAATGACGACGACACGCACCGTTGGGAATGGGAGCGTAGCGCGTGGGTTGGTCGTCGTAAGGGTTGTAGAGGATGAATCTCTCTGGGTCACTCTCTATAGAGAGAGGGACAATGTGTCAGGCAATCTGTCCGTGAGGGGAATGCTATGTTCATACCAGGAGCCTCCACAAAGCGCTGATCAAGACGAGCAGATGGTGGTTGAATACTCGAGTTACAGTGATAAGCTCGGAGAAAACATACTGTTTGATATTCCCCATCATACTCCAAATCTGTAGAGGAACCCGCAAACTTGTCTGTAACCTGAGATACCGCCACCCGTGGTGATGCCGCGCGGGAGTCGGGAGAGAGGAAGGGACGATCTGACATCGCGGAGAAGGGGGGTGTTGTAGTCATCTGTTCTCGCTCTGATATAAAGTCATGCCGTCAAGCTCAACATCGAGGACAGCGCAAGACGTATGCACGCAGAATGGCACAAATAGAGGGTGTCGTATAGGCGAAGGCATGCTCACCTTTGATTTTGGCCTTGTCGGTGGAGAACCTGATGACAGGTTTCGCAGAGGAAGAGAGAGACTCTATGATGGGGGAAGAAGTCATGTTAGTGAGGAAAGATGTTCAGGATCCGCCAATATTAATATGCAGGTAGATAGCCACGGTGATCGAGGTGGCAGCCTCTATCAAGATGGGTGGCTCACCTACACAGAGAGATCAGCAGGAGCGTGAGACTCGGGGGTGTGAAGCGAGGTGAGGCTGTCCCAGACTCAGAACTGATGGGAGAGCAGAAGTAAAGAGGAAGATATGTAGTAAGAGAACCCAGGTACCCTGTGCCCCTTGAGCGTTTCTTAAATATACGCGATCCGGTATGCCCAGGACCCAAATGCACTAGTAGCGCCTGGTCCAATGTTTCTCTGTCATTGCACAATCGCAAGAGCGTCAACTGACTTATCGCCACCCGAGTCGAGGTACACGATTCCCAAAGCCACGACTTCAAGACTCGATGCAGTGCGATAGTCAATAGATAGAGAGTGGCATATGTCAGCGTGTCTCACTGCTTGTGGTGGGCTCGACTCGATCAGTAGGATAACAAGAGTTAGACTTGGAGTATTCCACCGCCACTGAAAACACACCAGGCAAGATGTCGACCCGATGGCAATATTGGATTCAATCAGTGGTGTTCTCCTTTGTACATACACTCAGGACGCATCGGATGCATCTTGTTTCCGAACGCTCAGTGGCAATACATTCCGCTCGTGCACATTGCGACGAAGAATATCCACTACGGGCGCATTCGACAAGAAGGCTAGAACAAGACCCCCGTAGCATGAGACTGGGAAGGAACATCGTGCAAAAGAAAGATCAGACCGTCCAACCCGCGGTGAGCGCTTTCGGTGGCCACAACACCGGCTGCCACGCGAGCCATCAGAGCGCCGAACACTCGGCAACTGTGGCGGGCAGACATACAGCTGACTTCAACGTAGTGATAACTACCTACATTGGCATCCGAAGGTGAGCTCTACGCTTCGCTGAGCAGGAGAAAAAACACATGAATTGAAAAAGCAAAGCATCGTGATGAAAACAACGGACAAAATCAAGGCTAGTGATGTTACAATCCTCCAAGTGGCACACTGAATCATCCCCGTCAGCGGTATAAAGTAGGGTTAGTGAGTCGCGGCGACTGATTATACAGCAGCGATCAACGCACTCAAAATTATAGTAAAACAACATCTCTTTAGAATCATAGAAGAAACAGAACAAAACACAGCTCCAAACACGCTTGTTGAACACCCTAGGATGTCCTCACTCTTCAATTTAGTTCTCGACCATTATCACGTCTCCGTGGGCTCTGCTGGCTTTACCCGGACCCTCGCTTATAGCGCCCTTGCCATCCGTGGAGGTCGTCTGCATGACAGTCATCGGCTGTAATTGGCCTAATGCGCCAGGTGCGAGCTCTCGAACAGCATCGCCGGATTTGTTCTTGTAGAAGACAATCCCACCGCCTTCTTCGATGAACATGCATTGAGTGAAGGAGCGCCAAAGAGCGCAGAAGGAGTTCTACATAGCATAACGATTGAGTTTGAGGCACTGACGGTACCAGTATGAGAAGAGAGGGAGGAAAGGGATGACGCACGGTAGAGTCGTAATTGTAATCGTCCTTTAGGACCGTACGAATACATTTTGTGATTTCTGGCGCGTTATCTATTGTAGCAAAGCAAGTCCATAGGATGAGCAGAAGAAGCAGCGTCGGATCAGAAGCACGACACTCACAAAATGGTGCGCTCGCGAAGAAATGGTGCGCGACGTGATCATGAGAGATCTGTAAAGGTTATACCGTCAGCTCTTCGACATCCAACACGATGGCAGTGGGTAGATTGTTCGTACGTTATGCAGGAAGAACCTTCCCATCCATCCCAAAAGCGGTCGGTCGACGGTGGCAGCCGCTCCCCGCAAAAATGTCCACTCGGATCCGTAGTAATGTGGGATCGTGGGATCGGAATGGTGGAGGAAGGTGAACATCACTGTGCGAAATGTTCGTGATTAGCAGTGGTTTACGGACGGAACAGAGTCTAGAGAGTGGACGTACCGATCCTGATAAAAGTCGAACGGAGAGATCCTAGGTTATAGGCTGCATGGTGAAGTAAAGGAGAAACGGACATACCAGTGATTTGTGAACTGCAAAGCTTCGTGTTAGATGGGCATCTCGAAAGCAGTAGGTCCAAAACGATGCTTACCAAGTACGGAACAAAGTAATACATGCCGACAGCACCCCATCCGACGTAACGCGCGATGTAAATTAACAAGCCTGCCATGGCCGTGATTCCGATATCCGATAGAATAATAGAGTTGCCTAAACACGATCGCATGCACCACGACGTTAGAGATGAAATCAATATAAAAGAGGGCTGGACGAGAGTTACGCTGATGATCCTTGAATAGGGGAGAGTATGGGTTGAAGTGGTTAGTCCCCGGTGGATACATCTTAGACCCGAGTACATTTCGTCTGTGCGGTGCAAACGTAAGTACTTACAAAGTATCTGCTAAAAATATATGTTACACTCACGAAAGGTAGAGCCACCAGCCCCTATGGGGAGATAGGAAAGACAAAGAATTAGTCAACAAACGCTGTGTATATAAATGGAGACAGCGCACAGTCCCTGCATAATCAACACTCTACTTAAGGTCCACAACGGCGTCTCTTCAAAGACCTCGGCATAGTCCGCTTTCTTAGCTTCCTTCTGAGAAGGCAAGCCATAGTGCTCTCGCTGGTGAGGAATATAGTTCTCGTCACGTTCGATAGAGGCTGTCGCTTTCTTTTAAGGTCAAGATGGAGTTGTAAGAAAGATAAGAACGAGATGGGGCGGCGAAAGTACGAACATGATGAGCATGGTGAGTGGCACGCCACGCATAGTATGGGGCCAACAAAAACTACATAACAAAATATAGGTCAGCGGGGAGGAGAACAAAGACAGGAGAATGAGATGGAATCTCACAGAATGAAGTGTGAATCCAACGATATGATTTGCCATTGACGAGTCAAATAGTGTTGCGTGCCCAGCCTATTTCGCGTACAGATTGGCTTTCAGCAAGATGATCCTCCATGGAGAAAGTTCGAATAATCATACCTCATGTCCTGTACCAATCGCAGTCAATATCTCCATCATCTCAGTGCTAAAATGGAACCAAACACGACTCACCGAGACAGAACATCCCTGCGCCTACTAGGCCCTGGAACCACCAGTACGTTCCCCATGCTGCCGCCTTTACGAGGCAGCTCAACCAGCCTCGCGTCGGATCAATGACATTGGCTAGCCAGTCAATCCGAGTGGCGAGGAGGAGGAACACGCAGGCGAGAAGAATGTCGCGGAGGACATAGAGTGATGCACGGAAGGAGGATCGTTGAAGGAGTTGCTTGGGGACGACGTCATGGATTTGTTTGAGCGTGAATGTGGGAGGGGAGAAGGGTTTCGATGCACTTGGGTACGGTCAGTACAGTGATCTTAGAGTCTTATCCAGGCAGCGGTGATTGAAAAGGGGGGTATAACGTACCGAGCTTCGTACTCAGGAGCGTTGCAGAACATTATGTGGATAGAGCACGAGCACAGAGGTAGGGCGGAGACCGATGTGGACCTGGTGAAGAGAAGACACCTTCGCAGAACCAGACTGGTATATATACAGGACGCCCACTAGGTTTCGCCGTGCATCCTGTCTCATACATATGACATTCAAGCGAAAACATGTCTTCATTTCGGCTGTCCAGAACTGCCCCAGTGGTGCGGTCTTGACAACAAACTACGGTCTGAATCCCGAGTGGAGTATGACGGAACAAGACTATAAGTTTCATAGAGAGATTGTGGATGAGAGTAGGCGTCGATTTAGCAGGAGATGCCTCATTGCAGTGACGAGAGTTTGAGACCCTAGCACAGAGGCGCCTCGCTTTGATACATGTTGCAAGATCAGACCTAGATCATACCGTAAGAGAGGGGCAAGAAAGAGCAGGCTCGGTCGAATGTCCGAGGCAGTTGGCGATATGCGATGACTTAGTCGACAGAAGGCAGGATTAGGCTCCTTTGCACGGATATGGTCACATGTGTTGGAAGCGGAGTCGTCGGCATGTATTATTTGCTTGGCCAGACTCCTGGATTGTCATCTACTGAAGACCGCTGTCAGTTGGGCTTTGAGAACATAAAAGGCGGAGGAGAAACTGAAGTTCATGGGATGGCGAGATCGCAGGGAGGTGCAACCGAAACATTGAACTGTTCATCGATGGCAACAAGTTCAGAGCCTCGATGGATTAGCCATACAATAACGGCATTGCGACAACCCGATGTGCATGAGAATCTTCGCTTCTGCACGGTAAAACCTGTGCGCGGATCAATGAACAATGGTCACACGTTTAAATGTCAATCATCATCCGCAAATTCGGCTTGAGCAGCTCTCATAGGCTCGAACAATCCATGTTGGTCCCCAAGTCCATATGTGAGCGTCATTCGCTGCAATGCCGAGGGCGCAGTTGAATTATCGGCCTCGAGCTCAAGCTGCCGAAAATGTTCACATGAGGGAGGTGACATGGAGGGATGGACGGCGGACGTACTAGAGAGATGATATCGTCCAAGAGATGAGCCTGGGCAACGGCCATGCCCGCTAGTCCATTATAGTTTGCATTAACGATATGCACATGGAAGTGATCTGACAGTTGACCATACATGTGAGTACCACATTGTCAAAAGTAACATCACTGGCGAGAAAGACGTCCTGATGCTTACAATAGCTAGGCTGATAATGCACGTAACACTTCACCTCACTCTCCTCGAGGCCCCATCCTTCTTTGACGGCCCTCTTCGCCTCCTTCCTTATCTTCTTTAGCATCCCTAGATGTTTGCGCTCGAGATCTCTTAGGCTGCGGATGTTGGGAGAGAGAGATATGGCGACTAGGTAAAGGGAGGAGACGGTCTTTAAGTCCCATTTCATGTCGGGGAGGATGAGGAAACCTTCGTCTGGGTCTGTAGTGGCGGAGGAGCGGTAGAGGACTTTGTCGGCTTCAGAGTAGCCGGAGAGAATGTCTGTGACCCTAGAAAAACCAAAACATTTTTTCTTCAACTAGATGCGGCCAAGTGTGTGAAAGGAGATAACGCACCACTTAGTACGAGAAGTGGGAAAGCCATCGATATAGGGCTTGACGATTTGCTCGTAGAGGGTTGGCGTCTCGTGTACAAGGTATACTTTCTGCGTGGAGTACTAGAAGCAGCTGCAAGTGAGCTTAGCTGCTCATGTGAAGGTTGATTTCTCGGACAATACCTTCTTTATGTGTATCTCTGTTGCTGGACAGATTACATTGATTTTCACATCAGGTCTTTCTTCCGACGATGCTAGCCATCCGAAGAGCCACGTATACTACATCACATCCAGGGTCATCGTCACTACGATGTTTACGAGGAAGCAAAAATGTACACATACGATATCGTTTGTCTCGATTTGCTTGACCTTCTCGACCAAGTCATCAGAGAAAGACGGTAATGCGGTCTTCTCTATCCGGACGATGGCGAGTGTCGTCGATGACGAGGTGAGAGACTCTGGATATTTTCCTAAGAGAGTGACGCTACGAGAGATAGGATCTAATAATATGAGCAATAGTTACGCGAAGCAGAACAATAATCAGCACAACGGCGTACCTTCATTGAGAACCCGTTCGAGCTGAAATTTGGAGAGATCAAAGCTCATGACTTTGGAGCTGCATTATGTAGGGCGTCGGAAACATAGATGACGTGAATGCTGTAGTCACCAATACAACGAAGACGAGAAGACGGGCTCACCGTGCAGTACGTTGTTGAAGACGCTGTGGAGGATGAGGACAAGTTACACTGTCCGGTAAGCAGAGAGCCCAATAGCACCTCCTTTCCCACGACCTGTTCCTGGGACAAATCAACTTCGCGCCACGAGCCTTTCTGCACTGCACCCACACAGCTCGCTTAGACTACCTTTACTATCCTCGTCTCACAGGCCTCGACGTCGCAGTCCTTCACTGGTCTGCCGAGTCGTCTCTTTTGTACACAACAATTATTCGCGTCGGACAATTGCATCATATCTAATTGTCTTCTCTTGACACACCTACCCCACATCATCTATTCTCACCGCGACACATTCAATTATTTGCTGCGTTCCACCACTGCTCTTACTCTCTCGACTCTCGACTCCCGGGAACGTCTTCGACAGACAAGATGTCCGACCCTACTCGCGCCGCTCAAGCTCCAGAGGACTGGGATCGCTCTGAGTCCGATATTATAGACTCCGCATCCTCGTCTGCACGCGTCGCGTTTCCGTCTGACGGGCAGGCGGAAGAGAACGGGGATGGGGCAGTGGAAGGGGAGGGAAGTCAGAGAGGGAAGAGGACATTGAGCGAGCTATTGAAGTTGCATGCCGCGAAAGGGTCCGACAGTAATTTCAGTGCGGAAGAGGCGACGCGGGTGGCAGACGTGTTAGGAGAGTGGGTGAGTGTTCTTTTCTTATACATACCTATAATCTATTGCTTTGGCCTTGGGCGTGACTGTTGCTCAAGCGCAATCCTCGTACTCGAACGGCAATACTGACATGTCATGGCGCAGATAAACTCAGGTTCCTCACCATATGAGGGGGAAGACGACTTTTTCGCCCGAGCACAGGATGACTCGTCAGTATCACGGCAGCGCACACCAGCCCTCGACTCGCGCCCCAGAGGGCAGAGCGATTCCGGCGTTGGAAAATCATGAATGGGGGGTTTAGCCGTTCAGCACAACCTAACGCACCCATCAACTCTTCGTCTCGCTCTGATCAGCTCTCCGCCGCATCTGCATCTGCACCGTACTATTGCTTTCTCTATGAACTGTTCTCCGAAATCGTCAAGCAACAATGCCTTTTTTCTCCCTCACACCAGCGGCGTCAACACCCTCATCAATGACTTCTCGTTTCCATCATTCTGGGTTTTACGAATTCTCTGCTCGCTTCTCTTATTGTCTTGTTAGCAGTCTCGTGTCTTGTTTCTTACTTCTGATTTCATTATTTCTTCTCCGTTGACGACAGTGACATGACCTTTACGACCCGTTCACGACCCCGCTACGACCTTAGAGTTATATATCTAAGTACCTTCCCCAGTCTCCACTTCCGACCGCCATTCGTCCCGACCTTTCGCCCCCGCATTTCCTTGCACTATTTATCCACTCCCCTCTTATTGCTTGCTTTTCCTCTTCCTCTTCCTTTTCTTTTTTCCTTTTCCTTCTTCCCTTTGGTCCTGCGAACGGGTCGGAACGGCGAGATTGGGGACGGACTGGGACGTCGGCGTGGCTCTTTGTGGACCTCTTTTGGACGCTGCCCTATAGTAATGATTCTTGCAAACTAACACGATCGCCTTTCAAAATTCTTCGTGAGTCTTGTCACTCGTTCCTCGATCCCTTAATCGAAGCAGCTAATTGAAACCATGACGATTGATCTCCCACAGAACCTTCAGGCTGCTGCTTACACGGAGTTTCGTTCACGGATTATCGCTAGTTCAAGTTACTTGCTCATGGATGGATTGTGTATTTTGTGCGTGCGAGTGCTTGCTGAGAATGATGATGCTCGCATTGCTATGTCCCTGACGTCTATCTAACCTCGATGTCATTGAAGATGTGGTATATTGTCATCTGAATTCGTTGTGGAGCAGATGGAACGACATGGTGAACTTGGAGATTCTGAGTGTACTGCGTGCAGAAGCCTTGCTTGAATTCGTTGCTGCAAGGGGGTAAAACAGGGATAGTTATATCAAATAAAAATCTCCGACCGTCGTATTTGTCGACAGTTTTGATGATAGAGCTGCCGCCGCTGGTCTTAGCCTCGTACTGTGGCGGACTAGGATCCTGGACAGATGGGCTTTCTCGCTCATTTAATCAATGTCCTGTCTATGACCTGCAAACTAAATGGCACATTTAGGTAGTCCGACATCTATTTAAGTATATTTACATCTATTTAGAGAGCTTGATGCAGTAAACCATCGTCAATGAATATTTTGCGACGACGAGTGGGGAAAGTGGCAAAACAGGGAAGCTGGACGCGCGCCGAAAGGGCCCGGCTATTGCCGAATGAGTGGCGAAAAAGATGTCCAAAGGCGCCACACCCCCTTGCCCACCGATTTCGTACACATAATCGTTAGACGACCAACGGCAAGAAGTACCCATAGCATTTTAATATACATCATTCTATCTGCATAAATATTTGTGGGGTGCTGCACGACTTTCTGCGCTCAAAATTCATTCGGATGTTTGAGAGGTGCAAAATCGGTCATTTCTATAAAATCGTGCCGTCTAGAAGCCAAACAGTCTGTTAAAAACAAGCAGACCTTGGCAGAAGGATTATTTTGTTGGGGCTCCAAGACCATAAACTTTTTGTATGAGGAAGATCATGGATGCTGGAGCTAGAGCCTCACGAAGTGGGAGCCTCTTGTGGTGCTTTAGCCAGAGGATCCCCTCAACAAAAGATGTCCCATGCAAAAGTAGGCAACCATGGTCTGCCAGAATAATTTGGAATCACTTCTGGCATGTCCTCATATATACCCCACATAGATTTTTACGAGCATATACGCTGATATTAAAGGCGAGTCGAGGTGTCCATGTCGGTCGAGCTCTCTGCATGTGGCAAAATTGCCACACAAACCCCATCTCCGGCAACATTTCACCATCTTCTACAAAATACTCACAAGGATCACACAAAATATTTTTACAGATCACACGGGACAATGTAGGCCTACAGGTTATCTAGAGCGATGAAGGCACGAATATATGTGCTTAAAATTCCAGAAACATTTGTCCAGCTTCTATGTCCGTCCAGCTTCCTAGTCCGCCACAGTACCTGCGTGAACATCAAAAATATTGCTCTGGGACCGTTTTCGATTAGCAGCACCTCGTTTCGATCGAGGGACCTCAGGGTTATGGGCCCTGCGCGCTATACCAGCTGCGCCATGCTGCTGAGAATTTATATCATTGTACCCATATAAACTACGCTTTGGGGACTGGACAGTAAAAGGGGCTAAAGGAAAATGACGTCGGCGTTGAAGATGCAAAAATGACGTAGGGCTGTCAACTAAAGCGCCGCTCGCCAGCAGACGTCCGTGCATACATAAACGCGTCCTGCTTCAAATCATTTCCAGCACCATCTTCTGCCATTCTCTATCCCTAAGTACCACCCATCTGACAGCGAGAATACTTGCTTGTGGTTTTACTATTCGTTGTGCGAATAATTTCTGGTATTTTGTTTTCTCATTTAAAGCCGTTATGATGTCTATTGTGAACTGACGTTCCTCCCTTCCCGCACCACTTCACTCTCCCCGCCACTTATACACTTATTAGGTACTCACAACACCCTCTCTCAACAAAGCAAACCATTCTCCAAATCAGGATCCAACATGCCCAAGAAAGATCCAGGACCGCCGCAAGGCGAAGGCAAACGCACCATGCACAAAGACGTCCCGAATCAACAATCCCGCGGCATCCAAAACGTCACCGCACCCCTCTACAAATCCAGCACAAGCTCCTTCGTCTACGTCCTCTCCACCCTCGCGGTCATCATCTTTGCCTGGTACGCCTACAAGGGCGTCTCCGTCGCCTCGAGCGTCGTAAGCAACGCTTCACCCTTCGGCTCGTCGTCGACGTCTTCTTCTAAATCTGGTGACGTACCAGTGAATGTGGGAGAGAGAAGAGCTGCGAGAGAGGAGGGCGTGGGCGGCGAAATGAGCGTGGAGAGACATATTGAGGAGTTGGCGAAGGCGTTTGGGATGCCTTCGAAGGATTTGGCGGGCGCGATTGCGGGAGCGGTGAGGGAGCATGTGCCACCGTCGAGTTTGAGTTCGGTTTCGAAGAAAGCAGAGAAGACGGGGGGAAGTAAAATTCTTGATGAGTTGACGGGGGAAGCGGGCGAGGGTGAGGATGCGGCATCGTGGACAGACACTTTGGGTACGGTCGTAGGCATGGATGATATGCCGGTGTGAGTGTAAAATGTATCAATAGACGCTTCAGACGTCTCCCCACAAAATAGTTTGCCACAACCACAATGTAGTATTCAATCTCGACGTTGAACTCTGTGATTCAGCCAGACAACCAGACAACCAGGGGAGCGCCAAATGGTGAAACAAAATACATAGCATTGCAGCAAAGAAGGCGAAAGACATACAGCAATGCACTAGTAACAACAACATAATCATCGCAACAAAGACGACTCGGAAGGACGTACGAAGGCATTTACAAAGAGCGTAAACGAATATATGAATGTATAGGCTAAGACAGTTGCGAAGGATTACCAACGAACACGGAAGGAGCAGGAATATAAGGCCATGTAACGCTATGGGTTTTCTATGATACTCTACACGCCCCGCACTGCGATGAGCGTGGAAGGGACGACCAAGAAAGTGAAAATTCAAGGAAGCAGGGAATGCGCATGAATAAGGTAAAACTGGGGGTGCAAGCATATTTGAATAAGAACGAATGGCGAGTCTTTGGGCAACGGATAGTTCGCAACACCAGTGAGGCCGAGCGAGGCAGAAAGCGAGAGTATGAGAGGAAATGATAGGAGCTTCAGAGCAGACGCAATAATCAAGACTTTGTCCCATGGAATGTGGGGAATTGGGCTGTGAAATAGGAAAATACTGCAATGGTTTGTCGAGATGGACGCAGGGGTATACTTCGGTCCGAACTTGCGACCGAGACTTGAGGCATCGGCCTTCATCTAGTCGTCGTCGAGCACCTCTCCGCGACCGTTCAAACCGAATAAATTCGCGAGCTCTTTCACGCTCAAACCTATAAGTACCGAAACAGGTCAGCATTGGACTTCGCGCCACACGCCACACACCATGCGGAATGAGCAAAAGACGTATTCGAAGGGCGAACTTACGGCCGATCTTCTTCCCAGTACCCTCTCCGAGACTACCATCCGCCAAATTCTTCTTGCGGTCCTGAATGGCCAAGATACGATCTTCCACCGTGTTTGCAATGACCAGTCGATGGACGAAGACGTCTTTCAGTTGTCCGAGACGGTGCACACGGTCGAACGCCTGGCTCTCGACGGCTGAGCTCCACGCAAGGTCCAAGGAGATAACACCTACACAGAGGTCCCGGGAACATGTTAATATTGGTGGGCGTCAGGTGGAAAGTGCTGATAGAGGGTGCTTACGGTTCGCACGAGTAAGATTAAGCCCCACTCCTCCGCATTTGAGCGACAAGAGCATGACCTTCGACTTCTTCTTTGCCATAAAGTGGCGGACAGCGAGATCGCGCTGAGTTCGTGACATATCGCCTTGGTACTTGACGTGGGGAACGCTGCGTTCGGTCAAGTAGTCGGACACCAGCGTAAGGCAAGAAGTCCACTGAGAGATGACAATAGTCTTCGAGTAGGGAGGAATTTTGAAGGAGGTGAGTAGAGAAAAAAAATCCTGGAGACCGACAAGACTAACCTTGTCATCCGGGTGCTTTTCGGCCCAATCCGTGAGGAGCTCCATCATGTGCTGCGTAGACCTATCAGTACCACTCACAGTAGCAAGCAAAAGAACTAGAAACTTACCTTCATCTTCGTGCTGGGAAGGAAGCGAGGCATCATCCTGATCTGCTCCTTCGGAATGTCCGCCATGATAGGCGACGGCCTGCCGAACAATACTTCACCGTCTTCGCTCTCCTCCGCCTCCTCGTCACTGTCAAGGACTATCGCCCTCTTCTTGCCCAAACGCTTGCTCAGTCGCTTTCTAGCAACCTTCTCGTCCTCACTATCCTCATCCTCATCAGCGATGAAGTCGCTTAAACCGTCGTCCTCGGAAGAGTGCTCTTCGTCGTCCTCGCTGTCGACGTAGGGCTTCTTCCTCTTGCTCTTCGGGATAGCTTTGCCTTTGCCTTTGCCCTTGTCTATGAGGCCTTCTAAGATCTCCATCTCGATATCAGAGTCAATCCGCTCGTACTTGGGTTGACGAGTTGGTTGGGCGGGACGAGGGTTGATGGCAAGCTCGATCTCCTCATCTGTAGGCAGGAAAGCAGACCGGGAATATAGCTTTCTCGCGCTGATGGCAGACCTACATTCAGGGCCTGTACGACTGTCAAAGAAGGCTATGGTGGATCGATTTAGAGGGTACTCACATGCACGTTCATCCTCCTTATATTTGATTGTCTCGGTCGGATCCTCGGCGCGAGGGAGATCCAAATAGTTTTCTGGTAAAAGATTGAGCAACCCGCTGCGTAGATATATGAATAACAAGACGTACGGATGCAGTCACGGCAGAATGTATGCGTGCAGGGCGTGACGACCGCAGCCGTAAAATTATCAAAGCATATAGAGCATTCCTCATCGCCGTCAGCGATAGCGTCCTTGGACTATGAGATAGAGACCAAGAAAAGTTAGCACCCCAACGACGATAAAAGGGACAATGTTAAAAGTTGGTATATGCTGCACGACGGACACAGATAACGAAGTTCTGGTAGCTCGTTGCTATTATGTATGTGCGAAGACGACATGCCTCGGCCGCGCCACACAACGCCGTTCGTCTTGTCACAGTTGGAACTATGGAACAATATTCCTGCGCGAAATGTAGACGTACCTCTTTCTCCGCCTTGACTCTATCGACCATGATCTCGCGAAGTTTGTGCTTCATCCTCGCTACGAAATCTAAGGATACCTCTCTCCTCGCCCTCGCAAGCTCTGCTTTCGCATCACCGTCTAAATTCTCGTCATCTTCTTCATCACCAATGACGAATGCACGGCCGTCCTCTTGAACAAGGCTTGCATGTGAGCAGATCTGGCGGAGCCGCAAAAGCATGACCAAAACATGTGAATAGTTCCTAGACAACATACACGTCAGTTTTTACATCAACCTGCTAATAAGGAATCGAACGCACTTGAGGACAGTGCCCGCCCGAAGGAATCGATTGAATTTCACTTGTGCGCTCGTTTCATACTAAAGGCCAGAAGCGTCAGTCGGATGCATAGAGCCAAGAGGAGACCAATATAGAGGTATTACCGCTTTATAAATCTCCTGTTCCTCCTGCGTGAAGGTAAGCTTCGTAAGTTGCACCTCCTTGGGAGGCAGCTCAATGAGCGGTTTGCCGTCGAGCTTCGTATCCTTCTTGCGGCGGACAAGGAAAGTAGCTAATATAGCTTGCAGGCGACTGGAAGCCAAGGTGGCTAAGAGAAAGAAGTGAGTTATCTACCCTGACATGCTCATGAGAAGAGCTCCAACATACCGCGCTTCTTCTCATGCTTCGCGATATGGTCATTGAATTCCGTCCAATCGTACCACGGACGAATTCTGAGGAACCGAATGTACCCATAAGCATCTAATGATAACCAGCTCGTTAACTCGCAAGTTCACGGAGGAGTATCCAGGGAGATAGCGGTCTTACCAGCTAGACAGTTGATGATGGGCGTGCTGTAATGGCAAAAAGCACGCTCGGTCAGTCGTGGTATCTATAAAAGAAGAAGGTACATACCCAGTCAATGCCCAACGATATTCCGCATCGAGGAACGTCACAGCACGAGAGACGCGGGTCATGCGGTTGCGGATACTTTGAGCTTCGTCGAGGACGACACGATACCACTGGAACAAGATGAGAAGACGATCAGAGTAAAGGACCGAGGACTATACACCCACCTCGACATTCAGAAGTAGGCCATCTAGGATGTGGCAACGAGGTTAGAACAAGGCTAAGGAACAACAGCAGTCTGCACGTACTGCATTTCTTCTTTTTCCTTGGCTTGCTTTTGGCATCGCTGTCGTCGGTGGATTCGTTGACAATCCATTCATTCTCCTCCCTCTTCTTTGCCTTGGCCTTCTTCTTCGCTCTGGTCTTCGCTCTTGCCACTTCTGCCTCAGGATCTGCATACTCGTTTGCGAGTGTCTGCGTGACATGACAGTAAGTGAATGCGTCTATACAATCAGAGCGATTTAAAAAAAAACACGTACATGATAGGTCGTCAATACTACCCAAGATTCGTGGCGAATCAGCGAGCGAGCACATATAGGGATCGATCACGATTGGACGCACCGACATCATACCTCATCAGCTCCGCCCTCGTCTTGGGTTTGCTGGAACCTGAAGAAAACACGGTAAACAACCCTAGTACAGCATCAAGAAGGGGATCACTTGCCGTGATATACGACACACTGCAAACCACAGTTCGTCTTCAACTCTACTTCCATCTGCCATTGATCAAGCAGGGCCACCGGTGCAATAATGAGTGTCGCTTTGCGGCGCTGATCCGTCGGTCGATTCGCAACCATCGTGGCGATCCTACATATGAATTTGGTTACATGCACCAGCAAAAAGAGTCGGCGGCGAATCACTCACATTTGGACCGTCTGTCTCCCGGCAGTGTGCAAACAAAGTATCAATGAGCATTCTCCAGAAGCACCAGAAGCCGAAAGAACACACCTTGCCCAGTCCCATCTCATCAGCGAGCAAACCTGCGAAGATTCAACGCAGCAAAGATATAATGAGAATGCAGAATACATGAGAAGCGAGAAAGCCTTACCGCCTTTACTGTAGCCTCGCTCGCGATCAATCATCCATGCCACACCGATCATTTGATGAGCCATCAATGCGACGACCATGCCGGGCAAGGGGGCGAACATGTCCGGGAGACCCAACTTCCGAACAGCGTCGTCTACCGTAGCGTTGCGGTCGAATTGCTCAGCATTTCCAGCGGCGATGAGGAACTTGTCGATACTAGAAGAAGTTATATCAGTATAGATTGCTCATAAGGGTGATGAGCCGATGCACTTACTCATCAGCTCTAGCCTGAGGCCCTGCAAACGTATCCCTTCCACGACCATGCCACGCACCGGTCTCATCGTACGTCCCGTCATCGTAGTCCATCGGAACGTGGCCCTGGACATACCTGTTGACATCGGCGAGGAAGTCGTTTCCAGGAGGGGCAGGAGCCGGCGGGGTTCCCGCACCTTTCGAGCCAGAGGCAACCGGCATTGGAGAAGGGTCCCTTTTGACGGTCGGCTTGCGGTCCTCGCCCATGGGCACAGTTGAAGGTGCATGAATGACACGCCTGGGGGCGCAAAAGAATGGCTTCACGTCTGGCTCCGGAAGACGTATATTCGAGCCGGACGCAATCGCTGGCGCTTGGACCTCAGGTCCAGGCCAAATGGCGAGAGCCCTATCAACAGGCTCCCGCTTGACTGAAGGGAGACCGTAGAGAATTGGGTCCCTGTCCTCCTTCGCCAGAGAGCTGCCGTGGCGAGAAAGTGTCTTCGCCGTCGGGAGTCGTTTGGTAAGTGAATCCTTCTGCGCGTTGAGTCGCCTCTTCTCCTCGGCCAACTTCGCAATTCGAGTGTGGTCGCTTTTCGCCTTAAATTTCTTGGCGCTGGCGCGATTGAGCTTGTTGGTGCAGCTGTTGAGAGAACGTTGAATGTCCTCGATCTCTTCGCGGAGATCCGACTGGTCCTCTGCAGGTTTAGAAGGAGACTTGGTGGTGACAAGTTCGCCGGAGGAATAGTGGTTGAGCTGAGACAACGGCTTGCCAGACCTTGCGGGGGTTGAGGGAGCATCGCCGATAGTGAGTCTCGCCTTCTTGATTGGAGAGCCGGACTGTTCATCACCCTGGCTAAGGTCGATTGTGTCATGCCGTTCCAGCTTGACGGGGAAAGGAGCAGGATGTGGACGCTTGCGGGAAATTAAAGCGCCGCTGTCAGACAAAAGAGAGGGATGTTCCCGGGGTTCGCTTTTGACGACATCTCTTCCGGTAGGGGACGTTGTCGGCGTGGTGAAGGGAGAACCGGAGCCCATGCTTGTACGGGCCCTGGCTTGGAGAAGTGGTCGCATGGGTGTCGATGGGTTTGTGGTGCGAGAGAGCTGTTGGTAGATCAAAACACAGTCAGCTATACGCTCATTTATATATTTCAGAGACAAAGAAACGAACGAGGTTGGCACTGGACTTAGGGCCCTCGATTTTGACACGTGCGCTCCTTTGTGGCGACTCGGACTCGGACTCGGACTCGGGGTCGGAGTGGTGGGCCGCCAAATGGACCTGAAACGTCGTGGCATTGTAAACAAGGTGGTTTGGAGAGCGGCACTAGCCGGTGAACAATAGCGTACCCTATAAGCGGACAATGAGCCCACTCCTTCCGAGACCCCGCCATCTTCGGAGGAAATGCGGGCGACGAGGGGCACCCGTTTGTGGCATCCGTTCTCGTGGCAAGTAACAACGCCGTCTGGCAAGTCAATACGGTGTGTAAGAAGGAGACCACATTGAATATTCTTTGACTGCCACTTACATCCTCGTCCGGCTTCGATCTCGACCGTGAACTGCAGCGTCTATCAGTCGAATCCAGCACGGAAGACTAGAAAAAAGAGTGTGTCAAGAAACCTACATCAATCTTGTCAGGCCAGAGCGATATATGCTTCTTCAGCTCTTGTAAGTATGCCTCGGGTACTCCTTCGATCTGCGAGGGTAACAATGAGAGAGCTATCGCAACGAGCCATGACTAAGTGCCAGTGGCAGAATGCAGTCCTCACCGATTGTAGCTGTTTCCTTGCCAACGCCAACAGCTCTACCTGAGAGAGCAGCATGGCTTGGACGACGTGAGGGGAGCAAATGCTCACGGGTGGCGGTGGGGGGAAGAAATGAGGTGGTCGTGCATAAGTCGCGTCGCGCACAGTTTTGAACGCGACATAGATGTTTGGCGTCAGTCGCGTCGCGAACCCCTGTTTTCTCGCGTTCAAACTCCGAACTCCGCGTGCCACTTCGCCGTTTCTTGTGTGGCCCACAGAATAACCTTCATTCCCCGCCCAAGTATAGAGGAGGGGAGGGGTGTTAATTACGAGGTAAACACTCTCCTCAAAAGGTCGCGATAGATATTGTTCAATGTCACAAAAATTCACTGAGAACAAAGCAGCATTTAAGCTAAACACCGCACATATGATTCTAGTAAGGAAACGTCGACGCGGGAGGACGAGCAATGACCTGTACAGCGAGTCTAACAGATCAAGAGTTTGACAGCTACCAAGAGATCATCGGCGATAGACACAAGCACGATTTTCTAGGATATATAGCCTTTCGAAGAACTCAAGGGCAAGATGAAGTAGGATTACCGCTGAGAGGCTTCCCGATCCAATCGGCGGAGTGAAACAATCACCGCATATCATCTTCCTAACATCTTCATCTCCACGGATAGTGAGCAGATTTATTTGCTGAAGCAGTCCGAGTCTGGAGAGTAGCTGAGCGATCTGTGGTGCAAACTGTTCGAAGCAGGCTGCCTTTGAAAGAGCGATAGGTTGTTGAGACTCCGACGGACAATTCCGGCGCCACAGCGTGAGGGTAGACTGGGTGGCCCAGACTGTTTGTTTTGAAGTTTTTTTTCCCCGATCTCATGTTCATCGTACTCCTTTTTCTGTTCCTCTTTTCCTGTCACTACAGTCCATGTGCGGCCGACATTGTTTCTCTGTCTCCCTCCCGAGTATCACAAAACACAATCAAGGTATCCGTCCTTTGGTTCCCCATGTGAACTCATTCAAAGGCTTTGGAATGAGTTAAACAAGCCTGGCAATAACTTGCGTGCTTTCAAGACCTTACTGCTCACAGATTAAGCACCTACGAGTTATCCCTTTTAGTTGCAACATTGAGTCGAACAATATTGATGTTATAATCTATGGAATGGGCAGTCTATGGAAATGCGCACAAGAAAGATACAATGCAATATGCAGCGAGCATAGTTCGGCGGGTATACAGCCCTCGACTTCATTCCATTACTCCTCTCTCCATGATCTCTCTCCTCTTCGCTGCCTCCTTCCCTCCATCATCGAGTTGTCCGTCCGTCACCCAAACCTCGTCATCAGTCCATCATAGATGCAGAAGATGATAGCACTGCTCGGTATAGACCTTGCAATCGTTATTCCACACCCCGCATAAAGCCCTCTAAGCCCCTGCTTCGCCCACATCTCCTTCCCCACCGCCCAAAAACTCCTTCCCTGTTGCGACCCAGGCCTCAACTCCGCCTCCGTCTGCATCGTGCTCTTCACCGTATCCGCAGGGAACAACGCAAGATTATACGAAGCCCCCGCACACGCTCCGCTGAACGCGCTCTCCCACGACTTGAGATCCCTCCGTCTTCTCGAAACTGAACTGTCAAGTGAAGGGGGAGAACGAGCGATCAGGAGAGAAGCGACGAATTCTTTGGTGCTGAACCACGCGGCGGAACCTCCAGTTTCTCGGATGAGTGTACCGGTGTGGCCAAGCCAGAAACCTCGCAGGCCGAATTGACGGTAGATGCTGGTGATGATTTCGAGAGGACCTGGGAGAGCCCGAAGGGATGCGGCGGCGGCTGCAGCAGAGGAAGGTGGGAGTGTGGCGGTGGCGGCGGCGCTGAGAGGTATGGATGTGGATGATGCGAGGACGGTGGGAGGTATGGAGGGTGAGATGAGCATCTGAACTTGCATTTTACATTTAACAAGCTCAATTGGAGTTCTGCGAGTAAACAATATGTTCGGTCAGCTGGTGAGCATACGAGTATGGCACGGCAGAAGGCTGCCAAGCAATCATTTTTCCGATTGAGCTATTTGCACGAATGGCAAAAGTACGTGCTGTGGACCTGTGATAGCTTTTTCCTGAATAACTAAACAGCGAAAACCACTCACAAAAGGGTACTAGTGATGGCGCCTGCTCCTGCAGCCGCTAGAGCCAACTGAGGTAGCGAGAGCGCCTGTGTAGTTTGTGTACCGCTTGCCCATCGAACAGCATTTTGAAGTTCTCCGTATGAGAGGAAAAGAGCTGCATTTTCGACCATGGCGCCCACTATGGGCGCTGGAAGGCCCTGTCGGTGTGTCAGCGCTCAGAGAGGGTCCAATATGAAACGAGTGTCGGATGGGTTCCCCAGGAGTTCGTCGAGCATGCTACGCAGGATTTCACGGACTCCTGTGAAGCAAATAACGACAAGCTACGACTGTGTTCTGCCAAGTTCACAGGATTGACCCGGTCCATCCGAGGTGTACAAGGAAGGCACCGAAGACTCTGGAACGGATATGACCGCCTGACAAAGACGTAGCTCAACGCTCCCTGTGGCTCCTGGGGAATTAGGCAACAGACAGTGTAAGGCCAGACGTACTCTATAAAGGCCTCTAATGCCTTCCTTCTTGAATGTCTGTGATAGACAGTCTAACGGGCCCTTGAAACGTGCAGATGCATCGAGAACCTGAGCTTGTAGCCGTACTTTCGTCAGGTCGAATGGATGCTCGAGAAACTTAGACGCAATTCCTGCAGCCTTTACATCCCGAATTAGATACAGTGTAGAAAAGTAAGAAGTAACCACGCACGCTACCAAAAGCAATGTCTTTCGCGGCCCTTACAGCAGGCGTTCCCTTTCGAGTCTCGGTGGTGGCCGGGTTGAGGGCATCCGGGGCAGCTTCCATTACAATCCTGAGATATATAGAGTGGGATACACAAATGGAGCAGAGAGCGACAGTAAAAGCCTAGAAGATGGTTGGGGAAATGAGAAAGAGAAAAAGTTAGCTGAAGCACATGAGGAAGGCGCTGGTCAGAGGATTATACTGACTGGTTCCCGCCAGACGTGAGCGGACCCAAACGCCGATCCCTAGGATCTTATCAGATAATCGCATACCTCCGATAATTTTCTGCCGCTACCAGTACTATATAATCCCAAAGTAAACCACAACCCTCAGCAGCCTCCAACATTCCATACTCTGTTCGCCGAGACGACAATCTATTTATTGGCATCATCGACTCGACAGCAAAGCCTACCTAGCTCTTGTTTTATTGGCATCTTTCCAGGAATATTTGTAGTTCTGAGGGCGGTCTACCGCAGGCTGAGCCGGCTGACATTCAAGCTCATCCAAAGAGTATACGGGAATCTACGGGAATCCTACTGCACAGCTGATGTCTATATTCATAAATGTTATCTCTCTCTGTTCTCCAGACTCTGCATGATGATATACGCATATTGAAAACTATCATGTCCGCGCTTCCGCCCTTAGACTCACCTGATAGCTCTAGCATTTGGCAACCAGCTTACTTCTTTCTCGTGGATGCTCCCCCGCGCACTCCCAGTATGTATCTCTCCACTGTCGTCCCGGTGAAGCTCGTCGTTGCCTCATGTACCAATCGAAACACGTTCTGAAAGGCCCCGTTAGAGGTTTTCCGGTAGACGGCGCTATGGGCCCGTCTCGTGCCCAATACCGTCCCTAAAGTTGGAGCACACGCAACCAAACAGTATGCTTTCGGCTCTTCTATCTCACTCTCACACTCTTGGGGCCACCCATGGCGGCCTCACATAATCCACAATCAGATCTATCGCATGCTTTCGCCACCGAGTGGTATGAGGTGGGCTATATAGCTTAGTCCAACATTGGTGGCGCCTTCTCGCTACCAGCCTAGTTTCCCCCCTCTCCTTGTGCGTCTCTACGTGTTTTATCTGCCTACAGCCCTCCTGCACGATGAGGTGTATCTTTTGGTTCGTGTTGGCGGCCGTGCTCCGTCCAGTGACGAGCTACGACATCCTACGCGATTATTCTGGGACAACGTTCTTTGATAGGTAGGACTTACCTTCGAGAACAAGTGTCTCCCGATCTGATTTGGGGACTTTAGGTGGGACTACTATGGAAATGAAGACAACTTGACGTTCGGTGCGCATCCCCTCCTCTTTGTCTCTTGCAGTGACTCTGATAGTCAATGGCATAGGCAATGCGAATTACCTCGACCGTGACACAGCCTCACAGCAGAGCCTCACCTACACAAACGCCAACGGACGCGCTGTCATCAAAGTAGATAACAGCTCATTCGTCTCGCCCGGCCAGAACAGGAACTCGGTACGTCTCGACTACGTCAATCTTAGCAGCGCTGACTGACCTGGGTGTTCAGATCCGCATCACTACGCAAGATTTCTATGAAGTGAGGATTCTGCAAGCAAGAATGTGCGAACAGAATCTGACGGTATTATTTTGAAAGATCGGTAGTCTATGGGTGATAGATGCCACACACCTACCGTGGGGCTGTTCAGTACGTTCATATCTTACCTGCTGTCTCATCTCTATTCCTCACGATAAATACCCGCGATGAACAGACATGGCCAGCATTTTGGAGCACCGTACGTGTGGGTCCCTTCAGCTCCGAGACGTTTCCCACGATTTGCTTTTTAGGGTATCAACTGGCCCGACAACGGCGAGATCGACATCATCGAGGCCGTCAACAACATGGGGAACAACCAGTTTGCGCTCCACACCACAGAGGGTTGTTGGCTTCCGGATTACTCGTGGCAGACAGGCGACACGCGTACGAAGGACTGCTCGCAAGGCAGTGGCTGCGTTGTTGCAGTCACAGAGCCAAATAGCTATAACTCGGGGTTCGCGGCAGTGGGTGGTGGAGTGTACGCGTTGCAATTCGATGCTGCTGGGATCTTGTGAGTCTTATGTCGCATGTTTTCCGAGCACGAGGTCTGAAGAAACCTCTACAAATGCCACGCTAGCATGTGGTTTTGGAGCGTATGTATCCGTTTTAGCCATTCTAGCGCCATCAATTTTTAACACAGCTGTCATCTCAGCGTCCCGACATCCCAGCTTCCATCATAAACTCGACTTCGACTTCCTCGCTTGATATCTCTCAATGGGGCCAGCCCACGGCCAGCTATCCAGCGTCGAGCTGCAACATCTCACAGTATTTCGGGCCACAACAGCTCGTCATAGACATCACGCTGTGTGGAGATTGGTCTGTTCTTTTGCATTCGTCTTTAACCACCTCCCTTATTGACTCCCGTCCTCCTAATCAAGGGCTGGCGTTCCGGCGACCTACAACGCCACCTGCCAATTCACGCCGACCAGTCAATGTGTAAGCTCATCGATCAGAAGTCAATTCTTTCTGTTTGTGTATTCAACGGTATCACTGGCGATTTTCCTCAGTACGCAGACAACGTGCCCGGAAACGGTAGCAACTTTGACGATGCCTACTTCGAGATATCATACATCCGAACGTACACGACCTCTTCCGCAATTCCTTCGCCGACGAGCGTCAGCACTGAGACTACCTCGTCAGCATCACCCACACCCTCAGGGAACTCGCTCTCCAGCCCTGCAATACGTTCCTATTCCTTACACCTCCCTGCTATGATATTGGCGGTGATAATATTCGTGGGGCTGAAGATGTTGGGATGATCTATTAACGGGCTCATGAACTTTATGCTTCTTGGACTTATCTTCTCGATCTGTGGGGTTTATAATGGGACTCTGCGTTATGTTATACGATATACCTGATTTGTGCGGACTGGCTACACATTTTTATTGGTGTGTGAGACAGGGTGTCGTCTTCACCTCACCAGGAGCCACGTTCTATCAGCGACGGTAAATATGGGCGCGCCGCAGATCCCTTCAAACTCTCTTTCACTGATCTTCGAGAATCCATCTATTCACTAGTTCATTTGGCTTTGAACTTCAGGGAAGCACTTGCTCGATTCAGGACAAGTTCGTCAAAGCTTCTCTTCTGCTATTGCCTGTTACATGGACCGTCGTCTTATGGAGTGTCTGCAATCCTCGCCACCAACTTCACCCCACTGACCTTCCCAGCTCCCATTCTCTCCAATCCTTCTGCAATACCGCTTAACCCACCCTTCAAAATATCAACCTTATTCGGCTTTATATCTCCTTCCTTCATCATCTTCTCCAACGATGCGAACAAACTCTTTGCGAGACGCTCATCTCCCTTCTCCGGCTCGGATGAACTCCCATATACCCATATCGTGCGTTTTCCATCTTTATCTTCTTCGCCCAACTTGCCAATACTTTCCGAGGGGGGGCGTGTCACGACCAATTTCCCACCTGGACTAAGAAGAGTCCAGGAGGCGGTCTGCGAGCCTGGGATGGAGATGGAGTCGTAGATCATCTTGATGGGCTTTTTCGTGATGGACACCACTGCATCTTTGAGGGCGGAGTAGGGCGTCTTGTTGTAGTCGATTACGTGCGTTGCGCCAGCTGCTTTGCAGTAGTCTTCATTGTCGGACGACGCGGTGGTGATGATGGGATTGAATCCTGACATCTTCGCTAGTTGAATGGCTGTGGATGGCAGTAGTGTTTGGTCAGGACCAGACGGAAAATATGATGGTGACCATTCTGATGACGAGGTCAACATCATACGCACCGAACTGTCCTACGGAACTGGAACCGCCTATAATTAGGACCGGTTCATCGTGATACTTTCCTCTACCGCTCTCTTCCCAGGGCGCAAGGAGCCCCGCACCGCCACGCAATTTGAGCTCTGCGTAGTATCCCATAGCAGCAGTGACGAGGGCAAGAGGAAGCGTAGAAGCTTCCTCGAAGGAAAGGTTCGAGGGGATCTGTGTATGCTGGCGTCAGCGGCAAGATCGTTTGACAGTATGAAGCCACAGACCTTGGCCGTGATAACTGCATCAGTGAGCCCATATTTTTGGAATGTATCTCTATCAGACGTGAAGTTGCCTTGATACACCCTTTCCCAGAAACAGTCAACCCCAAATTGCTGCCTGAATTACTGAGTTTGACTCACACGCGGTCACCCTTCGCAAACCCCTGAACATCTGCGCCGACGTCCTCAACGACACCAGCGGCGTCCAAGCCGCAAACTATGGGGTAACTCGTGACAAAGTATCCCCTGCTTTGCATGTGACGGTCGACAGGATTGAGGGCGGTTGAGATGATCCTCACCAAGAGTTGACCTTGTCCGGGCTTAGGAATAGGACGAGTGCCAAGGGTGAAGGGGCTGCCCTCGGATTCCACAAGGAGTGCTTTTTGCAACTGAGCGGACATGGAGATGTCTCTAGGGGGCCTGTACTAGAAGAGTCAATGTGAAACTGGTACTGAAGATTGAGGAACAAAATGTGAGGGTCATAAGCACACGGAGTCAGGATAATTAAGTAGGTTGGAGGCAGGGTCAGCAGGCTTAGGCGAGACCCACGCCTGCTTCCGTGTAGATTCCACACAATCTTTGGAATTCCAAATGTCAAACCATCATGTATGTCCACGCTGATTGTGAGAGGTCTGATGGCAATGGATGTTTTCTTGAATGAGTACCTGAGAAGTGGATTGCATAAGTCGCGCGCTTGTCCAATGCCTCAGTGTGGGTCACGGATCATGGTGGATGCTCAGACATGACAGGACACCGTGCGACTTAGACACGGAACCCGCAGGTGCACGGTAGGGATGGATGAATGAGGAGTCACGTCGCTACTAGGGTGGATGCCCAGAAAGCAATCAGGTGATTAGAAGAGATGTGACCAGAAAGTGAAAGTCGTGAAGCTTGAACACAGAATCCAGGAAATTCGAAAAGTTGAACAAACATTGGAAGATGTTGACACCGTCACGGTGACGTGTGGTCTCGAATTGATCGAAGACGTACAGTGTTGAAAGCGACTATCATTACATAACCCCATCGAATCACAGTCTTGTCAAGGAAACGGGTCACCTCTATATCTTACAACGTACACATAGGACAGTACCACAGACACTTCGCACAAAGTGGTGTTTTTGCCACTAGCGATACCTAACGTTGAAGTACCGGGCCCGAGGGTCCTCTGGGATGGCTTCAGCGTGCCGTATTGCTTCCTCGACGACTGCCATGTCGAAACAGTCAAAGGCCGGAGGTTTTCTAGGCGAGCCCAGGAATCTCGCCTTGGCTATCCCCTGTATATGATTGTTATTCGTGTCAGTGCATCATGATAACATACACATCTCTAGAGAGAACCTCACTGAAGGTTGGGCTAGGCTTCGGACAAGCTCCTTAACACAGGACACGCAGCTCTTGCCATTCTGGCCTACCACCATGGGGTCCCGAAAGGCACCTAGGCCAGCCAATGCTTCTCTGGATTCTTTGTCTAAGAGGCCTACTTGAAACCTGATCCAACGAGGGGCGGATCCTGCGCCGGAAGGTTGAAAATGGTCACGAAAATGGAAGCAACCCGAGTTCGAAGTGTCAGGGAGCATAATTTCGATAACGCGGAATCCGGGAATCATATCTCCTTGTGGAACGGTGCAGTTTATTGGCCAAGCCACTCGCCAGTGAAAAGGATCTGCATCCAGACAGCAATTAAGTTCGACAGCACCGAGGGAAGGTGGAAAGAAATCCGACATACTTGTTGTAACGCATATATACACCATCTGGACATCGTCAAATTCGTGACATTGGGTTAGGATGTCCTCATCGTCACCCCTCGTACCAGTAAAACGTTGCATGACTTGTCCTCAGTTGTCGAGGCAGAGCACAAAAGTAAGTTGAGGATAGTGGAAGTCGTCGAGAAGCACGGTCTGAAGAGGGCAGTGGGCAGGCTTCGATCAGTTTTGAATCTCCCTTTAAATATCTAGATGCCCAAGGAACGTGTCTCTTCCTTCGATTACGACATCTATCTCGGCTAACAGATCATTGATAGGATGGGGGTCTCTCTGCTGTGGGACACAACACATCTGAAAGTGCCGCATGTTGAACTTGGTACTCATGGCTATCATACTACAATGCCCGGCCCAGAGTTGTATTGAATGGCTAAGCAGATGAAACTGAGTGGCTTGTTCATAGCCGGGTATTCGGAAGCAAATAAACTGTCAAGAACAACGTCAGCGGAGATGCAAGAATCGTGCAAGTTGAGCGAAAACCATGCGAGTTTTGTAAGAATTTTGAACCGACCTTCCATTCTGCATCACTATGATTTTAGTAGGTATATATCGTCAGCGAAGCTAGATGACAAGGTAGGTAAAAGAAAACAAGGTATCAACATCGTATATAAGACCATTGAGGATCATGTATAGAACGACAGAATCACTGGCACAGGTGACGCGGAGAAATCACTGGACAGCGAGAGCACATACTTACTTCAATCGACCAAGTTTGTTCATCTGTCATGCAATTTTGATTTTGAAGAGTTTCTGACACCGTCTTTCTATAGACAAAGCTGATGACCCATGACGACAATGGAACAACCAAATACAGCTCTGTGTCCGGTGTCAACGACATCGATGTTCGATCGCTCGGAAGTCCTCGAAGCGCCCGGCTGTACCCGAGACTGGTTAAACACGTGACAGGATCAACTGTGTCCGTCATGCCATGATGATTTCGATTTTCATAGCCATCCACCTCGAACCGTCATTGAACCGTCACGCACATCCGTGGCAACGGCAAGGACAACATATCCAAGCTGCCAATCTGGATCCAGCATAACAAAGTAAGACTCGTATATCCTCCTCCGTATATAATCATCGCTTTACACAGATAATTTGCCAGTGGACAGTACCGCCAGTATCCCCGCTTTGCACCACGCATCGACCATGCTCTCTCATCTTCCCACCGAAATCACCCATCTGACCTTAGCGGAACTTAAGGACTACATATCCAGTGGTACATGGTTAAACAGCAACGGCTTGAACGAATCGGACCCGGACATCTCCTTAGTGTCATATCCAAGGAAGGTCGTCGCGATCGATATAGCAGGTGTCCCGCTCATCGTCAAATTCGGAACAATGGTATCTCTCAATGAGGCCGACGTTACGCGTTATGTTGCCAACCACACATCTGTTCCTGTCCCCGCCATCTACCACACATTTGTCGATACGGACCGTCCACTCACAGTCACCTACATCATCGAGGAAAGACTTCCTGGCCATACACTCCAGTCTATCCTGACTACCATTGGTTTGGACGATCAGGAGACGATTTCTAGGGAGCTAGCAGATATCTTATGCCAGCTCTCGACCCTCAGCGGTCATCGGACTACTTTGGGACCGATGGATGGCCCATGGCAAAACTCGTACTTCACAGAACTCCTAGAGGACTACCCGTGCACCGTTGAGGATGCAAGAACGACACGAGACTTTATCGAATACTTTTTACGTGTCAAGGGGTATCGTGATCCTTGCCAGCCGATCAAGACAATCGATGAGTCCCTTCAACCATTCGACCTTCAGCGCGCCCCGCTCTTCTCTCACGGAGACATGGGCCCGGCGAACATCATGGTCGCGGGTGGCCATATCGTGGGGATCATAGACTGGCATGAGGCAGGATGGTACCCTTACTTCTGGGAGGACTTCGTGGCGGCAGGGGCGGGTTGTATGATCCCATCCAGGGAGGGTCAGGATAACTGGTATGCAATAAGTCCTAACCTTCCCGTGACTTTTCTCGAGGAGATGGACGCCTTTAACCGGATATGGGGTAACGCACGGTACTATTATATGTGAAAAGATTATGGCATACCTCCTTCATATCTCTTTGCACCGTCCCTCTGCCGCACTGTCAACTGCCACTACATTCCACCAGCCATTGAAGAGCCTGGGAGTCCGATTGCATCATTCCTGGGTTGATCTGGCTCTTTCTTCATCGTTGAAGTGAAGTACTAGAGCCCTGATATAATTCCGCCTGATGATCGGCTACGATAATCTTAGGAGAGAAACGATAAGTAAAACTCGCCGGGGCGAGTTGACTTCGGCATGGTCATAATATTCACGGTCTTGGTTTCCGTTGCGGATATTGAACTCATCAAGGTCTCTGCTAGACTTGGAACAGAGGTCGGTTGGAGGTCGGCAAGTGAAGGTACGCCTTACCTGCATGTCGATGTCTTCACCAAGTAAACCAGACATGCTGCCCGTAAAACAACTACGGTTGCAACTCGACATGACGTTGAACGGTTGTTGGTGAAGGAGAAGTCTTGTCGAAGGTGTTGCGAAGGTGAGAGGATCTGCACCGTCTTCTCTCGTGGTGGCAGTGCTACTCAAACAGAGCGCGGGAATATTGGCGTAGCAACTATCTTTCTTCCCACTTCTGAGTCTCCGCTCTACACCCGCCTATGCGATCTCCTCTTTCGATAGTACGGCCCTGGGTTCGTCGAGGGCGGCTGTCATACTGTGACCAACCCGTCCGGCGAGTCCGGCGCCGCCTGGAGGCACCCGGCCATGCCTGGAGGAACCCGGCCACGCCTGGAGGAATCCGGCCACGCCTCCAGGCAATTCATGTCCTCTCCCCTTTGAAGGATGCCTCCAGCCGTTTTGTACACATCTTGTAAATGCCCAAAAAACAATTTCATTTATTTGCATATGCTCCAATCTGCCTGGAGACAATCCGTCACAAGTTGATCTCTCCTTGGAGGCATTCTCCCACAAGTCGCACTTTGCCTGGAGGCGATTGCGGAGCAAGTTACACTGTGCCTGGAGGCGATTTCGAGCAAGTCACTCATTGTCTGGAGGCACTTTCAAAGAAGTTGCCAATTGCCTGGAGTCTATTCTCACCAGCTCCATATTTGCTTGGAGGCTGTTCTGCACATGTCATGTTCTGCCTGTGGGAGTTTCTGTCGGATCAACCGCCATCTGCCTGGAGGCAATCAGTACTCGCTCTCTGCTCGCCTGGACACACTTCCTCACATCTCGCAAATTGCTTTCTGTCTGTGCATCATCTTGTCTGGAGACATCCTCATCTCCTGTCAGTATATAAAATGGAAATTGGCAACACGATTTAGCGAGATGAAGGAGGCCAATTTTGGGAGTTCTGTCTATTTGACAAATATTTAGAAATATACAGGATGATAGGAATCAATTCTCAAAGGAATCGGTTTATTTGTTCTAAAGTTATAGTGTAAGCGGTCAGGACAATATTGCCATACCGAGGCTGGAGGGGTTCGGTAGGCCAGAACCAGTGATATAAAGGTTCAATTGACTTGGTTTCTGCTGTCATAGGTAGACATACATCACTACTTAATTATGAAAGCCACACCTGACACAAAAACCGTGACCATGGCCTTGATAGTGGTGCCGCGTCAAGGGGGGAGGAGGAGAATGTCTTACCCGAGGGGTACTGCAGCAGTTAGAATGGTTGGTGATGTTGTGATTATGATTGGACAATGTAGTTTGACCCTTGAGAAGACGATCTACGGTGCAAAATCAGTCAAAATGCTCCTAAACC